CATTACCAAACTAGGAATGCTTAAAAGGTTTGTCATTATGGCCAGCCATAATGTAAAAAGATGACTGACTGTCTCTGAGCTCATAAGAAATCAGAGCTCTTAACTGTGTCCCTCAGCCCCCTGACATTAAAAGTAAGAATATTAAGGTCATTAGCTACCATGCGTAAACATAGATATTACCACTCTTCATCAGAGAAAGCTTTGGCCATTCAGTTTGATAATCCATTTACATAAACGAGAGGAACTATATTTTGTGGATGTTGCATAGTCCATTTGCAGAATCTGAGATATGAGACAAAACGTTACAGGCCCATTTTTTTGCTGAGAAATTTGCCTTCTTTCCCCTTTCAGCTTTTCGTTTCATGAAAAATCACTGCAGACATGCATACCATATTTTTTGCTCTATAAGACTCACTTTTTCCCTCCTAAAAAGTAAGGGGAAATGTGTGTGCGTCTTATGGAGCGAATGCAGGCTGCGCAGCTATCCCAGAAGCCAGAACAGCAAGAGGGATTGCTGCTTTCACTGCGTAGCGATCCCTCTTGCTGTTCTGGCTTCTGAGATTCAGAATATTTTTTTTATTGTTTTCCTCCTGCAAAAACTAGGTGTGTCTTGTGGTCTGGTGCGTCTTATAGAGCGAAAAATACGGTACTTGCCACTCACCTGTGAGCAGCTGATGCTTTGCATTATTATGTCAGTTTTTGCACACACATATTCCTGAAAAATATGTAACTGCCAAGTATTGAACCAGCCCATGCAGTTCAGCAACTGACCTTTGAGAGTCATGTAAAATTATTAGAAGATCATCATAACAAACTGGTCGCAAACCAAGACATAGCTGATAGAATTGCAGCAATAGTTGGAGGATTCTTCTGAAGTCTGTTATGTTTTAAAAGAAAAATTGTTGAACTGTTTGGAAATAGTGTGGGTATAAGTCAAAATTGAGGATATCCTTATTTGGGTGGGGGGAATTCTTTGTATTACAATAAGCCCCAAAGCCAAAGCATTGAACAGCTGGTCTTGCTGTATAAAATGAAATGTCTTTAAGACAGCCAATCTAAAGATGGAAGTCCTATTCTCACGAACATTTCCAGTACAAAAGTATTGCCTTCATCAGGCATAGGCAAATTCGGCCCTCCAGATGTTTTGGGACTACAACTCCCATCATACCTAGCTAACAGGACCAGTGGTCAGGGATGATGAGAGTTGTAGTCCCGAAACATCTGGTGGGCCGAGTTTGCCTATGCCTGGCCTTCATTGTTTAAAACACCTTTTCTTTATTGTTCTCCATTTTTGGTGCAAAGTTTAGTTTGGTTTAAAAGCAGGACCAAGTTGTGCTGCGGGCTAGGAGACCTAGAGCAATCGTGACCAGTGTGGTTAACTACATACCTTTCCAAGTACATAATCACTTTGGGTCTAGTTTTCTAGTTCAACCATTGAATGCACTTGCAGAAAACAGGGATCATGACATTTGCACTCTAGAATGCAACCTTTCACAGAACTGGGAGTTAATTGCTTCAGTGGTTGGGGTCGGAGGAATTACGATACAATTGTAAGGGGAACACGGTGTTTCAGTGCTACGCACATAGCTAATACACACCATGTACAAAAGTCTACCTCCATTAACACCTGAACACAGTGAATGAAAAATACATTTACCTTGACAGAGCATGGTTATTTGAGACGAAGAGGCCAGGCTGGTGTGGATGAACACAATCTTTGAAACAACAGAGATGCCTGTACTGTATATTGCACATGTATCTCAGCCTTCTTTTCTGAACTAACCGTTAGGGGTTTTGACAGCATTTTTTAGGGTAATGAGGCAATGTGTAAGCACAAGGAAGCCCCCTTTCCCCATCACTGATTAAACCCAAACATCAGTGTTGGGGAGGTGGGAGAATCATATGGATACAAAAGGATGCATGCCTCACTTTAAAAAAAAAAATGCTCCTTGCATGTAGTAATTTAACATGCCAGTGATCAATCTACACCAAGATAATACTTCATGTTTTCGGCAACAACAGCAGGCAGTGACATCGCTTTTAGCTGTTTCTTCCTTGTAAATTTGACCTTAACGAAACCTGGAATCTCTAACACTGACTGAAGAGCAGCAGGAGGAGTCGGACAGAAGCATTAACTGAAAACAAGAGGTGCAATTAAGAAACTGAACCCAGGTAAAGCCCCATCCCCAGGTACAGGAATGTGTTATGATTCCCTCTTTATGGGGTGAACAGCTCTGACTAGGGCAGGGGGTTCATCTCTTTCTAAACCATGCAGTGAGGCGACCTCAACTGAGTGTGAGTGATGGGGAAATTAAACGCCGTGCAAAGTGTTCTCCCAGCTGCGAACTGAAACAGCATCCCCCCCTTTGGGACTTTTTCACTCCCCACTGGGGCTCCTCCTCCTCCGAAATGGGCAGGAGGGTCTGTGGTGTGGCTGATTTATGCAATCATTCCTCAGTTCCTTCTTGCTGGGCTGCTGTTGCTGAAGAGCTGTCCGTCCCGGGCCGAAAGGAGCCGCCAACTGTAAGTGAGATGAAACAAAGTCAGCTTGCCTTTTCTATTCCCCCCTTCATTTTTCTTTCCTGCCTGGACACAATTTTTTTTTTCCCTTTGCAAACATTCACCAGCAGATGCTGTGAATTTAGCAAGAACATAATCTCTTCTGCCTGGCAACACCCCCCCCCCCCCGGTTTCTATTCCATGCAATCTCTTTTCTCTTGGTAGCGGGCTAGAGTTTTGACTTCACTCTTTCACGTTCCAGCTAATTTTCCATTTTAAAAATGTGCATCTTCAATGCAAACTTGGAAGGGAGTTTGGATGTGCCTCAATGCTCACTCAGGAAACTTTCAGTTAGACAATATTCGGGTAGGATTCGATCACATGCTAGTAAATGCACGCTGCACAATTCTCAGTCTGCAACTTACCTGCTACACTCAAAAAAGACAGAGAGGACTTTGGGTAATAAGAAGAGGGGTGGAAAATTGAAAGGTAGCCTCCCTGGAAACAGCTCAGAACGGGTGCCTCCTATATAGCCAATGGTGTCTAATCTTCCCGCAAACAGATCGGGATGAATGATGAGGGGTGGGGAGTTGTCTTGAAGTGCCTTCATTGCACAGGTCGTCCTATAAGTGCTTTAATCTACATTGGGTTGGCGGATCTGTGACAGAACTGTGGAAGCCTGATTAATTTGGCCTCCAGGTTATCAGTTGAGGGTAGCAAAGTGGCCGTCCAATGTGACCCAATGCAAAATGTCAAGGTGAAAACTACAAAGGAGGGGTTGAGTTTGGTTTGAAGCTCATGGAATCTCTTGCAGAGCCTGGATCCTCCCCATTTTCCAGGGTGTCCCAGGGAACGATCATTTTTCTGGACTTTACGCATGTGCCGATTGCCTCAATCTTCTTATTTAAAGCTCTGTGAGATTTCACATGTAGAATATCATTTTTTCCCCTCCTGTACACGGTAGGGCTGGAGGAGCAAATTTGATCGAGTTTGCATTTCAAGGTGATCTTCCCTAATCTGCATGTTGGAAAATGAAATGCAAAAGTGAAACAGATACTTTTCTTTAAAAAAAAAAATCACATTTCTCCAGATTCTGCAATATAGTTTTCCAGCCATGTAAACAAATTCAAGTTACTGAGCGAAGTTTTGCATAAAAACACATCTGTTTGTGATGGTAGCGTACAAAAAATGCACTGTACTGGAGAAAATTGCTTTGCAAAAATCTGTGTCTTAGGCAAACTGCATACAAAAATGTGTACATCGGAAGAAATTCACACTAAAATGCTTTTGAATCTTCAAGAGGACTTTTTTTTATATGTATTTTTAAAAATAGCAAACTGCTGTGTACATGTGCAGAACTAACCTTAAGATTGGAAAATGAGAAACAAAGGGCTGCATGCAACTAAATTCCAGAGCAGACCCATTGAAATTAACAGATCCATGTTATAATAACATGGCCCATCTAGACCAGCATCCTGTTCTCACAGTGGTCAGCTGGGTGTCTGTGAGAATCCTGCAAGTGGGACCTGAGCACAAGAACTCCCTCCTTGCAGTTTGCAGAAACTGGTAATTCAAAAGCACTTTGCCTCTGACACTTCAGTGGGTCAACTCTAAGTTGGACTAGCATGGGACACAACCCTGGGAAATACAGTGGTACCTTGGTTTACGAACTTAATCCATTCCAGAATTCCGTTCTTAAATCGAAATTGTTCTTAAACCGAGGTGCGCTTTTCCTAATCAGGCCTCCTGCCACCGGTGCCCTTCCACCGTTCAGCTTCCGTTCTTAGACTGATGTAAAGTTCGCAACCCGGGACACTACTTCCGGTTTTGCAAAGTTTGTAAACTGAATAGTTCGTAAACAGGGCTGTTCTTAAACCGAGGTACCACTGTAGAGAAATTAACAGGTTCGGCCATCCGTACCTTTGCCTCTTCCTCTAACTCTCCTGCTTCCCTGAGTCTCTCTCTCTTTCTCTGTACATGTACACAAGTGCAAATCATTTGAAATGCATGCCTTCCTTCTACACAGATCATAGTTTTGGAAGAGGACTGATGTGTAACTCCCAAAAGTAATCTTCTTCCAGCAGATCCCCTCGTGCTGCTGTGACATTTCCCAAGAGGGACTCGCATAATTCTGGGGGTGCAGGAGAATCTTGTAGTACAGTCCTGCTGGGACTTTATCGCTTTGGAGATCTGCTCAGACTCACGACTGAATACCTCCCTGAATATTAACAAAACATAGAGACGCAAAACTTTCCCGCATTTAGAAACGAGTGAGTGAGAGAGAGAATGCTGAGGCCAGAACTATCTTCCTTGGTGCTTGATTTCCATGGGGATTATTTTGGGGAGAGAGGCATCCTAGATTTAATTCCCTTCCGCCACAATGCTTATCTTTCCCTGCACCGACAGATATGCCCTAGACCTGTGCAATAAATTGCAACAGCCTGATTTGCATTTTGCTGCCAACAGAGGCTCCCCCGATCAGTAGCGGTGAAGTTGAGCTGATGGACAAAACCCTCCGAGTCGCCTTTGGCGTGTGCACCACTCTGCTTTTGCTGGGGAAACCGAACTGGATAGGTGAGAAAAGAAAACTCGTCTTGAATTCTGTGACCCAGTTTACAAAAGCTCTTCCTTTGCGATGCTGAAGGCCTCAGGTTCAGTCAGAAGCCTCTCCTCTGTGTGTTGCACGCTAAGGCCAGAAGCTGAAATGGAGGTGCAGGACAGGAAGGTGCCAGGCATGATGGATAATAGAATTGTAGTGTTGGAAGGGATCCTAAGGGTCATCTAGTCCAAGCCGGGACGGGTTGGGACGATATGGGATTGGGGGGGCAGCTCCCATCTCTTGCGGGGGTGCAATTCATGCCAGCACCGTCCATTAAGAGTTTGGGTGTAATCTTCGACACCTCCCTTTCCATGGAGGCGCAGATTGCAGCTATAACAAAGGAGGCATTTTTTCATCTCTGCCAAGCTAAGCAGTTGGCTCCTTACCTCTCTCGCCCTTACCTAGCCACTGTGATCCCCCCGACGGTCACCTCCAGACTTAATTATTGCAACTCACTCTACATGGGGTTGCCCTTGAGACTGACCCAGAAACTCCAGCGGGTGCAGAATGCTGCAGCGAGACTCCTTAAGGGGTCCTCGCAGTGGGATCACATTCACCCGGTGTTATACCAGCTGCACTGGCTCCCAGTGGAGTATAGGATCAGGTTTAAGGTGCTGGTTTTAACCTTTAAAGCCCTATACAGCTGAGGAGCCTCGTACCTACGGCACCGCCTCTCCTGGTATGTCCCATGGAGGACCTTACGGTCTTCAAACAAAAACATCTTGGGGGTCCCAGGCCACAGAGAGGTTAGGCTGGCCTCAACCAGAGCTAGGGCTTTTTCGGCTGTGGCTCCAGTCTGGTGGAATGCTCTGTCACAAGAGACTAGGGCCCTGCAGGACTTGACATCTTTCCGCAGGGCCTAGAAGACAGAGCTGTTCCACCAGGCCTTTGGCCAGGGCACAGCCTGACCCCCTCCTTTGGCAATCCTCACAGAACTGTAGCCCATTGTTTGCCTTTAATCTGATTTGAACTGATTTTATAATGAAATGATTTTAGAATGTTGTATCATTTTACTGTTGTTAGCCGCTCTGACCCCGGTTTCGGCTGGGGAGGGCGGGATATAAATAAATTATTATTATTATTATTATTATTATTATTATTATTATTATTACTAAGCCCCAGATGCGGGTGGCGCTGTAGGTTAAACCACAGAGCCTAGGACTTGCCGATCAGAAGGTCGGCGGTTCGAATCTCCGCGATGGGGTGAGCTCCTGTTGCTCGGTCCCAGCTCCTGCCAACCTAGCAGTTCGAAAGCACGTCAAAGTGCAAGTAGATAAATAGGTACCGCTCTGGTGGGAAGGTAAACGGTGTTTCCATGCGCTGCTCTGGTTCACCAGAAGCGGCTTAGTCATGCTGGCCACATGACCCGGAAGCTGTACGCCGGCTCCCTCGGCCAATAAAGCGAGATGAGCGCCGCAACCCCAGAGTCGGTCACCTCTGGACCTAATGGTCAGGGGTCCCTTTATCTTTACCTTTAATGCAGCAATTGCAGCTAAAGAATCCCAGACAAATGGTCATCCAAAAACACCCAATGAAGGACAGCCCGCCACCTTCCAATGCACTCTAAACATATGGAATTCCCTGCCACAAGATTCATCAACAGATCCTAGTCTGACTCAGCATCCTACGTCTTAAGAGATGGGCTGTAAGTCAGTGGTTAGCACATCTGCTTTGCATGCAGAAGGTCCTAGATTCAACCCGCCAAGCAGGGCTGAGAGAGAGACAGAGTCCCATCTGAAATTCTGGAGAGAGCTGCTGCCTGTCAATGTAGACAACACTGAACTAGATAGACTAAAGCTCTGACTCACTATAAGGCAGCTTTCTATGTTTGTGAGCTCCTGGAGCCTCTATATCTGACCTTGTAAGCAGAATGTTGGACCATATGGTTTGATTCAGGAAGCGGTTCCTTAAAACTTCCAGCTGTCTTTGGGAAATCCTCAGCACACCTGAGGCCATACCATTTCAGAGGGCAGGTGGAGGGCCGCAAACCTGTCCCTGTGGCACAAAGGAAGGAAGAAAATGTACCTCCCTGCATGTAGAATATTAGCACCTCAGGATGAAGGGTGCGTTAGAAACCTTCCATAATCAGGGAAGCTTTAAAATGTGGGATTATTCAGATCCTATTCACCATAAAGGTAAAAGGTAAAGGGCCTCTGGATGGTTAAAAAGGGTTAAGGTACCCCATACCGTTAGGTCCAGTCGTGGCCGACTCTGGGGTTGCAGCGCTCATCTTGCTTTACTGGCCGAGGGAGCTAGAGTACAGCTTCCGGTTCATGTGGCCAGCATGACTAAGCCGCTTCTGGCGAACCAGAGCAGTGCACGGAAACGCCGTTTACCTTCCCGCCGGAGCGGTACCTATTTATCTACTTGCACTTTGATGTGCTTTCGAACTGCTAGATGGGCAGGAGCTGGGACCGAACAACGGGAGCTCACTCCATCGCGGGGATTCAAACCACCAACCTTCCAATCAGCAAGCCCAAGAGGCTCAGTGGTTTAGACCACAGTGCCACCTGCTCCCATCCATGACCAACATGAATAATAACAAAAATATGCTGTGCTTTAAAGTCCTAGCAATTACCTTGAAGACTGACTCAGATATTCTGTTTGCAAATTCAAATATAAAGTCTTGTTTATCTTGCCGAAAGCAAAGTTTTTTTTCTTGGGGGTGGGGTGGGGAGTGAAAATCTGATTTCAATAACTGTTTTGAGCAGATCGGCTTAACAAAATTATCTTTATTAACTTCCCTGCCACCCCCAAGAGAGAAGGTTTTGATTTATTGAGGCAGGTTTTGCGAAGCTCATTTCCACGCAGCTGCAGTGAAAATGGTACAAAGTGTTTTACTTTGATCTAGTTGTTCTGCGGGAAATTTTCATAATTGGCAGCTCCACGGATCTCTGGGAAGTTTGAACTTTGAAGAATTTACGATGCTGCCATTCTAGGGGTAAAAGTCCAGCTTAGTTTGCTATTCTCCCAGAATTAGAAAACTGCTCTGTTGTTTTTCTCTGTGTGCCAAAATACGTTTTTGACGCTTGGCTCGAGAGTTTACTTCCCAGAGGAGCTCCTCTTGCTGTTTGATGGATGGCATTTGCCAAAAACATTTGAACAGAGGTGGGAGATCTGCCAGGAAGGGGCTAGGGAGACTGGGAGATGGGAAGAGGGCCATAGCTCATTGTTATGGCACCTGCTTTGCCTGCGCAAGGTCCTGGGTTCAATCCCCAACATCTCCAGGTAGGACTGCGAGAGAGACCTCTGCCTGAAATGCTGGAGAGCTGCTGCCAGTCAGTGTAGACAGCGCTGAGCTATGTGGACAAATGGTGTGATTCAGTACAAGTCTGCTTCCTATGTCCCTGTTCCTTGGACCAGGCTGGTTGCCGTATATTGGCCTGGGCACTGTCTTCTTCTGCATCTTCTTTAATAAGTTGTAACCTTAAAGGTAAAGGTAAAGGGACCCCTGACCATTAGGTCCAGTCGTGACCAACTCTGGGGTTGCGGCGCTCATCTCGCTTTATTGGCCAAGGGAGCCGGCGTACAGCTTCCAGGTCATGTTGCCAGCATGACTAAGCCGCTTCTGGCGAACCAGAGCAGTGCATGGAAATGCCGTTTACCTTCCCGCCGGAGTGGTACCTATTTATCTACTTGCATTTTGACATGCTTTCGAACTGCTAGGTTGGCAGGAGCAGGGACCGAGCAACGGGAGCTCACCCCGTCACGGGGATTCAAACCGCCGACCTTCTGATCGGCAAGTCCTAGGCTCTGTAGTTTAACCCACAGCGCCACCCGCGTCCCTTAAGTTGTAACCATACCGATGGATAAACGAACCCCCCTGAGATTCCGTAGGCAATAACTAGCTCAGTGGTGGAACGCACATTGTGCATGCAAAAGGGCCCGGGTTCAAATCTTGAATCTCCCATTCCCAAACCCTGGAAAAACACTACCAGTCATGTAGATGCTATTGATGGGTCTACTATGGTATGACCTGGAATAATATGGAAGATTCGTATTTGGCACCCGGCCAAGGGAGGTAGCTCTCAACTGGGAAGGAACACAGGGTGACTATTTAGGCGTTGCCAAAAATCAGAAGAAAGGAGAACGCAGATTTGCATAGCATTTGCATATGTTCGCCGCTTATTTATAGTTGGCGAATTTAGAAGCAGACTATAATTTAAATACATCTCACCCTGGTGGGTTAGGCTGGGAGCAAGTGACCCTATGCACCAGCTGAGTCTTGCTGTTGATGGGCCTTGTGATCTCTCTTTAGAGTTATTTACCTTAAATCAGCCTTGATCCCTCAAATGCATAAGGACACAGGAAGCTTATAATGAGGAAGTTGCCTTAAACGGTCTTATACCATCGGTCCATCTACCTCAGCATCATCCACACTAACTGGCTCTCTGGGGTTTCAGACCAACATATCTCTCAGTCCCATCTGGAGATGCCAGGGTTTGAACATGTCACACGACACAGATGTTCTGCAGCCCTTCCCTTTTGCAGGACAGTCCTCAGCAAAACAGGACACATGGGGGGGGCCAACCCTGAATTAATCACACCTTCATTCCTTGCTCCCTGATAGGCTATGATCTGTCAGACACAGCTCCCTAATTGGCCAGGACATATGACACACAGGACGGCCTGCGGCACAGTCTCATAATTTCATATCAGCCCCCCTGAGAAAGCCGCACGGCGTTGTGCTCTGCGGCTTCTCCTGCTTTGTGAGGTTTCCGCTCACACATGCCACCTTGCGCCTCCTTTCTCCACGGTGCTTGTTCTGGGATCCCAGCAGAAAAGATCAGCGTTTGGATTTGGGCGCTGTACAAATGTCCCTGTCACGAACTTTGGCCATGGCTGCCATGCGATTATTTATGGCTCCTTTCAGGACGTTGCCTTTTTCTTTAAAAAACAACAACTAAATAATCAAAAGCTTGGAGGCATTCTTCTTCTTCTTCTCTACAATGGTGCTTTGAGCACCCCCCCTTCCCACAGTGGGGGGTACTGAAGGCTTCAATGAGGCCACTTGTTCCCGTCCAAGGCCCCTGCGCAGGTCTCCAAAAAGAAGCCCGAAGGAACTCCTGCTGGCTCAAACGAGCGGGCGCTGAATGGGAACAAGGGGGTTCCTTTGAGCCTTTCTGTAGCTCCATGGAGAGCTGTCGTGGTGTGAGTAAAAGCCCCTTTTGAGGAGGCGTAATTTAGAGTTCAGTCCAAGACGGAGGAGGCAAAATTGATGAACCTTTTCTATAAACAGTATAAAAAGAGAGGTGGGAGGGGTGGGGCGGAGAGAGAGAGAGGGGGAGATTTGGTCCCCAGGATTCTGGAATGTCCTCATCTCTCTGCCAGGCAAGCTGGTATTTTGATTTCCTCAGGCCAGAGGTGGGGGAAGCTTTTCCAGCTCAGGGGCTGCCCTGCCCTGTGGACAGCCTTCTGGAGGCCACATGCCAGTGGCACGCAGGTGGGAAAATGTGTGGGGCAACAAACGCAACATTCACCTTGGTGCAATGGGGAAGTTTTTACGCACACTTTCTGTCCTCCGCCCAGGCAAGCGAGGGGCATTATCAGAGTTCTGTGACCTTCCGCTTGCAGGATGGCAGACCTCCATTGATAGCTGCAAGAATGCGATAAGTTCACTGTTCCTTTGTTGTTTTGTTTTAATTCACAGGCGCTGCAGAGGATGGGGATTCCGTCAGCAGGGTACGTGTCTGTCCCTTTGGGTGCGTGTGGATTGTCTGGGGCAGGAATGGATTTGAACGCCAGTGTTAGATGCTGAGCCAGGTTATGGGGCAGGAGGGATGGTCCCATGTATTAACAGAAAGAGATGCAAGTCTTGTCCAAGTCTAATGCTGGTGCTCATAGCCTTGAGCATGTTTGATGTGAGAAGAACCAATGACCTTTCTGATCTTGGAGTTTTGAATAGTGCATGTGTGCGTGCAACTTTCTTCACTGTTCCAACGGCCTATTCTTATTAAAATCCTCATATTTAAGGGACCGCCTCTCTTGGTATGCCCCGCAGAGGACCTTACGGTCCATGAATAACCATAGTTTAGAGGTCCTGGGCCCTAAGGAAGTCAGACTATCCTCCAGAGCCAGGGCCTTTTCAGTGATGGCTCTGACCTGGTGGAATGCTCTGTCCCATGAGACTAGGGCCCTTCAGGATTTAACCTCCTTCCGTCGGGCCTGTAAGACAGAGCTATTCTGCCTGGCCTTTAATTTGAATTCAGCCTGATCTTTTATTTCCCTTCCCTTCTCTTCCCTTCCCCTCCCCTTTTATGAAGATTACCCGCTTTGTGACCCCACAGCTAATTCTCCCCTGGCCTCCTCGCTGGCCCAAGTAGGACTAATTCAGCCAGCTAGCCCTGGGGATTATCTAAGGCTTATTAGATGGATTGCCTCTAAATTGATTTCTGAACTTTGAATTTTATTGTTATTCTTGTTTTTATACTGTATTTTATGCTGCTTTTACCATTAAGTGTTTTAAATTTGTTGTTAGCCGCCCTGAGCCCAGTTTTTGAACCGGGAAGGGCGGGGTATAAATAAAAAATATTTTATTATTAGTAGTAGTAAACAAATGATTTTGTTTGCAGGACTCCGGCTCTGCTGGGGAAGGCGGGAAGGACTACCCAATGTTCTATGTCACAACCATCCTGGTAAGACAGCTTGGCAACTTTTGCGAAAGTTCGGACTCCACAATGTTGTGGTGTTATAACGCATATCAAAAGTTTTGCCTTCTCTTTACTAATGTAGCTGAGTCTGATTGCCCCCAAATACCCGTTGCTGGAAATCCTAGGTTGGCAGAGTGCAGTTGCACACATGTCTGGCTTTTGGGCTTCCTGCAGGCATCTGGTTGGCCATTGTAAGAACAAGGTGCTGGACTAAGTTGGGCCATTGGCTTTTTTTTAAAAAAAAATAATAATTCAAAATTATAACAAGACATATTATCCAAAAACGTATCATCCTTGTCCCCCCCCCATTTTTCCTCCCCCCCCCCACAAAACCCCCACCCCCGACGTCCCTCAGTTCCAGTCTTTGGTTTCTCTAAGAATGCTGTTTTCTGCATGTTACAAAGTTGTATAGATCCTCAAACTATTTAGCTGATTATTATCAATAAAAGGTTTGTGAATGTTTATTCAAAACCTGCCAAGGGGTCCAGTTCACTTTGTTGCGTCTTCAGATACTTTGTAAAGGGTTCACATTCATCCTTAAAGTCACAGTTATCCTTGTCCCGTAGCTTATATGTCAGTTTTGCCAGTTCTGCATAGTCCGTCAATTTTTCTTGCCATGACTCTTTAGTTGGAGTTTCTTCAGTCTTCCATCCTTGTGCTACCAGAACTCTCGCGACCGTTGTCGCATACATGAAAATGTTTTTCAACTTTTTTGGCAGGTCTTTCCCTACAATCCCAACAAAAATGCCTTGGGTTTTTTAACAAATGTTAAATGGAACATTTTCTTCAATTCATTGTAAATCATTTCCCAAATTTTTTTAATTACCTTACAATCCCACCACATATGATAAAATGTCCCCTCCTTTTCCTTACACTTCCAACATATATTTGAATTAGGGCCATTGGCTTGATCCAGCAAGCTTGTCTTATAGCTGATGAAAACTTGGCAGTACCTCGCAGGCAGCTGAGGTTAGGTTGACCCATGAAGCTCTGCCTGTGGTCTTTGGTGGTTCTTTCTTTCACGTGTTGGGGCCCTGGTCAACGCAACCATGTGCAGACATGCCTTGTTAGCTGGGTTCCTCTTGCCTCATCCATAGGAAAAGCCTTATGTGATGGCCAAAGGCGCAGAGCTCGAGGGCTACTGCATTGACCTGCTGGAGAAGCTCTCCAAAATGCTTCACTTCAAATACAAGGTGGGCATCGTCAAGGACGGGAGGTATGGAGCGCTGAGTTCCGGAGGAAACTGGTCCGGGATGATCGGAGAGATTGTGAGGAAGGTAAGCTTTCTCCTGAGCATGTGTGTTGCACATCTTTCCCATTGAAAAAGACTACTGCCACTTTGCAGCACTCGTGGAAACTGATAAAAGGAAAACCTCATCAGAAGAACATGTTCTAGCCCAGACAACTTGGGTTTGATCAGTCTTAACTGGAGTCCAATATGGCGGCAGCAGCTATGCTATGACCCACCCGGGAAGGCCTCACCACCCGCCCGTGGGTCCTGACCCACTGGTTGAAGAACTATGGCCTGTACTGGTGGGCAGCGTTTCTCCAGGAATGGGTCGTTTTTGACAAGGCTGTTGTTTACCTCTGCCAGCCATTCGTTTTGTATTAGAATCTCTGACCTCTAGCGCCACAGTTGCAGATTTGGACTTGTACATGTGTGTCTTCTACATGAATAACTCTTGGGGAGCCATGCAATCTTGCAAATGGCTCTCTTCCCCTGCCAATCTGCTGTCTCTCTTATTAGAAAATATTTACTAAAAGAAACAGATTTGTAGTTTTGCCATAGACACAGATTATGCTTACATAACTGCCGCAATGCAAAAAACATCCCACGAGTGGATATTTTCTTAAAGTTTGTCATTCCAGTATGTAACGAACAGAGACCGTATTCCCATAAAGCTATTTGGATGGCGATTCCGCATTTCTGTTACGATAAACTAGAATTTGTTAATCCGGTCTTAATATTGTCGGGGTATTGCTTGATTCCCCCTTCCCCACAATTTCTTTGCAATGCAGACTTTTGCTGCTATTAAGAGATTTGTTAAAAGTTCTAGATCTTCTTCTGGGAATATACAGGCTGTCTCTGATACATTTGTTGGGTTAGTGCAAGGATTTCCATTTGCATAACTTACTCTCCCTCTCCTCTCCCTGTGTGTTCCCCGCACTCTCTCCAAATCTACTCTGGAGGATTGGGGTGGGGAGGACCTTGAACAGATTTAGGAGAGGAGGGAAAGGGGAGGTTCTGTTGTGCAGGCAAAATACTTTGCACTGATGGAAGGAATGCATCAAATGCCACTCTATATTTTTTTTAAGTATCCCAAATATTTAGGATCGAATGACACATGCATGGGTGGATCCTGGATTTCTGAAGTAGATCCCCCCAACCTTGAGGGCTGACAACCCCAATCTGTTGGATCCCCATTCTCAGTGTCATGATTCTACTTTGGGAAGCTGTGAAATGCACGGCTATCGACTGGGAACGAAGATGGGGAACAGAGCTCTGTGCATGTGTGTGGAATCTAATGGCATTGTGTGAGAAACAGTCCTCTGCCACCTCTATCTACCCTTTTGGTAGGAAGCTGACCTGGCGGTTGCTCCGTTGACCATCACATCGGTGAGAGAGGATGTCGTTGACTTCACCCAACCTTTCCTGTACACAGGAATCGGGATCTTGCTTGAGAAGGACACTTCCCTTGAGGAGGCTTCCCTCTTCCATTTCTTGACCCCCTTCAGCAAGGAGACCTGGTGTGGCATCCTGGTGGCTTACCTGTTCTCTAGCCTTTGCTTGTTCCTCGCTGCCAGGTGAAATGTCTCTTCTCTCTTCCAGATGATAGAAAGGAAGCAGCAGGTGCCCCCCTTCCTTTTTTTAAAAAAATGGTGATAATTGTGCTTGTAAGTTGCTTTGAGACATTTTTATGACTAAAGTGACTTATTATTAAGCACAGTACATATATGTAAAGACATGATAGCCAGACATATGGGCAGAGACACAAAATATTACCAGTTTTTTATCACACATCTTCAGCTGAGGGGAATGTGGCAAAATTCTCTTCTCAGGTTGATAGGACCCCACAGCCTTGATAATTTACTGGATGTCCCTGTAAACACATCACAAAGCCCAGACACATCAGTGGATTCATATAATTAATAATAATAATAATAATAATAATAATGATAATAATAATAATAATAATAATAATAATTTATTATTTATACCCCGCCCATCTGGCTGGGCTTCCCCAGCCACTCATCTGAAGAATGTGTGGTAAAATTCTCCTCTCAGGTTGACAGAAGAGGCATATAACTTAAACAAAAGCAACAACAACTGGGATGTTTTACCACAGTATGTGTATTAAAGCACATCATAGCCCAAACATATTGGCAGATGCAGGAAATCTCAGTGATTTTTACCACACATCTCCACCTGATGTGTGCATGGTTATGTATTTTTCTAACCTGTTTTGGGATATACTGTCTATATCCAAAAAGATGAGCCAAAAGTTCAGAAATGACTTCACAGCTTTGTTTTATTTATTGCTTGGTCCACCTTTTGGTATTCTAGTTGCATATTTCATGTTTCATGAAATACTTTAAAAAACAAACAAAATGAAAAACAGACACAGAGGGTGATACATTTTACTGGGGTGGGTGCTTAAGTTTTTCCCTTCTCTGATAACAACTGCCCTCCCCAAGGGTGCTTTCCCACCTGCAGTCGCCGACAGAGAGGGCAATTTTAAACGGGAAAAAATGGCTGGCACAGAGGAAGATGGCCCATTCAGGCTCATGTGGTCCTGATCCACCAACTGCAGCCTGCCCCTCACCAGCTGATCCTTCTTACTCACAGCCAGTCCAAAGAGGCTTCCTGGCTTCCTCCTTAGTCTCAGTTTTGCCTAACAGGGAGGAGTAGGTTGGAGGCAAAAGATATAGGAAATAAATCAAGCCTGCTGGATTATTCCACCCACCTCTTATAAAGCCATCCAAATTGGTGGTTGTGGAGGTGAGTTCCATAGTTTAGTTCCTTTCACCTGCCATTGGCTGCGGCTGTACCTGTTCTTGATTCTGACTCCACCCACTGCTGGGCCTTCTGCCCTATCACATCCAGTGGGTGCCAGTCACTGCTGGGCTTGAGCAGAGTTGTGGGGTGAAGCTCCTCCCTTTCCTTGCTCTTGAATGCTGCACAAACCCATAGTCTAGGAACAGCCACTTTTCATCTGAAAAGGAACCACTTGTCTGCTCCTGTGTTGTAATCCGTGTGTCCACCGGGGCAGGTGAATGACTGCCTTACCTTTCTTCCTCCCCACTCCAGAATGAGCCCTTGCGAATGGGATGGAAATGAAGAGACCAGCTTCACGCTCATGAACAGCCTGTGGTTTGGAGTGGGGGCGTTCACCTTGCAAGGTAGGCCATATCAAGAGAGGCACTGGGAGATTCTCCAAAGTCCCATAGTTCCAACTGTGCATGAAGAAGTCCTTTCTTTTGGCTGTCCCAAATCTTCTAGCATTCACTTCCATTGGACTTTTAAGCACTTCTGATGTGCTTTCCGATGCTCCCATGCTCTTGCTTCCTCCCTGCAGGTACCGTGCCCCAACCCAAGTCTCTCTCCGTACGGATAATTTCTGCCATCTGGTGGCTGTTCAGCATTGTGCTACTGACCGCGTACATCGCTGGCTTCAGCTTTGTTTTGGAGTCGGGCTCTGAGCAGGTCTCCATCCAGACCTTTGAAGACCTGGTGAAGCAGGGGCATCTGGAGTTTGGGACCATGGAAAGCTCTTCGACACTCCAGTATTTCAAGGTGGGCTTGGCTATGTTTGGTTGCCAGGGATATCAGCCTGGGGTAAGACAGCAAAAACCAGTTGTATGGAAACCTTGGCGGACTCTATACCAAATGCTGTTGGTATAGAACAGCCATAGGCAACCTTGGCCCTCCATATGTTTTGGGACTACAACTCCCATCATCCCTAGCTGACAGAACCAGTGATCAGGGATGATGGGAACTGTAGTCCCAAAACAGCTGGAGGGCCAAGGTTGCCTATGCCTGGTATAGAACAAGATTTCCCAAACTTAGGTCTCCAGCTCTTTTTGGGTCTCCAGCATCATCCCTGACCACTAGTCCTGCCAGCTAGGGATGATGGGAGCTGTAGTCCAAAAACAGCTGGAGGCCCAAGTCTGGGAAACCTTGGTGTAGGATACAAGTTTCTGGGAATCATGAGTGCTGAGAGTGCTGCTGCACTCAGATCCTGGTGACAGGCTTCCCAGTGGGGCAACTGGTTGGCCAAAATGAGAACTGGATGCTGGACTAGATGGGCCTTTGGCCTCATCCATCAGTGCTCTTCAAAGGTTCTAAACTGGAATAAACTTGGGAATCTAGAGGGCTGCTCCTTTGAAGGGCTCCTTCCACCCGTCTATGCATCCCCCAACACAATTTGTCATGGTAACATGTTGCTGTTACTTGTTTTCTTCTTTACCTTTCGTGGCTCCTTATTTTACTCTGTGGAGAGTCGTACCCATTTATGGCACTATATAAACGAACAAAGCAAATGAACATCGAAAAATTGAATGTCATTTCAATTTTTGGAGGGTATATGGTTGGTCTCAGCCATAGGAGCCAACTCCTAGGGGCTCAGCTCCCTCTGCCCCCCCTAAAATATTTGAGGGGGCTGGGCCTCCCCCCAAAAAGTTGACGGGCATTGCCATTCAAATGGTGTGTATGCACCGTGTCATGTGATTGGTTATGCAGGGTGGGGCGCACCTAGACTCAGCAAACCACCTGTGGTGGACTGGCCCATCCAGGTCAATTCATTAGAATTAAAATCTCAGACGACAAGTGGGCCCCATGTCTTTGTGAGTCCCATGCATGCTCTTCATAGCACAGGGGTGTCATTTGCACCTGCTCGCTTTCCCCTGGGAATCTGGGTAAAAGTATAAATAATCCTAGCCTTGAAAAGCATGTAGAGCTGAAAGTAGGAAAGACTCTTCCAAAATCATCCTTCAGCTCTGTGTAGTTTTCAAGAGAAAAGAAGGTTACTTTCTGCATCACCTCGTGATCAAGTGGGGCAGGAATTGGGGTCTGTGAGTGCCAGGGGAACACCTAAATGGTACCACTGTATGCATGGGTGCCTTGGCAACCCCTTACATTATCGAATACCCTGTGGCTTCTTCGAATTACAAAGGCTTGTTTGCATATGCAAGTGACACGCTTGTGCAAACTGCTCAGCACGTGCTTGTGTAAATGGCAGCTCTTTTTCATAGAATCATAGTGTGCTGGTCCCGTGGGTAGATCGAGAGGCGAGGTCCAAGTCCAGTCCGAGGTCGAAGGAGCAATATGGAGGCAGTCCGTAAAAGCTGAGGCTGGGTGCAAGGGAAGGTTCAGGCAGGAACTGGCGGCCAACAATGTTGCTTCCATAACTTGGGACTGGGGCTGGCTGGCTTTTATCTGCCCCGAGGCATAGGGCGGCCCTGGTCCTCAGGTGACACGCCTCTCTTGGCCTGGAGGCAAGCACTCCTCCTGCGGGAACTTAGTTCCCTCCGCCTCTGCAGCTCAGGAGAGGCTGGAGGGTTATCGGACCCAGAGGCAACCTCAGCTTCCTCTGACGGGGCTGAGAGTGGAGCACCTGCAGGCAATGGGTCCTCCATTACCTCAGGAGCCAGAGTAGACTCAGCTGATGCCTGCAGCTGAGGATCCAGCACAGGTGAGGACCCTTCAGGCTCATGCCCCAGCCCCGGCTCAGCTGGTTCTGGAGGCGGGGAATCCTGTGCAGGCTGGGATCCCTCAGGTTCAGCATCCGACTCCGAATCCCAGGCCATCACACATAGAATTGTAGATTTGGAAGAGGCCCTGGGGAACGTCTGGTACAACCTCCTCCAATGCAGGAATGAATATGCAGCTGTCCCATATGGGGATCAAACCTGCAACCTTGGCATTATCAGCACCATGCTCTTACCAACTGAGCTATCCAGGAAGCTCTTCCTAATGTGATCCACTTGTGGCTGCAGAACTCCAAGAACCCGATCCAGCAGCTGGTCTACGAGTCCATGAACAAGAAGAAGGACACCGCTTACGTAAAGAGCTACCAGGAGGCAGTTCAGCGCGTGCTGGATTCGAATTATGCTTTCATCGGAGAGTCCATCTCTCAAGACCTTGCTGTTGCTCAGCACTGCAACCTGATCCGCTCTCCAGAGGTCATAGGGGCAAGGGGGTTTGGCATCGCCACACCAAAAGGTAAGCCAACAAGAACCAAGAATTGGACCTGAGATGTTTCAGATCACAACCTGATTGTCTTAAGCCAGGGCTAGGGAATGTTTTTCAGACAGAGGGCCACATACACTCCTGAGCAACCTTCCAGGGGCCGCATATTAATGGCAAGTGGTGCCGGAGGCCTTAGTGGGCAAAGCAAAATGTTCCCTTTCTAGAGTAGGCTAGTTTTACCCATACACACATATTTCTGTTCCCTTTCCAAGCAAGCAAGAGGCACAATCAGAGTTCAAGGACACATTCCAGCCAGGCCAAAACACTCAAGAAGGGTGTGAGTCAGGGCTGGTAAAGGATGTTGCTAAAAAGGAGGTATAGCCTGGGGGGGGGGGGAATCCAACTGCCTGATAGCAAGGCTTGGAGGGCCACATTTGCCCTGTGCTAGGGGTTCCTCAACCATCTTCAGCAGCGGTTCTGACTTTTGTTCTTGCAGTGTGTCCCATTTCTTTGGCATATGCCTACCCAGTCTTTGGGTAGAATTTGGTGATTCATTGTTGTTGTTGTTGTTGTTGTTGTTGTTGTTGTTGTTATATTTTTTTAATGCTGTGTTGCTTTGTATTAGGGCCAACTGAAAGGTAGCAAGTTGGCTTTTGGGGGCACACCCAACTAAGTTCCCATCAGAGTTAGATCAATTTAAATTAACGGACCGTAATTAGTGATGCCCATTAACTTCAGTAGGTCTGGCAGGGCTGGCATTGGCTCCAACCCCTTTGAATTCACTTGGAATCTTCTTCAATCTGGATGTGAAGCTAAAAAAGGAAAATAAAGGAGGGCGGGGAGGGTAGAATAAACCTTGCTAGGTGTGATGGAAAAGTCAGTAGCTTAAGATGGAACAGAGGACGAGGTATCATGCAGACTTAGGCCCCACCTGCATTATACATTATACATGTAGAGCAGCATCATGCCACTACTGGTTTCTCCCAAAGAATCCTGGGAAATGTAGTTCGTTAAGGGTGCAGGGAGTTATTAGTAGTTCCTCTCAGAGCTACAATTTGCAGAGTAGTTTAAAAGGCAGTTGCTCTTCCCAGGCAACTCTGTGGATATGGTTCTGCTTACAACTCTCAGAACCTTTAAAAAACTACATTTCCCAGGATTCTTTGGGGGGGAGCCATATTTGCCACCAGTGGTAGGATACTGCTTTAAATGTCCATTGCAGATAGGAGCCTTAAATCTGGTGAAGTATGCATACAGTTTCCACCAAAAGCTCTAAGGCGTTTCCCAAACTTGCGTCTCCAGCAGTTTTTGGAACACAACTCCCATCATCCCTAGCTAGCAGGACTAGTGGTCAGGGATGATGGGAACTGTAGTCCAAAAACAGCAGGAGACCCAAGTTTGGGAAACACTGTTCTAAGGGACTATGAAGCACAGGGGCTGCTGTTTCTTTAGGCTCATAGTTCAAATGGGCCTCATAGAATCATAGAGTTGGAAGAGACCACAAGGGCCATCGAGTCCAACCCCCTGCCAAGCAGGAAACACCATCAGAGCACTCCTGACATATGGTTGTCAAGCCTCTGCTTAAAGACCTCCAAAGAAGGAGACTCCACCACACTCCTTGGCAGCAAATTCCACTGTTGAACAGCTCTTACTGTCAGGAAGTTCTTCCTAATGTTTAGGTGGAATCTTCTTTCTTGTAGTTTGGATCCATTGCTCCGTGTCCACTTCTCTGGAGCAGCAGAAAACAACCTTTCTCCCTCCTCAATGTGACATCCTTTTATATATTTGAACATGGCTATCATATCACCCCTTAACCTCCTCTTCTCCAGGCTAAACATGCCCAGCTCTCTTAGCCGTTCCTCATAAGGCATCGTTTCCAGGCCTTTGACCATTTTGGTTGCCCTCCTCTGGACACGTTCCAGTTTGTCAATGTCCTTCTTGAACTGTGGTGCCCAGAACTGGACACAGTACTCCAGGTGAGGTCTGACCAGAGCAGAATACAGTGGCACTATTACTTCCCTTGATCTAGATGCTATACTCCTATTGATGAGGCCCAGAATTGCATTGGCTTTTTAGCTGCCGCGTCACACTGTTGGCTCATGTCAAGTTTGTGGTCAACCAAGACTCCTAGATCCTTTTCACATGTACTGCTCTCAAGCCAGGTGTCCCCATCTTGTATTTGTGCCTCTCATTTTTTTGCCCAAGTGCAATACTTTACATTTCTCCCTGTTAAAATTCATCTTGTTTGTTTTGGCCCAGTTCTCTAATCTGTCAAGGTCGTTTTGAAGTGTGATCCTGTCCTCTGGGGTGTTAGCCACCCCTCCCAGTTTGGTGTCATCTGCAAATTTGATCAGGATGCCCTTGAGTCCATCATCCAAGTCGTTGATAAAGATGTTGAATGAGACCGGGCCCAAGACAGAACCCTGTGGCACCCCACTAGTCACTCTTCTCCAGGATGAAGAGGAACCATTGATGAGCACCCTTTGGGTTTGGTCAGTCAGCCAGTTACAAATCCACTGAGTGGTAGCATAGTCAAGACCGCATTTTACCAGCTTCTTTACAAGAATATCATGGGGCACCTTGTCAAATGCCTTGCTGAAATCAAGGTAGGCTACATCCACTGCGTTCCCTCATCTACCAGGCTTGTAATTCTGTCAAAAAACGAGATCAGTTTAGTCTGACATGACTTATTTTTCAGAAATCCATGCTGACTATTGGTGATCACAGCATTCCTTTCTAGGTGCTCACAGACTGTTTGCTTAATGATCTGCTCCAGAATCTTCCCTGCTATTGATGTCAGACTGACTGGGCGGTAATTGTTTGGGTCCTCTCTTTTCCCCTTTTTGAAAATAGGGACAACATTTGCCCTCCTCCACTCTGCCGGGACTTCGCCTGTTCTCCAGGAATTCTCAAAGATGACTGCCAGTGGTTCTGAGATCACATCTGCCAGTTCTTTTAATACTCTTGGATGCAGTTCATCTGGCCCTGGAGACTTGAATACATCTAAACTAGCCAAGTATTCTTGTACTATCTCCTTAGTTATTCTGGGCTGTGTTTCCTCTGCTGAATCATTTGCTCCAAATTCTTCAGGTCGGGCATTGTTTTCTTTATCGGAGAAGACTGAGGCAAAGAAGGCATTGAGGAGTTCAGCCCTTTCTGTGTCCCCTGTTTGCATTTCACCATCTTCTCCTCTGAGTGACCCCACTGTTTCTTTGTTCTTCCTTTTGCTACAAACATACCCATAAAAGCCTTTTTTGTTGCTTTTAACCTCTCTAGCAAGCCTGAGTTCATTCTGTGCTTTAGCTTTTCTGACTTTGTGTCTACACGTGCTGGCTATTTGTTTGAATTCCTCTTTGGTGGTTTCCCCCCCTTTGCCATTGTTTGTACACATCCTTTTTAATCTTAACTCAGTTAAAAGTTCTTTAGATAGCCACCCTGGCTTCTTTAGGCACCTTCCATGTTTCCGTCTCATTGGTATTGCCTGACGTTGTGCTTTTAGTATCTCCCTCTTAACAAACTCCCAGCCATCATGAACTCCCTTTCCTTTTAGTATTACTATCCATGGGATCTCGCCCAGCACTTCCCTAAGTTTTATGAAGTCGGCTTTCTTAAAGTCAAGAAATTGAGTCCTAGTATGCTTGGCTGCTCCTTTCCGCTGTAAAGTAAACTTCAGAAGAGCATGATCACTCGTGCCTAATGATCCTTCCACTTCCACCCCACTAACCAGGTCATCAACATTGGTTAGGACCAGATCTAAAATGGCTGTTCCTCTTGTTGCTTCTCCCACTTTCTGGACAATGAAGTTGTCTGCAAGGCCAGTGAGGAATCTGTTTGACCTTATGCTCTTGGCTGAGTTTGACATCCAACAAATATCCGGGTAATTGAAGTCCCCCATTACTACTATCTCCCTTCCTTTTGCATGCTTGGCCATCTGTTCCAGGAAGGCATCATCTATGTCCTCCGTTTGGCTTGGGGATCTATAGTAAACTCCCACAATGAGGTCACTGTTATTCTTCTCTCCCTTGATTTTGACCCAAATGCTCTCACTTTGGCTTTGAGGTTCTAAATCTTGGATCTCTTCACAGGTATACACATCCCTGACATATAACGCCACTCCTCCTCCTTTCTTGTCTGGTCTGTTTCTCTGAAATAGATTGTATCCCTCCATTATTACATTCCAATCGTGGGACTTATCCCACCAGGTTTCAGTGATGCCTATTATGTCATATTTAGTTTGCTGTACCAAGAGCTCAAGCTCATCTTGTTTATTTCCCATGCTTTGTGCATTCGTGTACAGACATTGAAGTCCATTAATCATTCCCCGTGTCTCTTATTTAAGGATTTTTCCTCCCACCACTAGGTCTGCGTGCTGTTTGCCCATTTGGTCTATGACATTTGGATGATCATCTTCATCAATTGATAGACTCCTACCTTCAGGAGCACTGTCTCCCTCCCCACACTAGTCAGTTTAAAGCCCTCCTGATGAGGTTTCTGAGATTTTGGCAAAAACATTTCTCCCAACCGTTGTGAGGTGCAGCCCATCGCTTGCCAGAAGTCCATCTTCAAGAAACTGCAGTCCGTGATCTAAGAATCCAAACCGTTCCTGTTTACACCATTTGCGAAGCCAGCTGTTCACTTCCACTATTTTCCCTCTCTCCCTGGGCCACGTCGTTCAACTGGGAGGACAGATGAGATGACAATTTGTGCATTTAATTGCTTCAATTTCCTGCCCAGAGCCTCGTAGTCTCTTTTGATCTTCTGGAGGCTATTGCTTGCAGTGTCATTGGTTCCCACATGAACCAAGAGGAAGGGGTATTTGTCAGTGGGTTTTATGATTCCTTGCAGTCGTTCAGTTACATCTTGGATCTTAGCCGCGGGGAGACAGCACACTTCCCGAGACATCTTGTCAGGCCCACAGATCACTGCTTCTGTTCCCCTCAGTAGGGAATCCCCTATCACCACTACACGCCTCCTCTTAGGTTTGGTCGGGGTTCTTCCGTGAGCTGTCCGTTCCAAGGTCGCCTGCACATTCCCTGAGGACTGACTTTGCTGCTCGTCTTCATATACCTGATCGACTGTAATGAGGAGAGATCCTCAAATGGAGTCTGCTCTTCGTCTTCCATGCTAGGGGAGAGGACCTCAAAGCGATTGTGTATTTCTAAACAATCAGAGCGAACCCTGGGCCTCCTACTTCTTTGAGTCACGTTTCTCCATATATCTGGCTCCTGTGTTGGTGAACTAGCCTCCTTCTCAGGGGAGTCCCTTGTCTCCTCCTTGGTGGAGGAGGACATAGGACATCTAGTCCTTGCTGGTTCAGGTAAACTACTGCTTCAGCATCCCCAATGGGTGACCTTCCAGTCCTTACTTTGATATATGTAGCGAAGGAGTGTCTACCACAGGCTGCCCTCTAGATGTTATTGGACTACAACCCCTCTACCATTCCTGACTGTTGACCCTGCTGGCTGGACTGATGGGAACTGGAGCCCAACCAATATCTAGAGGGGACTTCCATCTTCCAAGGATTGGTGGCCACCAACCTGGATGGCTTAAAAAGTGGGTTAAGCAAATTCATGAGGAATTGAACTGCTAACCCTGAAGACTATGCTCTGCTTCTACTGTTGGAGGCAACAGCCCTCTGAATGCTGGGAATCTCAAGTGGGGAGAGTTGCTATTGCACTCAGGTCCTGTTTGCAGGCATCTCAGAGGCATCTGTGGGAACAGGATGCTGGGCTAGTTGGGCCACTGGCTTGATCTAGCATGGCTTTTCTTATGTTCTTATGGCAGTCTGTTCCACAGTCAAACGCTTTTTGTACTGCCAGGAAGTTCTTCCTGGTGCTTAGTTAAAACCCCTTCCATGTAACTGGAATTTGTTGGTTTCAGGTCCTGCCCTCTGGAGAACCACAATTTTGCTTTGCCCATTGATGACAAAGCCCATCAAATGCTGAAAACATCAACACCAGCACTTATTTGTATCTGCTTCAAGCTCTAATTGGAACACATGGGAATCTTAATGGAACACCAGGAGATATTCTAAGGGTGGCTGGCCTTTTTTTTGCTGAGCTATAGTCAACCTTCTGGATGTCAAAGCAGGCTTGGCAAAAGTGATGAAGTGGGTGTGGAGAGTTAGCTTGTTGTCTGCTTGACACCTTCTACTCACTTAAGTACAGAATTGGGCTTTTTCGCCATCTTTCTCTCTCCCCTTCTTGCCCCCACCCTTTGGCTTATCACCCAGCGTAAATGAATAATTGACATAAAACCCAAGGCTTGTTCTCTGTTTTGTGGCATTGGAGTTGGGTCTTGCACTTCCAGTACTGCGTAGAAAATGACACCGAGTTCTTCATCCCGGTTCTGCTTTCACTTTTTATAAAAGTAGCGCAAGGATAATTTGGAAAAAAAGTTGGGGGGCAATACCTGGTAAAACCAGTCGCGAGGTCTATGGCTAGTAGTTGAACATTGCAGATCGTTTTTGCTGAAGATTAAATAAACCAAAACCTAAGGGGGGGGGGGGAATAATGGGTTTAGGATAATGAATGCAAACTAAACAAGTGTTGCATTTTATTATTGACTTTGCATTGCTTACTCTGTTTCCAAAACCTCTCTTCCGCCCCACCCACCCCCTATCTCAAAGAGTGGGGAATTTGTATCATGAAAATCAAATGTGACATGGAAGGAACATAAAGTGTGGAAGCTGGGAGTAATAGGGCTATAACAGCCGTGGGGCAATAGCTATGGGAGTGTTAGGAGGTGACCTGAAGGCAAAATCCCAGACCGCGTTGCTCAGCCTTGTGATGGCCATCACAGCTGGCATTTTCAAGCAGATGTCCACAGTACTCAGGACTAGTAGCCTGCCAAGGCATGGTCAAGGAAGCAAAGCTGCTCAACAGAGCCAGTTTTGAAGCACCTTAGAGCTAGACATCCTGTGGCAAAGCCACCTTGTGTTCAAGAATTGGGACCAAGGGTTGCATATGGCTAGACTAAAAGTGTGCCACAAACTCTGAAAAGGAGCAGCCATCTTTTTATGCTTGCTGAGTAAAGTGCTTGAGATTTTCTTGAAACGGTGGTTGTTGATGCTACATCTAAAATCCTTGTGTGAGTGGGAGAGCAGACTGATAGAACGTATACCTTATCTAGTTTCTAGCCTGACATTTGGGTGCACATAGCCATCTTCCAAGCTTTGCCTGTAAATTGTTTAAGGCTGGGCTGGCCTAAATGGTGACTGCAGACATTGCTGGATTTCCATCAGGTCAGGGGTGATGGGAATTAAGCGTCTGGAGGGGGCACCAGGTGACCTACTCCTGGGTTAAGCCAAGAAGTGATGACCCTTCTACTAATCCGTGTCCACTCCTAGGATCCCCCTGGACTAACGAACTGTCCGTGGCCATCTTGAAGCTCGGAGAATCTGGCGATCTCGACTACCTCAAGAGCAAGTGGTGGGAGAGCAGCTGCTCCGACGAAGATCACGACAAGTGGAGCCCGCTGAAGCCTCAAGCGCTGGGAGGGATCTTCCTCTTCCTTGCCCTGGGCCTTGCCTTGGGAATGGTCATCGCTGTGATTGAGCTATCCAAAAAGAGCCGGCACACTGCAGATCAGGAGAAGGTGAGTTGCACGCTGGATTTCTTGCACTGAATATCAGTGCAATGCTTATCATCCATTAGGATGTGGTCAGGGGCTCCATATATTTGCAGGGTTACCTGGGAGAACATGTTTTACTTATGCGATGTGGGTGGCCAATAGGTTTTCCCCTTGCCTTGAAAGAAACTGAATAATTTAAACCCCTGGGGGGCTTCCAGGATATTGTGTTGTGCGTAGGAACCATTTCTTTGCACTTTCCTCTTGCCAATGGGGAGGGATGAGCACTCCTCAGAGCAGGAGATGTTCCTGAACAACAACTCCCATCAAGCATGGGAAAGGATGATGGGAGTTGCAGTTCAGCAATGCCTGGAGGGCCAAAGATTCCGCACACCTGCTTCAGAGGGCTGGAATTGACCCTGGGGGTCTTCTGTAGTTTTCCTCTATTTTAAACAAGGTTTAAAGGATGCTTTTAAACTGGATCCTTTACTAATATCCTTCCCAGCACATTTTCCAGAAATTTCATTTTAACTTCAGGAAACCCCTCAACTGGACAAGTGAGAAGTCCTTGTGTGTCATCGAGCATTTGGGGGCAGGTTTTAGGGCAGAAAATCTTCCAACTTTTTCAGACACAAGCTCCACCTCTAACTCCCAAATGCAACTTGTTTTTGTTTTTAAGAACATATATTTGCATGGCAGTAGTGCTGCTGTTGTGAGCAGATCACCTGACTCAATGAGACAAGTGCCGGGAGCACTGGTAAATCTGATTTCCCCATAACTCCCTACCACTAGGAAAGCAGAATTTGCCAGTGCTCCTGGTGCTTGGTTCACATCCATAGTAGGATGTTTTGTGCCACAAGCAACATGTGGGGGAAAAACTACCTTCCAGCTCAGGAGTGACGCCTCTGATCTCCCATGGGCATTTCCCAGCCTTCCTACCTGATATTGCTTTTGACAAGATGGCAGGGATTGCACCTGGTGGCTTGCTCATGCAAAACATGTCATCTTACCCCTGAGCTAACTGCCCCCTCCTTATCCCCCCACTCTACCGAATTCCCGCAGTGTTTCAGCTAAGTCACACAATGCACAAAGATGTGCATTGATCTGTTGCTCTCACACTGTTTCCTGCGAGGCTTTCAGTGCTTGCCACATACCCAGAAAAACAACATTCCATCACACGCTAAGGGTCATGTGAACTGACCTGCCGCTGCGTTTTTATTTCCAATGAAGGTGCTCATTAGGGAACATTGCGACTTTTCTTCTACTTTTTTTTTTAAAAAAAAAAGATTTCCTGCAGGACGTTCTTTTGCCAATTGTGGGGTTCCCTTGCGAAATGTTTATTACGAACCGTTTTTGTACCACCATCAATCACCTCCAACTGCTCAGCAAACCTTAATGAGAGTTTGTAAAGGAAATCAGCAGTTTCTAATTGACAGGCCTCCCAGCCTCCTGTTGTCACAGTGCCCTTCCCTCTCACTTTACAGATGTTCACAGTTAGCTGATCGCGACACAGCAATGTATCATAGCCCACTTTTCTTGTACTAGAAACTTAATGGCTTATCAAAAGAAAAGAAAAAGTAATGCACGTGTGGAATTTCTGATTTACATTTAAACTCTTTGAGGTGGTGCTTCAGTCTGTGGCCCTCCAAGGTCTCATTCGATTTCCAGCCCCGATCAGCAGGCCTAATGGTCAGAGATGATGCGAGTTGGGAGACCAGCAATATCTGGAGGGGCACATATTTCCCCATCCTTAAGGGGAAGGGGAAAAAGCACAGCACTATCATTCTCTCTGCCTTTCCTTGTGTTTAGAAATCTTGCTGCGCCGTGTTCACCAAGGAGCTGAGCCAACGCTTCCGGCCGAGAGAAGGGACGCCGCAAGAGAGTGCAGGGAAATCGAAGCCATGAGTCGACGTAGGAAAAGCAAAAGGCCAAACCTTAATGAACTTCTTCTCCCCTTTTTTAAAAGCAACTCTACTATGCATTACTTAGTGGTGCTCGCTTGAGAGCTCTTCCTAACAATAGAGGGGGTGCCTGGCTAAAATCTAGCGTAGGTTCTCTGTAATAACACAAACCCTAAAACCCTCTTCCCATATGTAACGTTGCAAACCGCAGGCGACTGAACCAGTTTGTTTGGGGGCTTGCTAGCGCCTGGGTCCTGGGTGTTTTAACATTTTCACTTTTCCAGAGTACATGTTACCGGTGTCTGTAAACCACAGCCTTGGCAGGATGACCAATGCTGATAACAGTTGTTGGAAGAACCTTAGTGAAAGCTATGCAAATAATTCATTTGGAAGTCTAAGGGGAAGCAGCAGCACCGTTGGGCTTCTAGGGAGTTGTGCGGGTGGGCAGACACAGTGGCAAGTAAAGTACAGTTCTGAGCTCCATAGCAAGCTTTTTTGAGAGCAAGTTGCTAGTCTAATGAAAGAAGGAAATGCTGTAGACTCTGGGGGAGGGTTGCATGTGTTGTTTCAGCTGCCTGCAGATCTCCTCCCTTACAAGAAACATAAATCGTGGAAGTGTGCTCAACATGTAGAACAGATGCAGGTAGAAAGAGTTTCTTGACCTTTCCTTGGCCCAGAGCATTATTTGCATTTAGTGCTGAGTATAAGCAGCCTTAAATGGCACTCCTGTGGACCTGTTCAGCTGTGTTATTGACAAGTTGCTCAGAAGGAGGTGGTGTTTTTAATCAAATGCTTAACGGAAGCCTAGGTTTTGCAGATGAAGCTAGGAAGTGCTTCCATCGCAAAAGAGCGGGCAGGTGCCCCCAGCTGTAGTAAGGACTAGTACCAACTTTCCCAAATGCCTCAATGCAGCACAGATTTGCATGCGCTTAAGCTCACTGAGATCAGTGTCCCTGACTGTGTTGCGTTGTGTGATCTAGAGTTCCGGCAGCTTTTCCTTTTTTGTGTGTGCGTTCAAGCTTGCTCACAAACCGCAGTAGCATGTGAACATCTGAGAGACAGCAGCATTGGCCCAGGTTGTAACAGCAGAGGGCACAAAGGTCTGCCACAAGTTACTTCTTTTAATATGTGCTGGGGATTTAAAACGAAAGGGCAGATTAAGTTAGGATACAAGCTACCACTACACAGAGCTGTCTCTCTCTCTCTCCCCGTAGAAGTCTCTTCTAAAACCCTCTCTGCAAGCCAACCACCTTGCCTTACAAACGGAACAAAAGAATTAGCAACATTTTTATGTATCACAAAAGTCATCTAAATAAAAGCAAGTTATGACCAAGCTGCCTCCTTGTATATATATCTACGTGTCAAAGTCTGTAGTTTGCCAAGTGTGTGAGAGAGACAGTGTCCTGCAGTGGTTAAGGGTGTTGGACTAGGACCTGGGAGACAAAGGTTCAAATCTGGGAGCTGCTAGAAGAAAAAAGTGGGATATAAATGCATTAAACAAGAAAGCAAATTGATTTTTTTGTAACAGGGAAAAGGGACAAGATACTTTCACCTCAAGTCAGCTTTCTAAGTTTCATTTTTAGATGTGATACGCAATTGGTTCACGAGCAGCTGCCAATTTTGCCTGCTGGTTCAGGCTTTGCAGACCTTGTGAATTATTTTAACCTGTGGGGCTTCAGATTTAATGAGTGAGGTAGTGGTAGGGGAAGCTTAAGGGCCACAGTCCCTTGGAGCTAGTTTTCCTGCTTCACATTTCTAAAGCAACTCTTCCAGGCCTGCAGCCTCTGAGAAAATCCTACTGAGTGAGGGTGGGGAATGGGAGCAAAGGATTTGGATCCAAAGCAAAAACAGACTTCTTCTCCAGCTCTTTAAAAACTCTATTTGGTATCTGCCAAGTAAATGGCTGGTGTATATTTAGGCCAAAATATAAAAAGAGATTCTTCACTGGCATTTAAATATTTCAATATGAATGTCTCACAGAAGAAAAAAATCAAGTCTTTTCCCATCGCAAACACCACAGCATTAAGATAAGCACTTACAAAAAAAAAAAAAAATGGAGAGAAAACCCAAAACAATATGAGTGAGATACATAATCCATTACACACACAAACACATATATATCTATATAAAGATATATATATATGAACAATTGTGTGTGTTTGTGTGTTTATATATGTATATAAATAATAAATCATATTGTCGCTTTCCTTAAATCATAAAAGCACAATATAAATACGGAATTGTGTGAACTCATTTTCCCTGTGGTAATAAAAATACATTCTTTACAATTAAAGTAAAACTAGTGCAAGTCCTGTTTCCAGCCGCCGCTCACCCCCTGGAGTCTCTCCTCGCCCGGATCATTTGAGGGGCACCTCGTACTTGAAAATGACGCTGAAGATCTTCCCGCCGAGGCGATCGGCCAGCCAAGAGTTCTTGATGACGGCAAGCTTGAGGCTCTCGCATTTGAGGGCTGCATAGTAGTTGGTGTGGATGGCGCGGCCCATTCCTTCGATGATGACCAGGTCGGTCTTCCGCTCCCGGACCAGGTTGGCCAAACCTTTGTCTAGACGGCTGAAATAAGATGCGGAGAGCTTGGTGAGTGGGGGACGGGAAAACACTCAACTCCACGAAACCTGGGCAGGCCTTCTCACACCTAACTGGGTTTCTGGGGTTTTTCCTGTTGTTATTCTGTCTCTCACAGCTACAATAAGGTAAAGGTAAAGGGACCCCTGACCATTAGGTCCAGTCATGACCGACTCTGGGGTTGCGGCACTCATAGGCCGAGGTAGCTGGTGTTTGTCCGCAGACAGCTTCCAGGTCATGTGGCCAGCATGACTAAGCCGCTTCTGGTGAACCAGAGCAGCGCACGGAAACACCGTTTACCTTCCCGCCGGAGCGGTACCTATTTATCTACTTGCACTTTGACGTTCTTTCAAACTGCTAGGTTGGCAGGAGCAGGGACCGAGCAACGGGAGCTCACCCCGTTATGGGGATTTGAACCGCCGACCATCTGTTCAGCAAGTCCTAGGCGCTGTGGTTTAACCCACAGCACCACCCGTGTCTCACAGCTACAATAAACCTACCATTAAAATTATGGACTGGTCATTTCTTTGTCAGAGGGCAAACGGGCAAATTTAGCAGGGGATCAAATACTTTCCCCCCTCACTGTATCACATGACTCCCAAGACAGGTTGAGGGGGAGACAGGTACTGTACACCACAGTGAACAGCTAATACCGGGTTATATACCAGGGATGGGGAACCTTATTTCCCCATTCCCTTCTGGTGTCAGCAGCGAGTCAGCGGTAAATCACACGGTGCCAGTTGGAGCTAATAGTTATTAGCAAAAAAAAAAAAAACCCCACCACAATCTGCACAGGAGTGCCAGGCCTAATGGGCACAGCAGCTCATCCCTGTTAAGTATTGCTCCAATGAAGAAGTTGCCGAGACTGAAGGTCCTCACAGCTGCCCAAGTCTCTTCCACTTAAGGGCTTTTTCCAAGCAATAGGAGACTGTGCCTGCATGAGACTCCATCTGTTTCAACTCTCTTCTGGTTCTGGGAGACAAGGGCGGGGGGAGGAGAGCTTGTCACAGCAGGAGGGGGAGACTTGCCCCCCCCGACTCTACACCAGCCCGACTCATTTGTGCCTCTTGGCCTCTCTCTTCCCATTTGCCTGCTTCAGCTTCTGCCTCTGATTCTGGACTGCTCTATACCACGGACTCTCCCAGCTCACTAAGCCCTGTTGCCTCTTCAGCTTCCGACACCTCCTCGTCCTCCCAGTCTTCTCCCTCTGGCCACTCATCGTCATCCCACCACCAATCCCTGGGTTCTGAGCCTTCTTCCCTTGGGGGTTCCCCAGCTGGTGCCTCCCGACATTCCTCTGTCCAGCCAGTCCATGGTGCCTGGCAACCTTCCGAGGGGCCGCAGGTCAGCGGTGGGTGGAGCAGAGGCAAAACTGGGCGGAGCAATAAATGCAAATATCACCCTTTCTACTGTAGGTTAGTTCATCAGCATCATCAGAATTCAAGGGCCTATTCCAGCCAGGCAAAAACGAGCAAGGAGGTTACGAAGCAGGGAGTTTTTGCAGGAGGCAGTGGAAGACAGGGGTGCCTGGCGTGCTCTGGTCCATGGGGTCACAACACCACGAAGCAAGGCCGGTGAAGTTTGTGGCCCTGCCCCTGTCCTAGACAACAGCACTTTATACAGGCCGCCCACGGTTTGCCTGGGTTAAGGGGCATGCCCAGCATTATGGTCCCATTCACACAGCTCTTATGTCAGTGACACTTCAGACTGGGGCGATGCATGTCAATTTCACGGCTGTCCCATTCGGCTTCTAGGTTTCTTTGCAAGCGGCAGGAAACTGACATGCATCATCTAAAGGCTTTGCTTTTGATGTGCTTCTGGAAACTCAGAACAACTCGGTGGAACCACAATGCTCTACAGACCCTAAAAAGCAAACACTTGCTGCCCCCTTGTGGTGAGAAGGAGGACTTCCCCCCAGACTGTTATCATCATCTGAGATTTCTGTGCTCGCAATACAGTGGTACCTTGGGTTAAGTACTTAATTCGTTCCGGAGGTCTGTTCTTAACCTGAAACTGTTCTTAACCTGAAGCACCACTTTAGCTAATGGGGCCTCCTGCTGCAGTTGCACCGCCACAGCACAATTTCTGTTCTCATCCTGAAGCAAAGTTCTTAACCTGAAGCACTATTTCTGGGTTAACGGAGTCTGTAACCTGAAGCGTATGTAACCCAAGGTACCACTGTATACAGGAGGGAGACTTCTTACCTGAGGTCCAAGCAGGGTGAACTTGAGCCTGTCTGTACCAAGAGCAACTTCTCTTCCTTCAAGGCAGCTCTAAAAGGAGGCAGATGCATAATTTTAAGATCAGCTTCAATGTTCACATGCTACGAATATGCCAGGTCTTGGGTTTAAAACAGTTCTTCAATATTATGCAAAATTAAGGGTCGTACTCAATGAGGCCCTACATAGTACAGACCCAATGAAATTATGAACCTAAGTTCATCCATTTCAATGGGTCTACTCTGATGAAAACCAGGATTTGGAGCAACCCTTGGTCTTAACCAGGTGTGGAGAACCTTTGGCTCACCAGATGTTGCTGAACTACAACTCCCATCAGTCCCAGAAAACACAGCTGGGGGTGATAGGAACTGAAGTTCAGCAACATCTGGAGGGCCACCTGGTCTCAAATATCACATCACAAAACCTTAAGCTTTTATTTAGCAGAGTATCGTTCAAACTCTTTGATTCTGATCACTCAACAAACCACCAGCAATCCAAACTTTGTGATAAGTCTCAAACCTTCGCTTTTAAGAGTGTGCCCAAAGAGAAGAAACACCATACTGGTCCTCACCGTATGACAGGATCCGTAGCTGCTATCCTCTCCGTAACAAGCAGGGACTCGCTGTAGGTGACATCATTTAGCGCAGGCCCAGAATTGCAAGCCAATATAACCTGTGAACACACACAGGGAGGAAAGGCAAGTATCACATTGGGCCAAGTGTGAAAAGTTCAACGTACACTTCTGTATGTGAGTTGAAGAAATGAACTGTAGGAGAGCACCAGGAGGTGGGATTAACCTCCTAGTCCAATAATATAGCCTCCACTAGAGCTTTCCAGTCACCAAGTGGTTCAGTATAGGATAGTTTCTTCTATCCGATCCATGAGGAGCTAAGGCAAGTTTGCTGAAATAATCTTTCCCCCCAGTTACTTATGCCATTATCTTCTCAAGTAACAACATCAACAGTGATGAGCTAGCTTGAGGCAGTTTACCTTAGACTGTCACCGTAATTCAACTGACCTCTGTGCCCCTAGAGAGCAGCTCCCTGACAAAGGGGAAGACGCCTAATATGATGTCTATTCCACTGTTATCTGCAAAAATTAAGGCACATTTATGAGGGGAGGCCTGTAAAAGAAAAAGAAAAGTATCATTCAGAGAAGCACCGACAGGCTGCAGGTTAAAATATGTACACGGAGTGAACAGTGCGACCCAAACCATGTCTATTCAGAAGTGAGTTCCATTGAATTCAATGGATCTTACTCTCTGGTAAGTGGAGTTAGGACTGTAAGCAAAAAAACACTTTTGCTGGAAAGTCTATAGGCTACTCTTTCCGCTCAACAGATTCTGCCTGAGAAAATGACCTCTGTAGGAAAATGCAGTATGTCTGCCCTAGAGCAAAAGATGTCCATCGGCTGCTCTGAGTTTGCCTGTTCCTCGAATTTGCAAGACATAACCGGCTGTACTTTTGAATAAATTAGGTATACTATTCATTGTATCAAATTGTAGATTTCAACGGAAGTCTCATAAAGTTCAATGAGAAAAGCAGAAGGCCCAGTGGATCGATCAGTTCATTCTCTAGTCAGTTCACGCATAAGGTCCATACATGTAAAAGTATCTAGTCCACCTGTCTGTTCAAAGAGTCCAATAATCCACATGAAGGGTTGTTACAGTTCCACAGAATCCTTTCACAGAGTCTAAGACAAGGATTTCCGGAATATTAGCCTTTTTTCACCATCCTAGGCTTCATCAGTAGAACAGGCTCATATGTAATATTGCAGGATAGTGAATTTTATAGCATGGTAGTGGTTGCAGTCCGTTGAAATCTACAATTTGATACAATGAATAGTATACCCTATTTATTCAAAAGTACAGCCGGTTACGTCCTGTGTGTTTATTGAGTATGTTTCACGTCACCATAGGTTTGTTGTTGTTGTGTTGTTCCTTGAATTCAACAAGCTCAAAGCTATGGCACAGTCCGAAAGGCAGTTGGCACCCACATCACCTTCCTTTTGGCTCTATATAGAGGGATCTCCAGTCCAAATCTGTGGGGGTGGGGCAGAGGTCACAATAATTAGGATTTTTGGGTTGCTTTTTTAAAGGGTGTAGGCCAGTTTTCCCTCAAACTACTTGGGCCAGAGCCCCCTTGGACACCAGCACATTGCAAAATCCAGAGTTCTTTCTATGGATTCACATTTCAAAACAGTGTTTTGATAGTCTTTGTAATGGTCTGGGCCAAGTCCTGTCTCCACTGGTCTTTTCTAAATAGGCTATTTTATGGGATTCCGTAGGCTTGTGGCTGGTGGCCAAGTGGCTGAAACGTCAACACAGGAATCTCACAAAAAGCAGATGCTAAGCAGGGACAATGACTGAAAATATTTTGGATTTTGTTAATGTAAAGCAAAACCCAGAGATTCTACCATAGGTAAAGTACAAATGACTTTTTTTAAAAAAAAAGTGGCTTCCTTTCTTATACAAAGCAGCTGTTCCAGAGAGGAAATCAGAAATCTAGGGAGAATCTTGTCTATCGTCCTCTTCTAATATCACACTGTTTGGGTTTACACTTGGTCTTACTTCATAAAATGCATGTTCAAAACCATTTTGCTTCTATATTTAGAGGTAATCACGCACCAAAGTATTATCATCCAAACCCCTTTTGCTCCATTTTGTTTCACTTTAGTACTTGAGTTACTGATTGCATGCAAATCAGCCTTCTTGTTTATTGCGGAATGCTGTATTCTTCTGCATCCTTCTTTTATGAAATTAACTTGTCTTAAAATAAAAGTAAAGGTAAAGGGACCGCTGACCATTAGGTCCAGTCGTGGCCGACTCTGGGGTTGCGGCGCTCATCTCGCTTTATCGGCCAAGGGAGCCAGCGTACAGCTTCTGGGTCATGTGGCCAGTATGACTAAGCCGCTTCTGGCGAACCAGAGCAGCGCATGGAAACGTTGTTTACCTTCCCGCTGGAGCAGTACCTATTTATCTACTTGCACTCTGACGTGCTTTCGAACTGCTAGGTTGGCAGGAGCAGGGACCGAGCAACGGGAGCTCACCCCGTCATGGGGATTCGAACCACCGACCTTCTGATCGGCAAGTCCTAGCTTCTGTGGTTTAACCCACAGCGCCACCTGCATCCCTGTATGTTTTAAAATAAGGAATATTAAAAGGAAGAGAGAGTTTTTTAGTTTCAACGATCTGCAGCTGAAAAGGAGAGACACACACACCCCTTTCTTTTGTCCAGCTGCATTATATTCAGTAGTTAAGAGTGACTGCTTGTAGCTTATTGTAACCTGCCTTGGCACCTTGGTAAGTAGTAGCAATAATAATAATAATAATAATAATAATAATAATAATAATAATAATATACCTTGAGTCGTGCCAGCCATTCATTGTAGGAATCTTCGAGCCAGGGGCGTTCTGTACAATGGGACAAAAACCAACCCGTTATCAAAATATTATGGACAGGTCAATTGCTCAAGAAAATCTGGATGGAAACATTCTGGGTTCCTTTCTTGGCCAGAGGTCTAAGGAGCCCTGGATGCTACGACCCCTGTCCTCGAGGAACAAAGGAAGCTGCTGGAAACTATGTTGCCCCAACTAGCTCAATGCTGTCTACTACAGCGACTGGCAGCAGCTCTCTAGGATTACGGACAGGTGACATTTCCAGTCACACCTGGAGATGCTGGGGACTGATCTTGGGACCGTGCTCATGCAAAGCAGAAGCTCTACTGCATGAGAATATGCTTCACCCCAGTGGTCTACTTAGCTCAGTATTGACTACACTGACTGGAAGCAGCTCTCCAGCATTTCAGGCAGGGGTCTCTTCCAGCCCGACTGGGAGACGCTGGGGATTGAAACTGGGACCTTTTGAATGCAAAGCAGGTGCTTGGCCATTGAGCTATGGCACTTGCCAGGGCAAGAGGGAGACCAGCCTGTCCTTATCTTTTGGCCAGAGGAGCAGCTAAAAGGATGTGTGTACAAGGGTTTAAGAGCACCAGCTGTTAACGGCACAGAGACTGCCCAACAGAAGGGCTGCTGGTGTGTACAAGATATTTTGATTGGCCTGGGGTGGAAAACAGGGGTATTAATATTCATAGAAAATAAAATAATAACGTACGCTTCAGGGCCACACCTGCACATTCAGAGAATGCTGAAGCTCCCACAGCTGGGAAAAGACCACTTGCCCACTTGCTCAAAGTAACACTTCTGATGGCAGAACTTAGATTGGAACAAGCTTCCTTGCAGTTTAACCTTTTCCAAGACGAGCCTGATTTCGTTGGCTCGGGCAAACTCCGGACAATGGTTTGTTGTTCAGTAAGGCTCTACTCTAATCAGAGTGAGTTATATCCATTCATTTCAATGGGTCTACTTGGAGTATGACCAGTGTTGGAGGTGACCCCATACTTTCAGCACAGGAAGTGAGGCATGGGTAGGAGTTGGTGTGGGCTACACTTTGCTCTCTGCAAGAGCCCAGGTGGGCCCTACCAACCACTTTGAAGAACTTTTAAATTCTCCTGCTCACATAATTTTATTTTGTTTTTTAAGACGATGCAGCCTTCAGCACTGCCTCTCCCCATATAAACTGACCCAGATGCTGTGCTTGTTATCTGAGGCCCTTCTCTGTGAGAGGTTCGGAGGTTGACAACACGACAACGGGCCTTTTCTGTGGTGGCTCCACATTCATGGAATGCTTTCCCCAGAGAGGCTCACCTGGCATGTTTCTTACATATATTTAGGTGCCAAACAAAAACATTCCTCTTTACCCAGGCTTTCGGCCATTAAACAATCTGTGGCCTGTTTTTTTAAAAAAGGGAGGGGTTGTTATGATTTTTTTAGTGGTTGTTTTATTGATTTTTTATTATTATTACACTATGCAAATTTTAATGTACACTGCCCTGGCATCTTTGGATAAAGGGCAGTATATAAATTTAAATAAATAAATAAATAAATAAATAAATAATGTCCCAAGACTGTCTGGCAGTAGTACTTCAGGGTTTTGGACAAGGGTTCAGCAACATCCCCATCCCCAGCCTAGAGGTTTTTACACAGCTATCTGCTCTTAAGGATGCTCCGCATTCGCAACCAGCCATAGCCACCCTCCCCGCGCCCAATGATAGGGACGCCCCCTACCTGATACATGCAGATATCACAGAAAGATACCAAAAGGGAGAGTTCCTGCCCAATACCTTGCAGTTTTTCCTTGGCTTCCTCAAATCCAAACTGCGGCTCCGTTTCAAGAACGCTGGGTATCAGGGAAGAGAGAGAAAGAGGAGGAAGAATGTGAACATTGGGGGTGGTGAGATTCTGCAGGGATGCTTGGCCCAAACAGCTCTGCAGCTGAACAAGGCATGTGCTAGCCCTCCAGGATTTACTTATTAAGAAATAAACATCTCTCAGTAGTGAGCCTGGAAAAGAGGACAGCAGATGTACTGTGTCCAAATAAAATAAAAAAAAAATGTTTAGAGAGACAATGAACAATAGGTCACATTTCAAGAAGGAAGAAGAGAGCCCCGTTGCAAGAAGACTGGGAGGGAGGCACATGAAAGAGTCGCCTGCAGAAGCAGACCATCAGACCACCTAGCCCAGTTTGGCCTAAATCTCAACTGGCAGCAGCTTTCCACAGTTTCGGGCAAAGGGCGGGTCTTTCCCATGACTTGCTCTTTGTAGATGATGGGAAGTGAAACTGCATGCAGAGGATTATTTCCTCTGCCACTGGACCACGCAACAGACACAAAACAGGAACACAGGAGGCTCCCTTATACTGAGTCAGAGCATTGGGTCCACCTGGCTCAGTAATGTCTACACTGACTGACAGTGGCTCTCCAGGGTTATGGTCAAGAGCCTTTCCCAGCCCTACCTGCAGATGGCAGTGACTGAACCTGGGACCTGCTGCATGCGAAGCAGGGGCTCCAGCCACTGAGCTACAGTGCATCCCTAAATGAAGGTAATAGCGCAGGTGGCACCATGGGTTAAACCACAGAGCCTAGGGCTTGCCGATCAGAAGGTCGGCGGTTCGAATCCCCGCAATGGGGTGAGCTCCCGTTGCTCGGTCCCTGCTCCTGCCAACCTAGCAGTTTGAAAGCAAGTAAAAGTGCAAGTAGATAAATAGGTACCGCTCTGGCGGGAAGGTAAACGGCGTTTCCGTGCGCTGCTCTGGTTTGCCAGAAGTGGCTTCGTCATGCTGGCCACATGACCCGGAAGCTGTACGTCAGCTCCTTCGGCCAATAAAGTGAGATGAGCGCCACAACCCCAGAGTCGGTCACAACTGGACCTAATGGTCAGGGGTCCCTTTACCTTTACGTCCCTTCCAGCTTGTGAAAAGGGCTGTGCCCTGCCAACCTCTGCCTGCCCTTCACCAGCATGCCTTCTTGCTTACATCCAGTTCAGATGGCAGCACTGGCTCCACTCCCTGTTTGGGCTTCCTGCTTCCTGCCCTACCAGCCACTGCCAGAGTTATTTCCACTAATATATAATCCATCCAGCCCTATTTATAGGCGCCAATTTGAGAGGAAGTAGGGCTGGACTGCAATTCTTAATTTCGTCAAGTATCAGTGTATGCGCACACACACATTTCAAAAATCGGAGAGGAAGTCCACCTCTAAGAGGAGGAGACTCCCCACTTCAGAAATATGGCTTCAGTTCATCAAGGACGTTAAAAAACAGGGACTCAGATGTCTTGGGAGGGGGTGAGACTTCCTAGCATGCCCCTATCATCATCACGCTAGGGAAACAAATGCTTGATTAGTCTTACAGCTACACTAGGGTTGCCATATTTCAAAAAGTAAAAACCAGGACACCCCAAAAATTCCTGAGTTGTTGTTGGGTTTTTTTGGAAACTCCAAAGTTGTTGAGCCAATTTTTTTTTTATTCGACTTGCCTAAGATCCAGCACAAAGCGCCACCTTTTGGAAAGCCCCCTCCCCGGTGAAATCCCAGTATGGCAGCCCTAAGCTACACATACTGCTAGGTTCTGTATTTATCATGTCAGCAAGTTACCAACCAGGTTAAGTGCTAATGAAGTGATCTCTCATGCAATGAGGTGTGTTGTGTTTTTTTTAAAGGGAATTTAATCTGCCCACTTCAGTCACATGGGGAGAATTAGCCACACCCAAATACCATTAATGGAACGTAAAACGATTTGCAGATGGCAAAGCAGAAGTCATTAGCACACTTGCTGGAAAAAGAAGAAATAAAATACAAGGGGCATTCAAAGTCTTTTGAGGGGAGGGGGGGATGAAGAACTGTACAGAGATGGTTAGAACACCTACTCTGAGACTGCTTTTGCTCCCCAGTCAAAGACGTTCCCCGCAAGAAGTCCTTTCACCAGAGCGAACTGCCGCTCCTCCCAGCCTAGTGAATCCAAAGAGTCGATAACGCTCTGGTAACACTTTAGTGCGATGCCATTTTCTTTCTGTTTTACCTGCAAGAAAGTAAGGCACAAGGTGATATGTACAGGAAGGAAGGATAAGGCTCAATTCCTTTAGAAGCACCTTATCCCTCCCCCCACCCCAAGCTCTCTGCTTTGTAGCCTCCAATGGGATTGTTGAATAACCACAGCTGACAAGAGCATATAAAAAGAGCCATTTCTCACAGAAATGGCTAAAAATGCTCAGAGGTGGATGTTTCTAGAATCCACCAGTAACTTCTTCGTTACAAAGCAGCAATGTGAGTTTGGTGCTGGGAAAAACAACAAGTTTGACAGAATTCAGAGACGGGGTCTTTTTGGTGTTGGCTCCCTAATTATAGAAATCATGAAAAGCATTATACCTGCGCCCCTGCTGTACAGGCTTTCAAATGGAAATGCGCTTTTTTTTTTTTGGACTGCCTGTTTTTTGGAGGGTGGGGAAGGGGTGTTGCCTATTTTATCTGTTGGTTTGTTTTTTAAAAAAATGTTATTTACAAAAACAGGTACCTTTCTAGTCTTACATCCCTGCATCTTGTGTTCCAATTTTCAACAAAACAATTCCATCTTTTAGCAACATCTCACCTCTTTTAGGTATCTCTTTCTCACTCCCAGAGTCTTACATACATGCAGGGCATCCATTTGTACATTTACAATTGTGCATTTAGAAATGTACATTTGTACATTTACCCCATTACTCTGGACTCTTCTTTATCAACTGCTCTGAAGGGGAAATCCTCAGGGCAGGGACCCAAATCTACAGTTTGTCCATTACTGCTCATGGGAAAGAAAAGATTTGAGAATCTATGGGTTGTATACAACGCTAGTTGTACTTGGAGTAAACCCAGTGATGTTAATACATCTGGTGAGGTTCATTAGTTTCAGTGGGTCTGCTCTGAGTAGGACTTAGCTTATTCAACATCTTTATCAACATCTTATTCAACATCTTATTCAACATCTTTATCAACGACTTGGATGATGGACTCAAGGGCATCCTGATCAAATTTGCAGATGACACCAAACTGGGAGGGGTGGCTAACACCCCAGAGGACAGGATCACACTTCAAAACAACCTTGACAGATTAGAGAACTGGGCCAAAACAAACAAGATGAATTTTAACAGGGAGAAATGTAAAGTATTGCACTTGGGCAAAAAAATGAGAGGCACAAATACAAGATGGGGACACCTGGCTTGAGAGCAGTACATGTGAAAAGGATCTAGGAGTCTTGGTTGACCACAAACTTGACATGAGCCAACAGTGTGACGCGGCAGCTAAAAAGCCAATGCAATTCTGGGCTGCATCAATAGGAGTATAGCATCTAGATCAAGGGAAGTAATAGTGCCACTGTATTCTGCTCTGGTCAGACCTCACCTGGAGTACTGTGTCCAGTTCTGGGCACCACAGTTCAAGAAGGACACTGACAAACTGGAACGTGTCCAGAGGAGGGCAACCAAAATGGTCAAAGGCCTGGAAACGATGCCTTATGAGGAACGGCTAAGGGAGCTGGGCATGTTTAGCCTGGAGAAGAGGAGGTTAAGGGGTGATATGATAGCCATGTTCAAATATATAAAAGGATGTCACATAGAGGAGGGAGAAAGGTTGTTTTCTGCTGCTCCAGAGAAGCGGACACGGAGCAATGGATCCAAACTACAAGAAAGAAGATTCCACCTAAACATTAGGAAGAACTTCCTGACAGTAAGAGCTGTTCGACAGTGGAATTTGCTGCCAAGGAGTGTGGTGGAGTCTCCTTCTTTAGAGGTCTTTAAGCAGAGGCTTGACAACCATATGTCAGGAGTGCTCTGACGGTGTTTCCTGCTTGGCAGGGGGTTGGACTCGATGGCCCTTGTGGTCTCTTCCAGCTCTATGATTCTATGATTCTATGATTCTAAGACTTACTTGAGCACAGCCAAAAAGTTAAGGAGGAAACACTTACCTTGGAGTAGGGATCTGGGAAGTTGAACTCATTCAAACAGTGCTCCCTTGTATCCAGCAGACTTCTAACAGTTAAGGTGCCGTATGCACTGGGGAAGATGAAAGGGGAAGGGCAGGGAGGACATAGGTCAGCTGAGAACACAGAAACCTTATACTGAATCAGACCACTGATCTATCTAGCCCAGTACTGTATACACCAGGGGTTGTCAACCTGGTCCCTACCACTCACTAATGGGCATTTCAGGATTCTAGGTGGGCGGTAGGAGGTTCTACGGCACAAGCTGAATCCTCCTTCCATCGAGCACTGGTGGGCAGTAGGTAAATTTTACCATCAAGAAAGATGCATTAGTGGGTGGTAAGTATAAAAAGGTTGACTACCCCTGGTCTAGACTGACTGGCAGAGGCTCTTCAGGAATTCAGACAGGGGATGTTCCCAGTCCTAGTTGCAAGATGCCTGGGATTGAACCTGGAATCCTTCTGTGTGCCACTGAGCTCTTGCTCTTCCCCTTTCTAGCCGTGCAGGGTAATTAAGGGCAACTTTTGCTCTGCTAGTTATACGCATCTCTCATGCATCTCAAGATAATTAAGTGGCTTGCTCTCAAAAGGTATTCCATGGTTCTCTGGAATTCCCTTAGGAGTGAAGCACCCAGCCAGCACTGATGTTTTTCAACACGGGTTGAAAGCATTCCTCCCTCCCTAATCTTTCCAAATTAGTCTGTTTCCTTCTGCACTTTTTACTTCTTGCTGGGTTTTTAAGAGCTTCATACTGCGTTTTATGATTGGCATCCTGCTTTATATTCCATTCTTCACTTTTTACGCTAGCTTGCTATTCGGTTGTATCTTATTTTTACATGTCACCACGGCGGAGCTGCTGGTGGTTGTTTTTTAAAGAGATCATCAGCTGCTTTGGGGAGGAAGTTATTCAAACAGCAAGGGATAGACAGTTTCAAACACACATATAGTGAAATAAACCGAAGGAGGAGTGGATAGGAGCTGAACGGAGACAAAAAAAAAAGACAGACAAAAGGAAAGATTTCCAGCGCATATCCCAACTATGGAAGTAATGACCATGCAATGCACTGACAGCCACTAACTGATTCAACAGTCATGTAGGGTAATTTATCAATGGCTACAAGTTCTGTTCCTCGTGTGCTTCCCTTCAGAAAGCCTTTGAATTCATAGTTGCTGGAAAATCACAGGAGAGAGAATGCTATGGCCCTGGTGCCCTGCTTGTGGGTTTCCTGAATACATCCAGTTCAGGAGTGTGGAAACTCAGACCTGGGGGCCGAATCTGGCCCTCGGGACTTGCTCCAGGCCACACCCCTTCCCCAGTCGCACTGGCTTGAATGTGTCCTTGAACTCCAATAATTCCTCCTGCTTGTTTGGAGGACAGAGGTGTGCTTACTGCACAAAGGCGTTGCTGACTTTTTGCCCAGTGTGGCCTCCCCAGAAGGTTGAAAAAGCTTCCCTTTCTCTGATCTAGCTGGACACAGCAGAAAGCCCCAAAGCCCTGCTGGATCAGGCCAAAGGAGGCCTATCCAGTCCAGCATCCTGTTGCCACAGTGGCCAACCAGAGGCCTCTGGTATGCAGGACACAACCACAGCCACAATTCTCCCAACTTGCAATTCCCAGCAACAGGCATTCAGAGGTGTTCTGCCTCTGGAGCTGGAACATGCCCATTGTGGCTAGTGGCCATCAACAGGCAAAATTTACGGAGGATTAAGACTAGCCGTCTTTTAGAGCCATTTACAAAACTGGTGGGAATTACTCAGGATGCAAAAGTAGCAAGCAGCTCATCAAGACACCCAGCAGTGTTTAAAATGTGCACTAGGTTCCAGCTAAGTCAACCCACTGCCGTCCCGCACGCACCGACTTACAAAGGCTGCTGCCGGAGCGTCTGAAGTTTGTCCCAGTACTTCTGCCGGAACTTCTCGGCTCGCTCAGCTGCATCAACAGACTCTGGCTGGCTGGCTGCAGCTCGCTTCGCGACCTGGCAAAGGAAGGAAGGAAAGCGGAGGGAGAGACAGTGCCAAGGGCATTATTACTTGCACCTCCAAGACTTTGCGGCTTCTGTTGCTGTTCAATAGAAAACGAAAGCAGATGAAGCTGGAAGCAAAGATAAATGTCAGAACCGGGCCCAGGCAACGGCAAGCCCTCTAGATTAGGCTAAATAGTTGCTCTAGTTTGAAGAAAGCAGCTGACCAAAAAACAAAACAAAACAGCAACACATATCTAAGATGCAAGAGGACACAAAAAAATGCCCCGACATATTTTTATTTATTTATTTAAAGAAATCTCAAGTTTCTCCAAGGGTCCACAAACACTGGCTTAGCTTACCAGCTAACCCAGAGATGGGAAAAATGAGGTCCTGGGGCTGGATGTGGCCCTTCGGGTCTCTCTGGCCCCTTGGACCCTTTCTAGTCACACCCCTCACCAGCCCTGATTCATAGACTCCTTGAGTCTATTTAAGCCCACTGGGTTTCCGCAGACGCTCCTGTAGAATCGGTGGACTTCCATGGGTTTCACTTTCCTATTAGGAAATCTGCAACCCCCCTGCAAATCCATGTGATATATGTGGCAACACATTTAACAGAAGGCCCTCACCCCGTCCAAGGCCTCCTCGAAGCATGAGAGCCAGTACTTCCTAGCCATGGCATCGTCGGTGAGGTCAACCGTGTCCGGGATGTAGGTGGATGGATCCTCCAGCAAGGGAAGATTGACAAGCGGTCGTTCCAAACGATCCATTTCCAACATGTCAAACTTGGGAAGAGGGGAGAAAAGGTTGTTATCAGTATAGAATGAGATTAGACAGGAGACCTGCACTAACACACGTGGTTTACGCCTGGAGAAACTTGGGGGGGAAAACGCGATGGGGACCTGTGCATTAGCGGCAATCTAGCATAACTACATGTCCTTTAAGTCCCAGGTCCTGCTTCCAGGCTTCCCATAATGGGCATCTGGTTGGCCACTGTGAGATCAGGTGGGCCTTTGGCCTGGTCCAGCAGCCAGCCTCTTCTCACCTGCACAGCTGTATCCTAAGGAGACTCACCGTGCCACTCCTTTCTCGCTGCATAGGGCAGATGTCCGGCGATGTGCTCATGAGCCCAGAACTGCCAGCGTAGTTTTCCCCCCAGCTGTACTGATTAGGATCTAGGAGATGGTGGGGGCGGGGAGGAGAGAAATGGAACCATTAGCTGAAGGCGAGAACAAATAGGAAGATGCAGAGAGAGATTCCCACACATGCCACAGATTTACAATCTCTTGTACAAATAATAAAAGCAAACAGCAAATAAAGCCAGGTGTTTTGGAAGGCAATAGAACTTGGTTGGATCATTTGCTGGGTTTAAAACAGGGTTTCCCAAACTTGGGTCTCCAGCTGTTTTTTACTATAATTCCCATCTTCCCTGACCACTGGTCCTACTAGCTAGGGATGGTGGGAGTTGTAGTCCAACAACAACTGGAGACCCAAGTCTGGGAAACCCTGGTTTAAAAAATAAAAAAGTTAGGGAAGAAACAAATGAAAGTTAATCATGTTTACATATTACAATGTTCTGATGGTGAATGACCATAGTCACGGTCACGAAGGGCTGCATCCGACGCTAGGCCTACTCAGAGTAAACCCAATGCACGGAATAGAACCAACCAAGGTTAATTAATTTCACTGGGTCTACTCTGAGCAGGATGTAGCCCAAAGGAAATGTCCCTGACTCTTTGCCAGCAGTAAAGCTTTAAGCTATGTGAAAACCTGGGTTCCTACTGGTGAGTGCCTGGAAGCTTTCAAGCGATGCCTATGTGGTTTTATCTGGCTAGAAAACCACAAGAACAATTAAGCAAAAATTGGGAAAAGAAGAAAGACTTTTACCCTCTCCAATAATAAAACAGTGGGAACATGAGTAAACATTCTTAATACCCCGGTGAGGGGGATGGGGGAGGAGAAGAAGGGAGAGACTTCTCATGGGCAGACGACCAAGTTGACAATCCTATGTTCTGTTGGCCGATTATCCTTGTCACAACTGGGTCTTGTTAGGGGAGAAGTCACAGTTGGAGGCTTGACTTTCCCCCTCCTTTTTCTAGGCAGGAGGTGGCGGCAGCGCCATGTTCTGGCACAAACAGGCGGGCTGAGGAGGAGGCCAAATCTCTTTTAAAACCCACCACAGTAAATGGAGTGAGAAATTGGGAGCTCCATGCCCAGAAGTCCAAGAATGGCTGGAGCAGGAGACTTAATCCCCCCCCCCCCCGGCAGGGGGTTCAGACTCCCCCACAGAGGATTGTGAACTTTTTTCAGAGCGCTGTATTGGTGTTCTGTACTTACTGTCTTGCTCGGCTCCCTTCAGAAACGCACCGATGGCTCCCAGGTATCCTTCGTGCCTCAGGAACAAGGCCTGAACCTCTCCCTGCCACAACATGAAAATGTTTGTGTTTGGACAGCCTCCAATAGCTTGTAAAGCTCTTTTTGCATTACTGTGTTTACAGCTCTTAACAAAAGGGCAAGCACAGATCATAAGCTGCAACCCTGATTTTGTGCAGGAATTCCAAGACCTATTTCAACGCAGAAATTCTGCAAGCGTAAACACGGCGCTTGAATTGGGCTTTTTGCTGCCTCCAGTCACATTTGGGGTAAACAAAGACAACGGGGGCAAATACTACAGTGGCTATTTTGCAAAAACGAACAAACCAGGCAGCCACTGTGGAGTGAAGAGGGCACGAATTTCCCTGTCACTGATTTTGCCTGACTCGCTCGTTTCTGCATTGTACAGTGGTGCCTCGCAAGACGAAATTAATCCGTTCCGCGAGAGTCTTCGTCTAGCGGTTTTTTCGTCTTGCGAAGCAAGCCCATTGACGGATTAGCGCTATTAGCGCTATTAGCGGTTTAGCGGCTATTAAAGGCTTAAAGGCTTAGGGGATTAGCTGCTAAAAGGCTATTAAAGGCTATTAAAGGCTTAGCAGATTAGATAAAGGGGGAAAGCGAAAAAAATCTCAAGACTCGCAAGGTATTTTCGTCTTGCGAAGCAAGCCCATAGGGGAATTCGTCCTGCGAAGCAACTTCAAAACGGAAAACCCTTTCGTCTAGCGGTTTTTCCGTCTTGCGAGGCATTCGTCTTGCGGGGCACCACTGTATCACATGCTAGTACTACTCAGATGCACAGAAATTAAGGGTCATCGTTTAGGGCTTCCAATAAATGACACATTAAAAAGAAAGCCATGTCTCTAGACTAGCATGGCTTAGATCAATGACTACCTGTTTCTTTACAGGCATTATCAAGCGTGACAAAGCTGAAAGGGTGGGTCGCAGCTATTAATTCTGTTATAGCTTAATTACTTTTTAACCTTTATGTTCTCAGCTATCTGTGTTTGTTTTAATTTTTGTGAGCTGCCTTGAGTCCCAGTTCTAGGGAAAAGGTTGGACACACACACAGTGCTTTGCATAATCCAGGAATGGGGAGGTTGTGGCCCTGCAGATATTATTGGACTCAAAACTCCGATCAGCCCAGCAAGCATAAACCAAAGCCCAGGGGAGACGGGAGCTGGAGTTGCATAACATCTAGTGGGCACCAGATTACCCACCCCTGACTTAATCACACAGCTGCAAACCAAACAAACATCTTTAGTCATTCCCTGAAAACTAAAACCAATAAATAATAATAATTAATAATAATAATAATAATTCATTACCTTGGAGAAGAAATTAATACTGTAAGTAATTGTGCGCATGGTGACTGGATGGCCTCGAATAAAAAAGCCTCCAAAATAAATTTTGTTCAGGTTGTGGAGTTTGGCGTAGAGGCAAGCCAGCTGCCCAATATCGTTGCTGATCATATGAAGCAAGCTTTTTGCCATGTCTTCTTTGGAAAATTCTAAAAAGGAGGGGGATGGGGGGAGAAAGAGATAAAAGTATGGATAAACAACTCATGGCCCACAGCACAATTGTAAAAGTCGTTTGCAAGCAATCAGTTCGGGTCTCTGGGAAGAGCAGACAACCTGCTGGGTGAGGAGAAAGAAAGAGACAGAGAGGAAAAAGTGTGCCCCCTAAAAATTGGGCTCTGGCCCTGCCCCTACCTCTAGCATATGGCACCCAGACGAAAATAAAAGACTGTCCCTTTAATCCAGGGATAGGCAAACATACCCAAGAGGACTCTTTTAGAGTCAGGAGTAGCCAACGCGGTGGTCTCTAGATGTTGTTGGTTTACAACTCCCTTCATCCCCATCTTTTGGGCATGCTGGCAGAGGCTGATGGGGGTTGTGGGTCAACAGGATCTAGTGGTTCTCAACCTGTGGGTCCCCAGATGTTGTTGGACTACAACTCCCATCATCCCTAAGGTCTGGCCTTGCTAGCTAGGGGTGATGGGAGTTGTAGTTCAACAACATCTGGGGACCCACAGGTTGAGAAAAGCTGATAGAGGGTCACCCCATTGGCTATCCCAGTTGTAGATGAGTAAGAACGGGCCAGAATTTACTCTGGAGGGAACTCGGGTGGTTTTGTGGAATGAATCAGGGATGAAGCCAGCAGCAACACTGGGGCTTGGTTTGGTCAATTCAACACTAGACCTGTAGCCTCATCAGAATCAAGTTACATGGTGAGCTCTGTCCATGGGTCTACTCTGAGTAAAACCTAGTTGGCTAGAGCCTTACACACACTTTGTTTGTTTTAAAAGACTGACAGAACAAGGCAGCAACTCAGCAGACAAACCCATGGGTTCTTTCACAGGTTTTATCACCGCACCAGCACGACGAAGTGAATTTTCAAGTGGTACCTTTGTCTGCTGTGGCAGATTTCCCGAAACTACTGGCGATCAGGTTTCCACTTAGCCCCAGCGTCTGGTAGGCCCCACCATAAACATCCTTCACAAGCATATCGACGTTTGTGTGCCGTCCCTTCGAAGCGAGCTGCAGCAACTCATCAAATTTCTAAAAACAAACAAACAAACAAACAAACAACACCCTGCAAACGTCACTTGAGCACCTCTTGACATGATGGATAATTCTTAGGTCCCGTGGACTCCCCACCTGAAGTTGTTCACTGCAGACACAGATTGACTACCTGCAGTAAGAACGAGGCCTTGGTCTAGGAAGCACCAACACCAATTTGTGCTTCTCACGCAGGACAAGAGGGTCAACCAAGGTGGCCAAGAGATCTTCCCTTATTAGCAACACACCGAAGTCATGACAAAATTGTAGCCTCTGGTATTACCTTTGTTTGTGTAAGCAATGCTCCGAGACCCCAGAAAGTGCCCCCTCCGATTGAGCTCCCTCCAATCCACTCAAATTTATCTTCCGTCTCCACCTATCAGGAGCAACAACAGCACACAGAGATTACAGCTATAATATCGACATGAACACATATCTCAGTGTGTGCCTGCCTGGACATGTTTTTCCCTTGGGGAAACCCAGCTTTCAAATAACCAGGAAGAGAGAGAAAGGTGGGGATCAGTATGGGATGAACAGCCTAGACAGGTGACCTATGCAAACCATGCATGGTTTAATCAGGTGGAGCAGCAGCTGGAAGATCTTCAATTGCGAGACAAAAGGGAGCCATATTTTAGATGCATGTTTTAGATGAGGAGTGAGGAACCTTTTTCAGACAGAGGACCACATTCCCTTTTGCACAACCTTCTGGGGGCAGCATGTCAGTGGTGGGTGGGGCCGCAGGCAAAGGTGACAAGTGTCATTTGGATAGACAGCCACCAGCCAGATTCCGGCCACCAGGCCTTTCCTTCATTAATCTGAACTACACTTTCGATATCTGCATACGAATTATCAATTGAATTGTTAAGCTGATTTTACATACCTTCACTATGGAAACTCCCGAGCCGATATTGACTAGCAAATAAGGGAAAATATGTGGGTGGTTCATCTGAAACCGGAATTCTGGGTCTGCATCCTTCATGTATGCAAATGCCTCGTGGGGGATGTTCTTTAGCACAAAGTTGCACCCTTTAATTAGGCAGGTCATGACATCTTCTTTATCTAACCTAAAACATGAATAAAAAAAGTAAAGTTCCTTTTCTTTCAGCTCTATGTGCTTTACAAGACTCAGATTAATTCTGTTCACTTTAATTGTGAATTTTACCACAATGACTTCGAAAACTGAAGTGTGCAAGTGTTGTCTCTTTCCGTCTCAGGCGTGTGTGTGTTAGTGGGGAATGAATCTGGGGGAGGGAAGTGACTAGAAATGGGTGGTGCCCACAGCAACTTGCTCAAAACTCCAGAAGTACCCATAATCCTAAAAAAGTTCCTGCTGTGAAGTCTTCCCGTCTGATCACTTAGAGAGAATTCTCTTCGACCGGTGAAAAAGAACTGTCCCTTACGTTGTGCTCCACTGATAGCATTAATCTTGCTTGGCCATTCTGAGAGCAGGGAGTGGGTCACCCCACTTTCAGTGAGATCTCATTCTTTTCAAGGGACCTCACACACATTCAAATTGTATTGCAGGTTGCTCTGTTGCTTCCTCTCACCACAGGTGAACAAGGAAGCGGCTGTGTTCAAGTCTAGGTGAGGCATCACTCCTTCTGCAGCTATGCTGGTCTCTGTTTGCTCACAGACCACCTCCACATGCCCTGTGAAACCTACCAGCCTTCCCTCCACCCAGCCCATCAAGTTAGAATAAAAAAATCGAGAAGTCTACGCGGTGTCCGATTCTGCAGCCCAGAGGCGGCCAGTTCCCAAGTTTATGTGCAAGTAAACAACAGTCAGCCCACAACTTACACAGAGGTTACGTTCCGGGGATTGCACCTAAAGCCAAAATCGCGTATAGTCAAAACAAATTGGGGTTCTATGGCAGGTGGGATTGCCAGAGTTCCTTTATCCTCCTGACACCCTTTTTATTTATTTGCCAAGCATGTAAGGCTGGATGCGCACAAGTTAAATGCATGTGAGTTGCAGGCTTACTGTAACAGATTTATTTAGAAATACAGTCGTACCCTGGATCCTGAACGCTGCAAACCCGGAAGTGAGTGTTCTGGTTTGCAAACGTTCTCTAGAACCTGATCATCTGATGCAGCTTCTGCAGGGCTTCCTGCAGCCAATCAGAAGCTGCACCTTGGTTTCCAAACGTTTTGGAAGTCAAACGGACTTCTGGAACAGATTCCGTTTGACTTCCAAGATACAACTGTATAACCAGATATAGTGGTACCTCAGGTTACAGATGCTCCAGGTTACAGACGCTTCAGGTTACAGACTCTGCTAACCCAGAAAGAGTACCTCGGGTTAAGAACAGTTTCAGGTTAAGAACAGACCTCCAGAACGAATTAGGTTCTTAACCCAAGGTACCACTGTATATGTGTATATGTATATATCTGTATGTCACTACAGAAGCTTGTTTGGGGGTTGAAGAACTGGGTAAAAATAAGTCAAGAGAATCTGCCTCCCAAAGCAAGTGGTTTACTACTTCTTCATGGCAAGGCCTGCGCCAATGCCAAGTGATCAAAGCATACAGCAGCCCATCAAAGCCAATAATAATAATTTCCAACACAAAGGATGCCTCTGCATTTCCACTTACTTTAGTCCCAGCTTCTTCTCAATAAGGTCTTTGAATTTGTACGCACCACCTCCTGTGGCTTTGATCACTTTCGTTTCCGTGTTGACGAGATGGTCTTTGATGAAGTCCAGACAGGTTTCAATATAGGCGTTCTCAAACTTAATGAAATGCAGCCGAGCCGTTATCTCCTCCTGCACCGTGATTTCGTAGGGCGATTCATGTTCTACGTCCTTTGGGGAACAGCAACAAAAAGAAGAAGTGAACAACAGCCCCAACTCTAAAACGAAAAGCAAATTCAGAGGTTGCTTTCCTTTTTTATTTTTTTATTATTACTTGTTTGGAGCATTTGTACCCCACACTTCAGCCAAAAAGGCTCCCAGAGCTGCTTGCATACAATCAAGTAAAACAAGACAGTCCCTACCCGCAGGTTTCCAATTAAAAAAAAAATGTGACACACAAGGAAACGGGGATAGGAGGGAAGAGGAAAAGCAAAAACTCGGGCACCAATTTCTAAATAGTTGTTCCTATAAGGACCAGCTGGCACAGTTCAGGGGCAGGAGGTGCTTGATGCAGCGGAGTCTCCAGCAAAACTGATGAAATGAGCCCAACGCCTATCTCTCCCTCTGAGGAAGCCTGACGCAATAGCTGCCCCCAAGTGACAGTCAAGGGGAGAGGAGGTCTGATGGAGCTGGCCTGTCACAGCAGAACTGATGGGAGTAAGCTCCGCTTCCTCTCTCTCCCACTGAGGAAGTCTAAATTTAGCAGTCCCAATCTGCCACAAAATGCCACTATAGCATGATTTAAAACTATTGCAATATCCACACATTCGTATATTTTGAGTATGTTTTTATTGTCACTATCTTCAAATGAACATTAACAAAAACAGTAAGGATTTTGGCTGCACAGTAATAAAAATAATAGTAACCTTACCTTTCCTGACTGATCAAAAGATCGCACTCTCGCCACTTTATGCTGTACTGTTGAATAATAAGCCAATTTGGCTAGCGACCCACCTGCCGACAAAATAAAAATATTATAGCAGCGAGATAAGCATTGGGAGCAGCTAACACGGGGCCTCTCCGGAAGTTTTTGGTCTACAAATCCCATCAGCCTCAGCTAGCTAAGGATGATGGGAGCTGTAGTCCAGCAACGTCAGGAGAGGACTGCAGTGGTTACCTCTGGTCTACAAGATTAGGGCAGGGATAGCAGAGACCTGTTAAGTTAGACCAAGCTAGCCTCAGCTGGCATGCGTCCTAGGTGGTGACCCACCTTAAAATTAAGGAGATAAGGAAAACAGAGTTATATTGCTTGAAGATACAATGGATTTGCAGCTTATTTACTTGTGTAATCAGTTTTACATGCTTGGCCAAAAAAGGGGGGAGTGAAAGGGGGGAAAACGTCGCAAGGGGGTGGGAGAATGGGAAAAAAATATTGGCTATCCCACCCCTCATTGCACTCTTCCTGCAAGAGCATTTGGAGGTTCAGAGAGAGTCTGTATCAGAATTGGGAGAGACTGTACAGTAGTACCTCAGTTTAAGAACAACCCAGTTTACGAACTCCACAAAACCAGAAGTGGTGTTGCGAACTTTACATCGGTCTAAGAACGGAAGCTGAATGGTGGAAGGGCACCGGTGGCAGGAGGCCTCATTAGGGAAAGCGCACCTCAGTTTAAGAACGGTTTCGGTTTAAGAACGGACTTCTGGAATGGGTTAAGTTCGTAAACCGAGGTGCCACTGTAGAGGCGATCAGAGAGTCTTCAGTTGCTTTGGGAGAGTTTTTTAAAGGGTTGCATTGACTATGCTCAATTCTGGCTTTACACGAATGGAACCCCTGCATAAGGTGAGAGCCAACTGCTTACAATATGACCTGTTTTTAATCTACGTTACTCCAGCTTGGTTTTATACAGCCTTTAAGTTGTGAGGTAATGCCTTAGTGACCAACGTAACATTTGTAAGCTTCTTTACGTAATATTTTGTGCTTTAGCTAATATCATTTGAACTCCAATTAACAGTAAACTGATTGTTGACCAGCTTGATCCTCCCTACAAAAACAATCAAGAAGCATGCCACAAGTAGTTTAAGTGCTTTCTTTTAATTGAGCTGTGAGCAATGTAACTGTTGGGCAACCTCAATTATTTTCCCGTAACTTGCGATAATTGTTTTCTCTAGAAGTAGGGCGGTGGGGAAATCCATCTGTAGCAATATGCACAGAGCTAATAGTTCATGGGCAAGTTTGAAATTTACAGTAATGTTTTTTGGAAACATCGGAGGGGGGAGGTTTTCTTGCAAATGACATGTCACCAGCATAACATGGCAATTCACTGCAAGCACCCACAAATCATTGCCTTCAAAAGCGACACTGTATATGATAAATTTTACTATGCACCCACAAGTGGCAGGTCAGCATTAAGTGGGGGGTCCGACCCCAGGCTCCCATGTGTTAGTCCAACACGTTCAACCTAATTTCGAACTTGACCATAGAGTTAGGTACTGATGCTATAGGACCATATTCATTCAGACACTATAGCTAGACGGTGAGAAGTTGCAAGCCTATTACATATGTTATAACTGGAGAGTTATTTTCAGTCTAAAATACGTTGGGGTGTATCCAACAACACTTTACTCAGAGTAGGCCTACTAAAATTAAATCCAAAAAAGCCAGTCGCATTAATTTCAGCAGGTGTCTTCCGAGCTGGACCGACATTAATTTACGAACAGCTCACATTAGAAAATATCAATACAGAAAAATTAAACATGAATATAAAATATGCACTGGAAGTAGCAACAGATTTTTTTAAAAAAACCCAATACAAACACCAAGAGGCAATAATTTTAAATATTAATCCTTTATGGCTGCACCCTCATCTCTCTCTCCTGTGTGCACCAGAAGAGGTCCCCAAAAGGCTGAACTTGACATTTAAGCTAATCAGCAAAGGAACCAGGAAAGCGACAATTATTTTACAATCAAAGGATGTGCTTAATCCGCTCTGAGCGTTCCAAGCCCACCCTCGCCACGGGTTATTTGGTAGTTCCCACCCACAATATTCAGGATTGCCCAACGTGTAGTTATTTCCGAGACTTCCGGGGGCGGCGCGAACGGTAATGGCGGTCTTCTCCCGACCGGAGAAGAAGCTCCGCTGAAATCGGGTCGTCCGCTACGGCGAAGCGGAGACCCAGTGAGAAAAACCCCAGGCAGCAAGAGCCTGGGGTCCTGAGGCTCGGCGGGCGCCAAGAGCAGCCCTCCAACTGCAGAAGGAGCCTCGTAAGAGGCTCCGGAGCGTGGAGGGGCTGCGGCGCTGTGAGCCGTTTCACAGTCAGCGGAGTGAAGCCGCGCTGCTGCTGCCGGTGAGCGCTGATCCCTTTTCCTGTTAAAATTCGGACCTGGAAGAAAACAACTTACTCGTGAGTAAAGACTGAATCACTTGGAATTACAAATTTTAAATGAGAAGGTTTAAATTGACTTGAATTTGGCTGAAAGCGGAGAGACGTGGAAACAGGAAGTCCGTCTTCCGCTGCCATTGAACTTGGAAAAAAAAAGCAACTAAGGTGGAGGAGTGGAGGCTGAAAGAAAGAGATTTTAAACTCTACACAGCCAAGCATCTATGGAACTTACAATTTAAAGTAAAATTAGCAAGTTAAAGATTTGGACCTTTTATTTGCACTTGACTTTCCCCCTTTTATTGGATTACAAATTGGAAGGTGAAACCCAGAGTCAGGACTGCTTGAGCACTGTAACAGTGGGCTGTCAGTGTTTGACTTGGATACTGTATACTAGAAGTTGCAACAATTTGAGGGCATTGAGACATTTTAAATTTGAAACATCCTTTTTGGAGATAAATAAGCACTGTCTGCAACAAAGTGATTACCTTTAAACTCTGCTTAATACTTATATTGGAAGGTTCTGGGACATTAAATCAGACTCTGAAAAGACATTTTAAGCTCCCTCTAGAGGATTGGATTAAAACAGTGACTTTATAAAAACATTTACTTTCGATTCTCTTGTTGTCTGCTTGCTCTGGGACTCTCTATTCCTGTGGGAAAAACTCAGTGTGACCTTGACTGATAGATAACATTGGAATGAGTGGTACAAGAAGAAGAGGAAGAGTTAGGCAAACAACTCTAACAAATCTAACCTCAGCCTCGCAGACACGTAGATCATCTGTGCCTACTTTGCCCTCAGAAGTACAACTTGAAGAAGCTGCCTTGCCACAGGCAAAAGAGGGAGAGGGTGAAGTAGAGCAGTTACAATTGGAAGATATGGCCTCAGGAGCATCTGCTTCTGTGCTAGAAAAAATAATTGAAAAATTGGAAGCTTTGGACAAGAAAGTAGATGCGCAATCAGCAAAGATTGATAAAAATACAGAGTGTCTAAACAAATTAACTACACAGGTGGGACAGAATACACAAGCAATTGGACAGTTGACGGAGGCCTCAGTAGAAAATCGAAAATTGGCTGAGGATACCAGACAAAAATTGGAAAATTTAGAGCAAGAGGTAAGACCACTCACCAAACAAGTTGGGGAACATCAGATTTATCTTTCTATGATAGAACTGCGAAATCGTGAGAATAATTTGAGGATTAGATCATTACAAGAGGCAGAAGAAGGAAATCTAACTGAGTTTTTGACCAAAGAACTTTCCAAGTTCTGGAATTTGGAAGAAAAGGACTTTAAAATTGTGTCAGCTTTCAGACTTGGAAGATTTATAAAGAAGGAGAGGCCCAGGGATTGTTTGATTACATTGAGATCGAAGGAGGAAAGGGATAAGATTTTGGGCCTACATTACGAAAAGTCACTGGAAGTTTTGGATAGAAGAATTGAGATATATAAAGATATCCCAAGACAACTGTTGGACCTTAGAGCCGCCTATTCTGAACTAGCTAAACTATTAAGGAGCAACGCAATTCCATTCAGGTGGGATTTTCCCCAAGGATTGTCTTTTACCTTTAGAGCGAGAAAGGTTAAAATTAGAACATTGGAAGAGAGAGATAAATTTCTAGCTACATACGGAGAGGACCTACATAAAGGAATTGAACTACCTTCCGGGCCTGAGGCAAAGCCAGCATCAATACCTCCACCTCGGGAACTTGAAGATCAAGAGAAGACACCACCCCAGGAGAAATAACCAGATAGATCCAGGATGTCTCTGCAACTGTTGAGCTGGAATATTAATGGTTGCAATATTCCGGAGAAAAGGAAGAAAATTTTTCATATATTAAAAAAGAACAATTGGACATTATTTGCTTACAAGAAACACATGTGACGAGGCTCCACAGAAAAGTGTTAATAAATAAAAGATTGGGCCAGGAATTTATTTCGTCGGATAAAGTGAAGAAGAGAGGAGTGGTGATATATGCAAAAGAGAACCTGTCACCTAAATTTCTATTTAAAGATGAACATGGAAGGATTTTGGCTATTGAGATACAATATCAAGGAGAGAAACTGCTGATATTAGGAATCTATGCGCCTAATGAAGGGAAATCGGAATTTTACAAGAAGTTGCAGGGGACAATGCTGGATCATCTGGATTACAACAACATCATAATGATGGGAGACATGAACGGGGTCGTGTCAACTAACATGGACAAGTCGCAAAGTCAAAACATCACAAAAGATGGCAGACTACCTAAAACCTTTTTGAAATGACTGACAATATGGACTTGATCGACATTTGGAGAACAAAAACCCACTAGGTAGAGAAGGAACATTCTTTTCTGAAGCCCAACTGACCTGGACAAGAATCGACCAAATATGGATCTCTAGAGGCCTGGCACCTAGGGTTAGAAAAGTGGAAATCTGCCCAAAGACCTGTTCTGACCACAACGCAGTAAAGATGGACATGACACTACTACCAACTGGATCCTTTAGATGGAAGATGAATGACAATTTGTTTAGAGATCAGGAAATTACCAAGAAGGCCCAAAAAGTTTTGAAAGATTATTTTGAGATAAATATGAACAATTCGGTGGAAAAAAGAATCGTCTGGGACGCAAGCAAAGCTGTCATGAGGGGTTTTCTGATACAACAGAATGTAGTAAAGAAAAAAACACAAAATGAGAAAAAAGACAAGATTTTGGATAAAATAAAAGAATTAGAGAAGAAATTAAGAGTGAATCCAAAGTCACAGCCAACTCTGAGAGAAATTAAACTGTATCAAACACAGTATTCTAAATTGATAAATCAGGAAATTGAATGGAAGATCAAATTAATGAAACAAAAACGTTTGAGTCGGCGAATAAATGTGGAAAACTGCTATCTTGGCAGTTGAAGAGAAGACAGAGATTAAACACGGTTACAAATTTAGAGGTTGATGGAAGAAACATTCAGAATCCAGTGGACATTAGAAAGTGTTTCCAGAGATATTTTAAAAATTATATACCCAAGGGCCGCAAGACGAAGTTGAGATTAAACAATTTTTGGCAAAAATGGATTATCTAAACTGTCACAAGAAAATAGGACAATCCTGAACTCTAAAATAACACGACAGGAGATTGAACAAGCTATTCAGAACATGCAACTTGGCAAATCTCCAGGGCCAGACGGGCTGACCTCCAAGTATTACAAGACACTAAAAGACTATTTGATACAACCTTTGATGGAGGTTAGCAATGAAATTATGGAGGGAAGAGGGCACCGGATTCGTGGAAGGAAGCGTTTATCACATTGATACCAAAGTTAGAAACTGAAAAGACACAACTGAAGAACTACCGTCCCATCTCCCTTTTAAATGTGGATTACAAAATATTTGCAGATATTTTGGCAAGTAGATTTAAAAAAGTTTTAAATGAAGTAATCCATAAGGACCAGGCCGGTTTTCTCCCAGGTAGACATTTGTTTGCTAACACAAGGAACATTATTGATATTTTGGAACTTCTCCAAACTGACATAAATACAAAAGCTGTTTTAATTTTTATAGATGCGGAGAAGGCCTTTGATAACATTTCTTGGAAATTTATGATGGGAAACTTAAAAGAGATGGGAGTGGGACGGGGTTTTGAGAATGGGATTGAGGCGATATATTCAGAACAGAAAGCAAAACTGATAGTTAATAATGTGGTTACAGAAGAGTTCAAAATTGAAAAAGGGACACGACAAGGTTGCCCTATTTCCCCTTTGTTATTTATCTCGGTCCTGGAGGTGCTATTGAACATGATCAGAGGGGACCAGCTGGTGGAAGGAATTCAGGTTGGTCAGAAACAATATAAATTAAAAGCTTTTGCAGATGACCTGGTTTTGACCTTGCAGAAGCCAGAGCCTAGTACGAAAAGAGTATTACAATTGATTAATGATTTTGGTCGGGTGGCGGGATTTAAATTAAACAAACAGAAAACTAAGGTTTTGGGGAAAAATCTGACTGAGACAGAGTCAGAACGGTTTCAGAATGAGACGGAACTTAATGTGGTTAAAAAGTAAAATCCCTAGGGGAAAACCTAACCCCCAAAAATCTAAGTCTATTTAAGGATAATTATGAAAAATGTTGGACAGAAATTAAGAGAGACTTAGACAGTTGGTCAAAATTGAAACTTTCTTTGTTAGGCCGAATTGCTGCGATTAAGATGAATGTATTGCCAAGAATGTTGTTTTTATTTCAAACATTGCAGGTATTGGACAAAATGGGGTGCTTTCAGAAGTGGCAGAGAGACATTTCGAAGTTTGTCTGGCAGGGCAAAAAGCCCAGAATTAAGTTTAAGATACTAACCGATGCAAAACATAGAGGGGGCTTTGCCCTGCCGGACTTAAAGTTGTACTATGAAGCCGCAGCGTTCTGCTGGCTAAAAGACTGGCTACTTCTTGAAGACACTGATGTGTTAGATTTGGAGGGGTTTAACAATGTTTTTGGATGGCATGCATATTTATGGTATGACAAAGTTAAAGCAAATAAGGCCTTTAAGAACCATATTGTTAGAAAATCACTGTTTAATGTCTGGACAAAATATAAAGACTTGCTGGAAAATAAAACACCAAGGTGGCTTTCACCTTTGGAAGCTAAGGCCCGAAAAGACCCAATATGGAGGCCAAATGGCCAAAATATTGGGAAATACTAGAAAAGATGGAGACAATTGGAAATTGCAGAGCTTGGAGAAAATGAAAGACAAAGTGCGAGATTGGTTACACTATGCTCAGATTAAAGAAGTTTTTAAAAGTGATAAGAAACTAGGGTTCCAGGTGGAGAAATCGAAATTAGAAACAGAATTGTTAGAACCAAAGACTAAGATACTTTCAAGGATGTATAACTTGCTGTTGGAATGGAATACACAAGATGAAATGGTTAAATCGGCTATGATAAGGTGGGCACAGGACATTGGGTATAATATTATGTTTGAGGACTGGGAAAGGCTGTGGAGTAATGGATTGAAATTTACTGCATGTAATGCTTTGAAAGAAAATGTAATGAAAATGATTTATAGATGGTATATGACCCCAGTCAAACTCGCAAAAATTTACCACCTGTCTGATAACAAGTGCTGGAAATGCAAAGAGTGTGAAGGAACGTTCTTTCACCTCTGGTGGACATGCCCTAAAGTGAAGGCGTTCTGGGAAATGATTTACAATGAATTGAAAAAGGTATTTAAATATACTTTCACTAAGAAACCAGAGGCTTTCCTTTTGGGTATTGTCAGCCAAGGGGTGGCAAAGAAGGACCAGACATTTTTATGTACGCAACAACAGCAGCAAGGATACTACTTGCAAAACATTGGAAAACCCAAGATCTACCCACACTGGAAGAATGGCAGATGCAACTGATAGACTATATGCAACTGGCTGAAATGACTGGCAGAATCCGTGACCTGGGAGAAGAGAGAATCGAGGAGGATTGGAAGAAATTTAAGAACTACCTACAAAAACATTGTGATTTGATTGAATGCTGAATAAGATGCTGGACTAAATAACTGAGCACCACTTAACTTAGAAATTTTTAAGGAAACAAGAAAAATTGTGAAAGTTTAACTCTTTATGAGAACTTTAAGATTATGAAATATCGAAGAGATATAAGAATTTAAATAAGATGATAAATTGCTGACAAAATGTTATAATGATGAAGGTGGGAGCGGGAGATGTGAGGAAGTCCTAAGAAAATGTGAAAATATGTTAAGACGAATGCTATATTGTTTATTACATTTATTCCTATTGTAAAACCCAATAAATTGCTTTAAAAAAAAAAAAACGTGTAGTTATTTCCTTTTGTCAGGACTAATCTCCAGAAAGCTGCAGAAAATGCTGAACTGAAGCGTTTCCTCTGCCCCATTGAGATAAGGGAGTTGCAGCCTTCCACAGGAAAACACGACACACAAAGGAAATTAATATTGCACACAGCGCATAGTTGAGGCTGTGGCATCCGCTCCCACAGGTCCAGCGGTGGCCACAAACTTGGATGGTTTTAGAAAAGGATTAGACCAACACAGCAGGATGGCTGTGTTCAGCTTCTGCTGTCAGAGGCATTGTACCTCTGCATGCCAGTTGCTGGAAACCACAGAAGGGAAGGAGTGATCCTGCACTCAGGTCCTGCTTGTGGGATTCCCATAAGGGGCATTGCCAGGCTTGCCACTGGATGGATTACATGTGCCTTTGGTTCCAGCAGGTCTCTTCTTAGGTTCTCCCCTATTTTTATGAAATATGCTGCTCCAGTACACTTTTAAAGCTGGCACATAGTTCCTTCCTAAAAGATTTAAAAATGAAAGAAACAGCATGCACTCCAGAATTTGAGTTGGGGTGAACAGGGATGCATCGTAAGTCTGTTCAAGCTGCATGTGCTCTCAGGTTGTTGTTGTTGTTATTAAGTACATTTTAAATGTTCCCCAAGGAGGCGAAAGGCTTACATGTAGAAATGTCACACGAGAGGGAGAATGCAAGGACTTGCACCAAACACAGAGGGTTTTTTAAAAAATAATAATCAGGGGAACCTTCCCACAAACTCCCACCTGCAACCTGGAGTCCGTGAAAAAAGTTGTACCACTTGATTCCGAAAGCTGTGCAAGGCAGAAGATCTCCCAACATCCAATTTATACCAGATTCCACAGAAAATTCTGCAAGTACATATGTCACTAGGAAAGACAGCCTGGGCACCTGAACCCAGTTTTACTACACCTGCTGAATAACATGCATACTCTTTGTAGGGAGTTTGCTTTTGTGGTTTTTTATTTTGTCTTTGTGTTTGAAGTGACAAACGCACAACAAGCAGCACTGAATAAGATTCTATTAAAAACAAAGACCTATATTGATGTCCGCTGTGACACTGTTCTGCAACTGTGAGTGGGGGGGGGGGGACTTTCTAGAGCATAACAACATGTGATACCTGATTTATGTCTAATTGGCAGAGCTAAGTGGGTGTCCAAACACTGTTTCGGACGCCCACTGTGGGATGCTCTTGTGTCTGAGGTTACAGCTAATCTCCTTGCTTTAATTCCACTCTGACCTAGTGAGAAGAAATCAAGCTCTAGCATTTAACCCACATTTTTGGTTAAATGTGAAAAACAAAGCTATCATCATCTCTCTTTTTTTGGAGAAGTTACACTCCACAAGGGGGCAGGGGATACCAGCTCAAGCTCTTAATGCAAACCCAATCCTTTGATTTTAATTGCATGGTATAATTTTGTCTACTGCGGGGCTTGAATTGCAGATGATTCAAAATGTAAGACAAAAATGAGAACAGGAAACATCATCTTGTTCCAGCAAGACTCAGGTTTTAAACAACTCTTGAGGAAACACAACTCAGATAATTCTCCGAACAAAAGAGCAAAAGTTCAGCACAGGCACCAATGCTTGCTAAGCAGCAGTTCCAGGAACAACATGCAATGGCATGAGATGTCTAGTTCTTTATAAATCAGCATAATTATGTGACAAAGGACCTCTTCTTGAAATGAGGTTTATGGCTTATTCCCACCCACACATAATATGAAAATTGTCTCTTTTGGACAGGTAAAAGGTTTGAGTGATAGCCAGTAGTAGTCCATCTCAAAGCAGAACCACTGAAACCATTGACTTAAACAACATTTAAATCTATTAATCTCAGCTTTAAGTATGATTTAGCTGGATGTCCCTCATTGACAGGGATGCAGCAAAATCTCCGATCTGTCCTATTCTCCTCACACACGCAAACGTTCAGGGATGAAAAACCAGGGACAAATGCAAGACAAGTGATAAAGGCAGGTCAGTACTACTTACTCTCCCAAACCTAGACCCACTGTCCATTTCGTGGCCTGCCTCAACAAGTGAAGAATCATCTGTCAATTTCAGCCACAAATTCCTTAATCCCACACTGTAGTATATATGAACATATGCAAAGCACTTTAAACACCAAAGTCTACTGGGGAGAAAGGGTGGGATATAAATTTAAAAATAAATAGATAGGATATAATGTTATACCAAATAAGCAGTACTTTCAGTTTTTGTTTATTATTTTTTGTTTATTTCATTTGTATCCCATCTTTCCTCCAAGGAGCTTAAAATAGCAAAATCTCTCTGTTTTATCCACACAACAATCCTGTGAGCTAGGTTAGGCTGATATTTAGCACCTAGCTCAAGGTCACCCAGCGAGCTTCATCGGTGAGGGAGAATTTGAACCTTGGTCCTCTAGGTACTATTCTAACACACCACAACCACACTGCACTGGCTTTGAACGTGTTTAAAGAACGTTACATAAAATGACGGTGTAATAATACACCTGCATTTCAGCAGTGGGGAACTCCCACCCCCCCGGCCGAGGTTCACATTCCCTCCCAGGCAACCTTCTGAGGGCCACATGCAAACAATGGGTGGGCCCAGGGAGCGAAATTGGGCAGAGCAGCGAATGCAAATTTTAACTTTACACAACAGGTCAGTTTCTACACTAGCACGCACAAAACACCCTGCCCTTCAACAAGATGAACGAGAGACGCATTTCAAGGGCACGTTTCCAGCAAAGCAAAAAACAGAACTCAGGATAGCTCTGTCAATAGAGCACAAGAGACTCTTCATCTCAGGGTTGTGGGTTCGAAACCCCACCTTGGGCAAAAGATTCCTGCATCACAGGGGGGTTGGACTAGATGACCCTCGTGGCCCATTCCTACTCTCTGATCCTATGTGTGCAATGCTGGGCTGGTATAGCCTGAGGAGAGCCATGAGGGCCGGGGAGAAAGGCCCTGGGGGCCACCTCTGCAAACCTGCCCAATCCTATTTCCCCTTCCTCCAAGGGTAGCACATTTCCCAACCCCCACTTGGGGAGAAAACAAGGTCAAACTCCTTTCCAATTCCCCCACCCCAAGTATGGGGGCGATACCCAGGCAGCCCCCAGCCCCCAACCCTAGTGGGGTTTCCCACCCCTAATGGCAGGGAAGGTACAGCCAAAGCAGGCAACCTTGTTTATAGGTTCTCTTCTCTACCTCTCCCCCGCCCCCTCCCGGCCCCTGAGCAAGGCACTCTGGGCTTCGTAGTTTCCTCGCCACTAGCCAGCGCCGGCCGCGGAGAGAGCGGGGACTACACCTCCCGCCGTGCGCCGCGCCGCCCGCTCGCTCCCGGGGCACGCCGGGACTTGCCGTCCGCTTCTCCCTCAGCCGCCACGGGCCGCTATGGAAAGCGGGACTACCGTTCCCGGCGTTCCTCGCGCGGCGGCGGCGGCGCCTCAGCTCCTCCGCGCGTCCGCCTCCCTTTTTCTCTCTCAAATGAAGATGGTGAAGTGGCCGTGAGGAGCGGCGCTGGCTGCCGCCGCCTCTCTGCCCTCAGCGGCGTCTCTCCCCGCCAGCCCCGGCTCACCGATGTCGATGGCGAAGCGCTTGGCGTTCTCCAGGTTGCGGAAGATCTCGTCCGGCGGGAGGGTGATGCTCTTGTCCAGGCTGCCGCTGACGCCGCCGCTGTTCCTACCACCGCCTCGCCCGCCCCGCTCCGCCATTTTGGACGCATCGACCCGCTCTCTGCGTGCCCGGCCTCTTTAGGCATGCAAATTTATGCGCATATGTTTTGCGTGCTAAATGCCAGGGAGGAGGAGGAGGGGAAAGAGGCTCCGCATGCATCTAAAGGGGGGGAGTGGGCGGCGCTTTTCCGAAGCTCCGCCCACGCCTCTTGTTCCCTTTCGCCATTCGTGCCCAGGGAATGAAAACGATTTAGGCTGCCTCCACTCGAAATGCGCTTACTCGGGAGTAGGGACAGATGGATCTACCAGATTCCTTCAGTTCAGTTCTCCACGTTTCTACATTAGATTTGCAAATCCACTACCATCATCATTACTATTTGTAAAGCATTCCCGAAAATTATACTGTACTCAACTTTTTAGCGAGTTTTTTCTCCATGTGTCACACACACACACACACACACATACATATATATATATATATAGCAAAGCACTTTCCTGCAGCATGTTGCTGGAGAATTGCATTGCAAAATTCAGAGAAGAGTTTTCACAAGAAAAAAAGGGGGGGCCTCCTGAATATTCATCACTATTTTAGTGTGAATTTGTCCTGTTCTGCACATATTTGTATGCAGTTATTCCTAGCAAACACGTTTCTTACTGTTTTTATTTTGCAAAGCATAAGGCAGTTTTGTATGTTTTCACAGACATGCATTTTAATGGAGAATTTAGAGTACCATATGCAGTTCTGTGCACGTTACTTGGTTGGAGAAATGCATTGCAGAGGAGAGTTTGGCTTTGAAAAAGAAAAAAGCCCTTCTGAATTTTTATGGAGACTTTACGATAGCGATTGCACTTTAGCACACATTTCTTGGCTGGAGAAATGCATTACAAAATCCAGAGGAGAGTGCATTTAAAAAAATAATAATGTAGGAAGCTGCCTTATACTGAATTAAACCAAAGATCCATCTGGTTTATGATTGTACTTGCTGAGTGGCAGCAGCTCTTCAGGGTTTCAGACAGGACATTCCCAGCCCTGCCTGGAGATGCCAGGGATTGAACATGGGACCTTCTGCATGCAAAACAGATGCTCTAGCCACAGGGGCAGCCTGAAACGTTTCTGCTCCTGAGGCAAGATGTCCCACTGCCACGCATGTGATGGGGGAAGGCATGAGGCTCTGCAAGTACTTTCCCTTAAGGAAAACCCCTTGCAAATCCTTACTAGTGGGTGGAGAAGGGGGTAAACACTGCAAGGATGTCTGGAACATCTCATGACGACTTGGCGATAGGGAGATGTTCTGGAAAGCTTTGTCAGGGCCTCCCGCCACCCCTTTGGGTGGGTGGGGGACTGGTGGCAAAGTGGAGTGGCGAACTGCTCTGCCTCCTTTGCCTGGGTTGCTTCTCCAGTGACGACAGAAGCAGTGCGGCAGGTGGGGTGCTGTGTCTTGCGTTTGCAACGCCTGAGGCAGCTGCTTCACGGGTGGGCCGGTTCTGTCTAACCACCTCAATGTGGCCCTTCCCCCAAGGACCAGCTAAGCAGGCCTCTGAAAAATTATGCATTTGAGGTTTGCAGAAGTATAATAATAAAGGGCAATCCCCCCCCGCACCAGTAGAATGTATTTATTAACAATGCTTGTACACTGTCCAATAAGTAATGTTCCCTGGGCCGTGAACAATACAGAGTAAAACACGTTGGATATACAGTTGGATGTTCACAATTAAACCCACAGCAACAACTGGAGTCGAGCATGCTCTATAGCCGCAAAACGTTGACAAAGGAGAAGAGATGAGTGATGGGAGGGTAGAATAAATATCTTGGTGGAGGTCATGACTGGCTGGACAACCTTGCTAGCAAATGACCTTACATTTCATTGCAGCTCCCACTTGTCAGGGTTGTTTTTGTTTTAAAGGGGAAATGCCCACAAGATGGCGCAATGTAGCTTGACAGTGTTGCTGTTCCTCCTTTCTGGGGGTGGCTGGTGGGTGCTTTTCTTATGTTCTTAATCTTACGGGGCGGGCGGCTACCATTATTATCCACTCTAGGCAGCTAACAGCACATATAAAAACATAGTGGTGTTGGGCAGGGGGTGTTATTGTTTTGTTTCTTATTTTATTGTTTTGTTTGTTATGTATTTTTATGTTTTTATATTATTAGCTTCCCTGTGATCCTCAGATGGAAGGTGGTATAGGAATTCAATAAATGAATGAATGACTAGATAGATAATTGAAACAGATTACAGTCACGGGAATAAGGTGGGTCCTAAAAACACACACCTGAGGTTTCAAAGGACAGGGTAAATCTTCAGCATAATGAAGATGCCCGACATACGTGTTTGGGAAGGGAATTACACAACTTAAAGGCTGCCACAGAGAATGCCTTGAGTGAACATGGAAGGTCTTTAACAAGTTTGGATTTCCAGATTGGATTATTGCAACACACTCTACCTGATGGGTGGTCTTTGGAGGGGGGGGTGGCCCAGGGGAGAGCACTCTTTGTGGCAGTTCCAAGGTTGTTGAATTCCCTCCTTGCAGTGATGCATCTGCCCTGTGACTCTTAATTTATTTTAAAGAGTTTTCAGTAATGAATTTTAAATATTGTATTCTGTCCTGAGACCTTTTAGTGAAGGATGAGTAAGAAACTGAATAAATAATAAGTGAAACGGAGAGGTTTTTGGTTAATTGATTATTTCTTTCGGGTTTCTTCTTTCAGGTTGCAATTGGAGCCAGGCTTTCCTGGAGTCATAAGCGGGCTTTGCCCTAGCCTAGACAAGCAATGCAATAAGAAAGAAGGGAGAGTTTTCGTGCATGTGCAGAATGTCGTTTTTGCATCCCTGGGGAACCACAAACACCTCCACACATCTGGGATTAGGAGACAAGGGCTTCTCTACATCTGCACTGTACATTTAAAACAGTGTCCTACCACTTTAAGCAGTCATGGCTTCCCCCAAAGATTCTTGGGAGCTGTAGTATTGAGTGTTGTTAGGAGACCCCTATTCCCCCCACTACAGTTCTTAGAGTGGTTTAATAGTCAATCTCTTCTCGTAGGGAACTCTGGATATTGTAGCTCTCTGAGGGGAATAGGGGCCTTTCCAAACAATTCTCAACACCACTAACAAATGCTCTGTTATGTGTGCGTACAGTTCACTAAAACTGCTCTCCTAAGCAGATTTGGGGAGTCTGCTCCATTGAACACAATTGGATAAACAGTTCAGTCCTAGTAACCATGTCTCCTGGGAAGTAAGTCCTATTGAACTCGGTTGGGCTTTCTCTCAGGTAAGTGCAGTTAGGATTGCAGCCTTAACTCATGAGTAACAATCTGGCTGTAAAGCAAAGTGAAAACTCCACACTCCCTTGATATTAGAGGCCGATTGCTCAGAGTGTCCCATCTTAAATCAGAACTCACTGGATACACTGAAATGCATGTAAGGCAAGCTAGTTTTATTTGTTTCTCATTCACTGTGCAAAAGTGGTTTCCAACGGATTACAGATTTGGTGTGTCACACCCAACAACATTACATCATCCTCCAAGGACGGTAGCCAGCAAAAATTAACTTACCATAAAAACAGTTATGGTACCAAAAGAAAAGTAAATACAATTTGTACAATTAGCCTTTCATAAAAGACATCATTAAACAATTCATGTTATACATATTTCAGCACTCTGGGCTGTTACGTTCCTTCCTATGAGGATAGAAAACTATGTTTCTGCCTTTATAAAAAGCATTCGTTCAGCATCTCGAACACAAACACTCTGCCTTGGAGAGTCAACCAATTTGAAGAACATCCTCTACACGTTATCGTCACAGGGTAACGCTTTTCTCTTGCCACACTCTGTACAGTCTACAAATGTTATAGAACTTCATCACAGCAGCAACATTCAAAGGCCTTTTTTTCTTTCTTTCAAAATAGCCTCTTGCATTTGTGGGCACAGCTAAATAGCAGCTGTTTCACAGACTACATGTGCGTTGGAAATATATAAATGTTACAGAACTTCATTGCAGCCCTGCATCAAACCTTCCCTGTGTCCATGAACTCGTGATAGCCCTTCTTGGATGAAGCGTGGGGATATTTGTGTGTTTCGAAACCTAGTATTTGCAGGGCTGGAATGTAGCCTGCCAAGCAAAGGCAACATTCACACCCCATTACTCTGCCTACTTCTGGCCCCACCCCTCACTGAATTGCGGCCCCCAAGGGCTTCCCACAAAGGGAAGGTGGCCCTGAGAATTGTAAGTGAAGTAAGCAAGCTGAGGATTTCTTCAGTTCCCTAGCCATCATCAGTATTCACCCTGGCCACCAAAATCTGGCCAGTCTGTTGCTGTGGCTGCAAGGAAGCTACACAAAGCACAGAGACTCTTGAAAAAAGAAAACGGCCCCAAAACTTCTTAGAAGTTACTCTTTTTTTTTGCAAACAAAACAAACCTCAAACACACACACACTCTAACAATTAATAATAAGCATCAAAGTCCGAACACAGAACAATTATAATGATTTGTTGTTCCCCTTGGAACAGCTGCTCGCAATTCTCCCAATAAAAGGATGACTGGTTCATTCTTTCAGAATGGTTTTTCCTTTCTGAGCACTTTGCCTTTCTGAATGAGGAAGGCCTCTGTCAGTCAGATATCAATACATATTAAGCCGCACATATTCTCCCGAGGAGCGGTGCAGGATTTGCATAGCAAATTGCCAACTCCTCCTGGATGTCTTAGAAACACATGTTGAGAATAAGAGCGCTCTCCTACCAAGGCCTCCACAATTTGTAGGCTGGTTTTGAGATGGCGCCTTGGGGTGACCCCTTCTGAAGCAGAGCGGGGGTAGAAAGTGGAGGATTGTCCTTGCTAGCCACCTCCCAAGGCTTCTGGAAGTGACTTAAGAGCTTGCTCTGGGTTTCGGTGTTCGTTGAGTGGATGGCCAGGAATTGCAGAGTTTCCTTCAGGCAGGAGGAATAGCCTTTGCTGTAATCCTGGGTTCTGCTTACAGATGATGTCGCCAATGCTGTGAAGAAAGAGACATGGGATTTAGAGGTGAGGGTGCCCACAGTGGTCTTTTAACTTAACATACACTAGCTACGTAAAGGGCATAGCTACCCAACACATTAAACCTAGCTTAACAGCCATTTCTTCTCCCTAGAGAACCTTGGGGACTTGTCATTGTGTCAAGGAGCCATAGGCAATGTCATTCTCTGAGTGGCACATGGGATCTTCGCTGCAATCCTGACCAAACTACCCCTCCCAGAATTCAGTAGTGGTAGAGATCCATGCACTGAATATGGCATTAAACTGATGCAGGTTTCTAGCATAAATAAACAAGACCAGCACTCACTTTGGCTATATTTTAGGTAGCTGACGGTCATCTCCAGAACGTCAGCCTTCTCCAGCTTGGAGCTGGGCTGGTGTCTCTGGAATTCCTTCTCCAGAAGCAGTTTCAGTTGCTCGATGCTGCCGTTGATGCGGTCGCGGCGCAACTTCTCCACCAGCGGCTTCTGCAGCTGTGAGGGGACAAGGAGAGAAAAAGAGAGAGTTAGCACGTGGGGAAAGGCCACGGCTCAGCGATAAGAGCATCTGCTTGCGTGCAAAATTTAACCTAGGTTTCAACATCCCCACCCCACCAAATATTGCCAGGTAAGTCTGGGGGAGACTCTTGCGCCCATTGGTCTGACTCAGTATAAGGAAGCTGAGTACAGTAAGTCCATTTTGCTAGCCTTCCACACAACCCCCTCTCTCTTGATGGGGCAGGATCTGACAATTTCCAAGCAGGACAATAGAAGAAAACACTTACTTTGTTTTTCACTTTGGATGCCTGGATTTCCAGTGAAGCGCCGGCTGTTGCCATGATTAACCCAGGAAAGCGAGGAAACTGTTTGGCTTCAGGTCTGCTGTGTGGAAGCAAAAGGGAGTGGGGGCCTCTATTTATACACACCAGCCTCCTCCAAATGCCTGGGTCCAGAGCGTCTTGGAGTTTCCCACACTCCCTGGCCAATGGGGAAGTTTCTCGGGGACAATAGGGGAGGCATCTATTACAGCATGGTAAATTGACTGTGAATCGCTTTGGGATAATACCACTGTTCCCCAAGGAGCAGGTGGACTGGGGAGCTTGGGGTGGGGGGCGCGTAACAACAGAGACCAGCTTCGAGGAGGATGGGAATGTGGGAACGGCCATTATCTTCAGCCTTGGGAGCCGGAGGGACGTCAACATCTCAATATGCTGCCTTTTTCCCAGGATGCAGCGAAATTAAGTGCCAGGGAGTGATGCTCAGGAAGACTCTGTGTGTGCGCACACACCTTCCCCCCACCCCTTCAACTTTCCCGTTTCCAAAAGCTTCCCTTGTAGTGGGGGGCTAGCAGGATTTAGGAGACCCAGAGCTTTTCCATTGACATCAAAGTGTGCTTGAATGAATACAGTGAGGTCGATTTTCAGAGAATAGCAACCAAAATGTAAAAGGAAAAACATATGTTCTGGGGAGGGTGCAGGGAGTACTGGAGCATAAGTTGGTCAGCAAAAATTATCTCCTATTAAAGGTGCACAAGGACTGTGACTTTTTCTTTTTCTTTTTCTTTTTTTTTTGCATCTGGCTGGCGTCCACCCTGGATTATAGGCCTCCTCAGAGTAGAACCATTGCAATTAATGAACTTGACTAATTTAGGTCCACTGATGGGTTTAGGCTGAGTGAGTAGGACTTGGTTGGGTACATCTCTCCCAGCCCCCCTCTCAAAATCACACATACCAGTTCTTGTATTTAGCTGTGCCTCCCTTCATCCCCAGGCCTCAATGCAATGGGTACTTACATAGTGTTAAATCCCCACCCTTCCTCTGCGGAATTATTCAACAATTTCATTTTTATTTTTGTAGCACAAAAAGAATCCCCAGCCATACTGCATGCTTAGGTAGCCTTGCTGTCTAGTTAAAAGCAAAGCAAGCAAAGTCACCTAACCTTAAAAACAAAACAAAAACAAAAGCCAACAAAGGTTACATACATATATTTTTTCAGTTCCCAAATCAAAGAGAGGAAATTACTCACAAAAGCAGCGGGAGGGAGAGACGGGGGCGGGGCGGGGCGGGAGTATAATGTGATCATTGCCAGTGATAAAAAGGTGAAATAACTTGTATCATGATATTTTAAGCAAGTAGCACTTAGCAAGTACCACGTCCCTTCAAGCAGGTAGTCGTTAGTGAGGCAGTTAATTCTCCTCCCGGCTCTCCCTTGGTTTCCACTTGGTTAAACCCTTCAATGTTAAAACCCTTCAATGTTTCTTCACTATCTCTAGTACTTTGGCAAATAAAAGGTCTACCATGACTAGCAGCAGATCTCCAGGCTTTCAGATTCCTGGAGATGCCAGGAATTGAACCTACGGCCTTCTGCGTGCAAAATAGATGCTCAGCCACTGAACTGCATCCCTCCTTTGCTTGGGGTTGGACTAGATGACCCTCGGGATCCCTTCTAATTCAACAGTTCTGTGATTCTCTGCTTCTGAAGAGCAAAGAGACCACACCTGCCTTACCTTTCTGAGGCCCCAGTTATAGCTGACAGGTTCTTAAGAGAAGGCAGTGGTGATTTATATTCTTGAACAGCTTCCACCGGCCCCAAGAGTCAGTGAACTCTTAAAGCTGCCAGTTTTATTTCAAACCTGTGAGGTCAGGAAACCTGTATACCTCTGGGACTTGGCTGGTTTTAAAGAATGTGCGTCCCTCTTGCCAAATTGAGCAAAATCTGAGCAAAGCCTGAAACACAGAAGGCTACACTTCTCTAGCTTAACACATGCAGTTTGAACGCCAGGCCACCTGACGAAGAATCCTGTGTGATGCAAAAGCTTGCATATGCCAGCACCGGCAGAAGCCTTTGCAATAACATTGTTTTACTGCTTCTGCCAGCGCAATTCTATCCATTCAGAAGCCAGTCCTATCAAATGCAGGTGGGCGCCTTACTCCCATCGTAAGTGGGGTGAGGATTGCAGCCTTCAGACACAAACCGCTGCCTTTGGCATGGCGCTGAGGGCACACCAGCTGGGCAGGCGGGCTGCACAAAGTCTGGTGGCAATGCGGGAGGTTTGGATAAGAAATCGGATGTACAGTTTTTTGGGGGGAGGAAATATGAAATGAGTGGATTTCAGCAACGACTGCCACCCGCGTCACAAAGATCCCTAGGGACTCCTGAGCAGGGGGCAGTGGGTGGGTGGGTGGGTTCACCCCTCTTCATGAAATAACTCTCCTTCCTTCTCTCCATCATCTCCCCCCCTCCAACTCCTTATCCTCTCCAAATCACCCCTCCAGAGTACAGGCCAGATGGCATGAAAGGACTCATGAGGCACACGTCTTTTGTCTGCAGTTTAACAGCATGAATGGATCAATGTGTGGGAAACAGGGATTTGCGGGCTCACACCATCTGAGGTGAACCAGGCAGTCATGCCCCAAACAGCAACCCCCTTTTTCGGGTGGGGGAGGGGTGGGTTGGCTGCACACACTCCCACCTAAACCCCCCCCCCCAATTCTCCCACCACTGCAAAAATCTCTTCCTTTCCACACTCACTTTATAGGCCCATTAAACCAATGAGTTTTTCTGCTCTTCCATCTGCTGGCGGTTAATTCCCAGGGTAAAAAAAAGTAAAAAAAAAGTGGTGCTTCGTTTCCATCTTTTTTTGTTTAGCTTTTCCCTTAGGAGGCATTGCACTCTGCCCATGCTCTGAGGCACTGTCGTTATCAACTCGACCCTTCTTTTAAATTTGTGTGACTGGATTTGGGTTTATCCAACGAAGCCCTCCTCAGAGTGGACCCCCTCAAAAGTAACACACCCAGTTCAATGGGTCTACTCAGAGTAGGCCTGGCGTTGGTTACAACCCTTTTGTAAAAATAAGCAAAAAAACCCTCTAAGGGCTTTTACCTAATATAAAAAATATTTAAAATTATGGATAAAAGAGTTAATAACAAATTCACCTAAATTTTACAGGACGTAAAAAAGGTCAGTAGTTTAAAAATATTAATTATAAAGAAAATGGTATGTTAAAATAGATGTTCCCATTGTATATCTGGGTAAACTTACCTAAGTTATTAGCAGGCATGCCAAAAAACATACAGTGTGGGTTCGAATTTCCACCTCAGCCACTAAGCTCATTGGTGGAAGTTTTGGTGGATAAATTTGTTGGGTAAAGGTTTTATTTATTTATATTTGTTTATTTAGAGCATTTGCACCCTGCTCTTCAGCCAAAAAGGCACCCTGGGTGGCTTTTACATACAATCATTTTAAAACAAGACAGTCGCTGCCTGCAGGCTTAGCACCTGAAAGACACGATATGCAAGGGGAAAAGGACAAGGAGGGAAGAGGAAGGAAAAAAACCCCCACAAACTCAGATGCAAAGGCTTAAACACAGCAATTCAGGGGTAGGAGGCACCTGATGGTGCATCCTATTTTATTTAAATAATTTAATATTTGATTATTTATTTACATAATAAACACATAAACATTTTAAGTTTGAAGATTTTCAAACACAACTGTTCATTTTGTTAGATAATTTATTTGATGACTTTACAGTGGTACCTCGGGTTAAGAACTTAATTCGTTCTGGAGGTCCATTCTTAACCTGAAACTGCTCTTAACCTGAGGTACCACTTTAGCTAATGGGGCCTCCCGCTGCCGCCGCACGATTTCTGTTCTCATCCTGAAGCAAAGTTCTTAACCCGAGGTACTATTTCTGGGTTAGCAGAGTCTGTAACCTGAAGTGCCTGTAACCTGAAGCATCTGTAACCTGAGGTACCACTGTATTGGGTTTTTTCTTTTTAGAAATATAATATGTAATGCTTAGGGCACAGAGGAAGTGAAGGATAGGTAACAAGCAAGCAAGCAAGCAAACAAAATTATTCTTAATAATGCTGCCTTTTCCTACAAGCAGCTCACAGTATCCTCTCCCCATTTTATCTTCACAACAACCCAGTGAGGTAGGTTAGGCTGAGAGGCAGCGACTGGCTCCAAGGTCACCCGGTGAGCTTCATGGCGGCTCTGAATCGTGGCCTCCCACAGTCCAACACTCTAACCACTACACCACACTACTACCAGTTGTAGTCTGTACAGCCACATGCCTGCGCTGCTCTACATGAAAACAGTAATTTACGTACATATTACAGTCATATGCCTCTCCAAGGAACTCAAAGTGCTGCACACAGCTCTACCCCCAGCTTTTGAACCCTGATGCCAGGTCACCTGATGCCAATTTTTAATCATTTGGATGTTTGCGGGGTGGGAGAGAGCTCTGAATCAAGCACACAGAACTCCGCTTACCTCCCTTCCTCCCTCTGCCCAAACTGCCGTGTGCTTTATGGAGCGATGTTGCAGAGGTCTGCTCAGATAGAAGTCCTAGTGACGTCAGTGGGACTGGCTCCCAGGTAAGAACATATAGGACTTCATCCAGTCTAAGTGAGTCCTGTTGAAGTCAGTGGGGAAAGTCATTCCCGGCCCATTGATTTCAGCGGGGAACCGGCTCAGCTGGCTTCGACCCGATCCAATTCCTCAGTCCCAACATTTCCCCAAGTATTTTGAGCCTGGTCTGAACCAGAATTTCCCTGAGCTTCATCCAACTCAGAGTAGACCCACTGACTTTATCAAACCTAAGCTAATGATGGACATTCATTTCCATGGGTCTACTCTGAGAAGGGTTATCATTGACTACAACCCCACACTCTGGATTTTGTTTTCCCAATGCCTCCCATAAAGGACCCCTGACCATTAGGTCCAGTCATTGCTGACTCTGAGGTTGCGGCGGTCATCTTGCTTTATTGGCTGAGGGAGCTTCCGGGTCATGTGGCCAGCATGACTAAGCCGCTTCTGGCGAACCAGAGCAGCGCACGGAAATGCCGTTTACCTTCCCGCTGGAGCGGTACCTATTTATCTACTTGCACTTTGACGTGCTTTCGAACTGCTAGGTTGGCAGGAGCAGGGATTGAGCAACGGGAGCTCACCCCGTCGCAGGATTCGAACCACCGACCTTCTGATCGGCAAGTCCTACACTCTGTGGTTTAACTCACAGTGCCACCAGCATCCCAAATGCCTCCCATAGATTCCGTCAAATGTACCAATATTGGGCAAGCTGAACTGTAATAAAATAAAATATCATTATTATTCCCCTTCTCTGGGCCCCCTTTCTAACCCCCCTCAATTTCTAGACCTTTTAAAGAGGGTTTGAAATGAGTTGGGAAGGCCTCCCCAATGCCAGCGATTTGGTGTCAGAGAGCATAAAGTTCCCAGCGTTGTTGTTGTTGATATATATAGAGAGAGAGAGTCTGGGGGATAATGCCGATCGCTCAATGTGGTCCCTGGGAAAGCGAAGCTCTCCAGATGGCCTATCAGGACAGAAATTGCCGGCCGGCACAATAGTGAGCTGCACAGCGGCACTAATGGGCGCTGTGGCCCAGGCACACTTCATTTGTCCTCCCCATGAATGTCATCAATGGGCTTGAAAGTGTGGGAAACACCGAGAAACCCAGCCCCACACTCTGGAGGTTAATAGGGGCATTGTCGGAAGAGTCCCTCTGAGCCGCAGGATCAACATAATAAATATCACCCCCACCCGGGTCTCCCAGGAGAAAAGCTGCCAGCATTGGGGAAAGCCATTCAGAGTTAACAACAACAACAACAATAACAACAACAACAGTCAACTATATATTTCGCAAAATGATTTGTCCGTCCATTTGCTAGTTTTGTTTTCCTTGAGCCTCCTTGAGCTCAGAAGCCTGTCAATAGACCATTGCCAAACTTGACATAAGGCTGTGTGTGTGTGTTGGTTTTCATCGATGCTGGGCCGTCAGCTGCCATTTTGAAACAAGATGGCAGACCGGAACTTGGTGTGACTTTGGTACGGCTTCTTCCTCTTATTGGCATGGGTACAGCTGCCTTTCGAGTGTTCCTGAGGTGGTGGTGGTCTATGTTGACATTTGGGTGCTGGACGCCATTTTGAACCAAGATGGTGGGCTGAAATGTGACTTTGGTGTGACTGTGTCCGGGGTTTGTTTTTTTTTGGCATAGGTTAGGCAACCACTCCAGATATTTTTGCCCAGTGTGGTCAGGGCTGATGGGAATTGAATTCTTGCTCTTGGTGAGAGAAGGGCTGTCAGGACTAAATGCATCTTAAAATATAAGAAACCTAAGAAGGGAGAGCAGGAGAGCTAGCCTTCAATAGTTAAGCACCTTGGACAGCACACTAGACTGGTCACCTTGACCAGTTGTATTCAACCTTTTCAGACCAAGGGCTCACCTTTAACCCAAACATGCATTTGGGGACCCACTTCTTAATTTTCCGACATGTATATGTATGTTGGTAATGCTGCTGTTGTGACCCAACTTAGGTTAGGCTGAGACCCAGCAGTGGGACTGACCCACCTGCTAAAGACCACTGACCTTGATGTGCCCCAATCTGATGAAATGGATTGCATGCCTGTTTCAATTTTAGCAGCTATTTCTAATTGTGCCTGGGACTCTTTGGGGGAAAAGTGCAGGGTGGAATTACTACTACTACTACTATTACTATTATTACTGTGTCATATGTATTCTTATAAATAATAGCAGGTGCAAATTTTATGCACATTAATTCCTTACTATGCTCAAATAGGATAGATTGGGGTCGGAAACCTGTAGCCTTCTAGATGGACACTGTTCCTGGATCTGATGTGGGGGTTTTTTGGTTGGGGGGGGGGGAGACAGTGCTTTCAGAGAGGGCAAGGCAGCACGAACAGCCAGTTGTTGCTCTTTGAGTTGTTGCTCTTTGAGACAGCCAGAATCTGCATGGATGGAATGTGTTACAAGAAAGTTAATTTTCAGAAGTTGTGCCTGAGCTTCCATTTTCCTCATGTGCCATATCTTGTAAGGTTGATTATTGAACCTTTTTGTAGGGCTAACGAGGGACCCAGGGGATGAGTGACAGGGGGTGTCCTGTAACCAAGTGGCTGATGGGATAGCAGGAACTGGAGTCACAGGAGGAGGGAGGGTTTTCCTGCCGCTGCCTTCAGCTGGAAGTGCCTTCGCCCAATAGACATCCTTATCCCCTCTTCCAGAACCACCGCACTAAGTATGGCCTGCTCATCAATGCTGGGATGTAACTCAAATTCATTGGAAAGCTCCTCAGTTACAAAGTCTATGAAAGATGGAACGAACTAGGAAAGCAATGAAGAAATACATCATCTAGCAGGGAAAACGAAGGCACAGACAAGGAAGTCATTTATAAAGGATGTGCCCATTTAATGACCTTGTTAAAGGAGGAACAAGCTACTACAGACCGTACTTGAGAAGCAAGAACTTGGGACCGTTGGTATTAGATGTTCCTTTGGTTGTAGTTTAAAAGACTAAAAAAATGGGAGGCGCTTCAAGCAAAGGACAGAATTCCTATGGATTAGACATTATTTGTAAGGACAGGAGAAATTTACACATTGAAACAAGATGGTCACAGCAGAAGAGATGGATTTGAGGTCCTGACCAAAGGTGCTTTTCCAGGGTCATGTAACTCATCTTTTTTTGAATTTGCAAATGAAGATAAGTTTTAGGAAAATGGCTTGCTGTTGTCAATTCCCATGGCTGAATACAGAAGACAAGGTCTGCCTAATGAACAGTGGAGGAGACTATTTCTCAATGAACATTATGCACTGTGTGACATTTACCCATCCCTCTTGGTGGTGCCATACAATACCACAGATGATGATCTCAAGGAGGTTTTTGCTTTCAGATCCCGATGCAGAACTCCAGTATTGTAATGGCTCCATCCAGAACTATCTGTGATACAAGACGCAGTGTTAATGCTGCAGCTAATCAGGCAACTGGAGGAGGGTATGAAAGTGATGACGAACCGATTTTCCCAATGCTGAACTTCTCTAGATATTCATAATATTCATGCCACGCACAAATCCTTGAAAAAGCTGAAGGACACCTTATGTAGAAAAATCCCACTGGCTATCGAATCTAGAGTCACCCCGTGAGATAGAGCAAGCTTTGATTGCAACAAACCCACTCGCTCAAACTTATCTAGCATGTTTTGACAGGTGCTGTTCAGGTAGAAGACAAAGTATTCTCTGGAAAGAGTTCCGTTTTGGTACACTGCAAGGATGGTTAGGACCGCATGGCACAACCAGCCTCTCTAGACAGTTTGATGTTGGACAGATCCTTTGGACACAAGTGTGCTTGATAGCAATCCAGCTGCTGAATTCTGCGCCCATATTGAACTATTTTAATACTTTAGCTAAGTAACTCCATTCTGTCATCTTGGCTCTGAGCCTTGGAAGATCTGCTCCCTTGCCTTGCAGGCTTTTCCCCACCTGGCCTGGGAGGGACGGACTCCAGCTACAAAAGCTGAGACTCCTGGGCTGGGGTATTGCTGGGTTTTTGTTGTTGTTGGGGGGACATTGTTGGTTTTTTGTACCTTTATTTCAGATATTCTTATTAATGTGGAAACTTCAGATATTCTTATTAATGTGAAAATTGTTCAATTCTGTTGCGTATCTTTTAATGCTTTAGATATTGTTTATGATTACTTTTGTTAGGTTGTAGTTGTGCATTCTTTTTCATGCCGTGAGCTGCCTTGAGCATGGTTTGAATTGTGGAAAGGCAGCATGCAAATAAAATTATGTCTGTGTGAGTATAAATGCCATGAAAAAATAAAGCAAATATGAATGGAGGCAGGGCTAGCAAGTGAATAGCCGTGGTGCTTAGTTGCAAGTGACCAGTGGAGGAAGGTATCAGATTGTGACCTACTCAGAGTAGACCCATTGAAATGAATGGGCTAGGTCATGCAGATGAAGGCCAGTGGGTCTACTCTGAGTAGATTGTGGATTGTAGGAAAATGGAATAAACTGCCTTGTGAACACAGCCAATGTATTATATCCAATTAAGTTTTGCTCAGAATAGAACTGAAAATAATGGATCCAAGATAGTCAATTTCACTAATTTCAATTGGTCTGTCTCAAGTAGAACTTAATTGGATTACAACCCTATGATTATATCATGACTTATACCTAATGGGTTCATTACAGAGGTAAGATTTGAACAGGTGTGTGTTGTTTTCTTGTTGTTGTTGTTGTGCAGCTTATTAAGTATACTACTCCAGAGCTGAAAGGAAGGATTCATTCATTGTGGAAGAAAAAATGATTTCTTTATTAACATTTCCATCAAAGAAATTCAAATCGTATTCAACACCATATGGGGATGAATGCAACATCGCTTTATAAAAGCATTCCAATTCGTTCGTGTTCAACAAACGTACATACGCACATTACTTTCTCCTTATTAAAGATACATAAACATGTGTTTCCTTCACAAAAGGCAGAAAACTCTCCCAAATGGGAGATGCATAAGACACAGAGAGTGAAACCTAACACAAGGCCCTTTAGATGCTGTTGGAATGCCAACTCCCATCAGCCCCGGACAGCATAGCCGATGGTATGGGAAACCTCTGAAATCTCTCCCCATTCAAAGATTGGAGTGTGTTACACACTATCAGAACAGCAGGGGATTCTCAGTCAGTGGAGCTAGGTTCTTGGAAGGTTCACTCAGAAAGTAAAAAAAGAAAGAAAGAAAAGACTAGAGCACTTTGATACAAATTACAGCGTCGAAACAAAAGCACCCCTTCTCTCTGAAGGACAATATGAACAGAGAGTCAGGAAGTCTTTCAGTCTCCCAACAGATGCTGTTGGAAGTCCTCGGCAAGGCATCTCTATTGTCAGAAAGCTGAAACCACTTTCTTTCCTTTTCTACACTGCCAAGGAAAAGACGCCTCCTCTCTGCCACAGCAGCCCATAAGAGCAGACAACTTCACGCTCCTTCATTGTGAAGGGAAATGACTTTGCAAGGACATTTCTTGCGACAACAAACAACCCAACCCTCCTTGGAAATCAAATGCTTCCTACTTCTTAAAGAGGAATCATAAAGATTCCTTTAGGTTTTATCAGAGCTTTTTCTTGCTTTTTCTTTGTAGGTGGTTATTCTACTGGAAGTCCATCCAGCTCCTCCTACCACGGTCTCCAGAGCACCGTAGCAGGTGCTGGGGGCTTCTTGTTGGCAGCTTGTTTCTTGGGTGGGGCACGAGGAGATGGTGGCAGGCAACCCATGGCGGGCGTGCCTGGCTGCACCCTGTCGGCGATCACGTGGACTTTGCAGAAGTGCTTAATCAGCCGGGCTTGCGTTTCTCTCTTGGGCTCGCAGAAGGAGAGGAAATGCAGCGCTTCCTTCAAGCAACGCAGGTAGCCGGTGTTGAAATCAAGCTCTGGATTCTTTTGGCTCAGTGCTAGAGAGATGAAATAATATATTTTTAATTATTATATCAGATGCACAGATGTGAGCACAACTTAGGTTATGGCTCCTTCTTTGACTAGTCATACATTGAATGTGCATTGCTAGCTGCTAGCTGCAGTTTGCCCCTCACCAAGCTATAATTCCCGGCACCCTTAACAAGCTGTGGTTCCCAGGATTCACCGGGGCAAGCTCTCAGTATAGAGCAGTAGTTCAGATAGTTGGATTTAGGCCAGGGGTAGGGGTACCTGTGGCTTTCGAGGTGTCGTTGGACTACTTAAGACCCAGTTAGCATGGACAATGGTCAAGGATGATGGGAGTTGTAGTCCAACAACTTCTGGAAGACCACAGGTTCTCCAACCCTAGTCTAAATCCAACACTCTGCACTACCACACCATCCTGAGGGACCTTCGGGCATATAACGCATGCACCTGCCACAGGTCAACCAATCGTCCCTCCCTGAAGAATATATCTACATTTTCCCTGTGCCGCATTTTTACACTTAAAAATGTGTTGTGCAAACTGTCCTCTGGACTTTGATCTGGGAAATCTAGCTAGGAAACAAATGAGCCCACAACCCACGGCAGTGAGAGTTGTGGAAAGCCAGAACCTGCCGTGGGTTGTGGGCTCATTTGTTTCCTAGCTAGATTTCCCAGATCAAAGAATATATCTACATTTTCCCTGTGTTTGCCTGACAAGGCTTGGGTACCTAAGGATGGAAATCCCACACTCACCAGGAGCCTGAATTTGATGCTGCTGCTGCTTCAAGTAACTGACAGCCACTTCCAAGATGTCTGCTTTCTCCAGCTTGGAGTTGGGCTGATGCCTCTGGAATTCTTTCTCGAGAAGGACCTTCAGCTGCTCAATGCTGCTGTTAATCCGATCGCGGCGCATTTTCTCGACCACTGGCTTCCTCAGCTGCAAAGGAGAAAGAATGAAAAAGGCCTTTAAGTTTCACAAAGTCAATAAATAAAACCTACGCAACAGCATTCAGGGGCTGCTGGCCATGCAGAATTTTCCAGTGCCTGTCATTTGATTTCAGAATAGCAGAATTTCCACCTTTGCATTAGGGGGGTAATTGATCTCCTAGGTCCAGTCTCTCTCTCTCTCTCTCTCCCCCCCCCCCATTTCTAATCTAGCACATCTTAAAACACATTTGATGGTAATAGATAGATACCTAGCTTTATAGACGAGATTTATCTAATCTATCTAAACTAGGGGTTCCCAAACTGGTAAATGGACCACTGATGGACCAAACTGGTGAATGGACCACTAATGGTCTCCAAGCATCATTTAGGTGATTCACTGCAGGTCCACATTAAATATTCCTAGTGATTTTAAATTTCATTGCTTCTTTTGTTTCTTATAATGTATTAAATAGCAGCACAGTCTGAATTCCACGGAATGCAAATTGTCATCCAATGCAACATAGGGAAATAAAAGAAGCATTAAAATTCATTTTTAATTTAGTACAGTGCATTACAGCTGCCACTACAGGCAGAAAACTTACTAAGCGGCCTGTCGAGACCCTCAGCAACTTGCAAGTGGTCCAGGAAGACAAAAAAGTTTGGCCACCACTGACCCATCCAGTTTAATATTCTGTTTAACTACCCACCCACTGAACAGCTCAATTTAATACCCCATCCATCCCATTTAATAATCATTCATTGATCCACCCAGATAATCTATCCATTCATCCTTCAATCTAATATTCTACCTACCCTTTTCTAAAATAACTGTATGTGTTCAACCCAAACTTCCCTCTTTCTACAGCCTTCCTTTCTGCCAGTGTTACCTTCTGCCTGACACACACACCGACATCAGTTCCCACATACAAGCCAGTCCTTTGATTGATCTGCACTTGATGATGGACAGCTGAATGTGTGAACCCCTTTTCATTGGGGGTGTGTTGCGGAAGAAGCAGAAGCAGAACATTGAAGCAGCGCGAGGACATCCTAAATGTTCTAACTTGTGGCGTTGTATCTGCACACACAAGACACTGAGGGACGGCAGCATGTGGGGACCAGCTCTAGGGCAATGACACCTCTGCCAAGACCGGCCTGCTGAAACCCTTGCCTACCTTGTTCTTCTCTTTCGCCAGCACCCTCTCTTCCTCCACGTGGACCATGCAGCTAGGAGCCATCCGTGACCCTGTCAGCCGAAGTCAAGCAGCTCTGGGTATTAGCTGTCTGACCCGAACGCAACCCTTCTGCTCCAAAGCTCTCCGCGGGCCTCTATTTATATCCGCCAGCAGCTCAGCAGCGATGTGAGTTTTGGGCTCCTTGGCGTTTCCCACAGTCATGCAGCCAATCCCGGCACGCGGACAGATAATAGAGGAGGCATCCCCTTAGTGCACGCTACATTGACCGTCAATGAGCCCCGAAGAGAATAGCCTTCTGCCTGTACCAACTGGTAGGGTACGCAAAGCCGCGCGGCAGGGCTGCCGGAGGATCTGGGAAAACCTCGCCGCCCCACCCCACCCCCCAGCTGCCTTGCCCAGGATCAATTGCATTCCAGAGTTTCAATCCCATGCCACACACATCCATAGGTGGGGAAACAGTTTGCTGTTGAGTGTAAAAGTCTGAAGGGAAAAAAGAAGAAGAAGAAGCATATAGATCAGGAAGGTGGGAAAAGGAGAGTTGAAGTGGGCTTGGTTATTATTATTATTATTATTATTAATTTATTAACTGGTTGGTTGAATTTGTATACTGCCCTTCATTTGTAGATCTCAGGGAAATTCATAACATAAAACTGCAATATAAAAAAGGCAAATATTTATTCCTTGCGTTTATAGAAGTAAAGCAATAAACGGAGTTGGAACAAGAGCCATGATCACATAATTGTAGAGTTGGAAGGGACCCCAAGGGTCATCTAGTCCAACCCCAGGAATCACGGCTAGAGAATTCCTGGCCGATGGCTGCCCAACCTCTGCTTAAAAACCACCAGTGGAGGAGAGTGTGCCACCATCCAAGGTAGTAGGATTCAGGACACTTGGGCCGCATATGCGTGACTTCTCCCACAAGAATCCTGGGAACGGTAGCTTGCTACGAGTGCTGGGAACTGCAGCTCTGAAAGGCGGTGAACTACGGTTCCCATGATTCTTTGGCGGAAGCCATGGGCTTGTTATCTATGATGCGTGCACAGACTTTGGTGACTGAGCTGTGGGAGTGGGGCTGATAATGCCAAGGTTGCAGGTTTGATCAATGGTTGGGACAGCTGCATTTTCCTGCCTTGCAGGGAGTCAGACTAAGATGGCCCTCAGGTGGTCTTCCGACTGTAGAATACCATGATCTCATGATTCTATGAAATGCCTCTGTCTGTCCCCTGTCCCCAGTCAAGGTGCATAATATATATTCAAAACATAAGAAAGCTACCTTATACTGAGTCAGGCTATTGACTTTTGTGCTCAGAAGGTCCCGGATTCAATTCTCAGCATCTCCTTCATATGTCTTCTAATGATTGTATAGTTACTTATCTCCTTGTCACAGGAGTTGCATAATTCCATACCCTCCAACATTTCTCTGATGAAAATACAGTGGTACCTCGGGTTACATATGCTTCAGGTTACAGACGCTTCAGGTGACAGACTCCGCTAACCCAGAAATAGTACCTCGGGTTAAGAACTTTGCTTCAGGATAAGAACAGAAATCGTGCTCTGGTGGCGTGGCGGCAGTGGGAGGCCCCATTAGCTAAAGTGGTGTCTCAAGTTAAGAACGGACCTCCGGAACGAATTAAGTTCTTAACCCGAGGTACCACTGTAGGGACATCTTAAGGAAAAGCAGGACATTCTGGGATCAAATCAGAAACCAGGACAGCTTCTGTAAATCCGGGACTTTGGCCATGAAACTCACTGGGTGACCTTTGGCCAGTCACTGCTTCTCAGCCTAACCTACCTCACAGGGCTGTTGTAGTGATTAAGGGGAGAACCATGTTACAGACACCACCTTAGTTTGTTGGAAAAAAGGATGGGATGTAAATGCAAACCATTGATAAATAAAACTGAGTATAAGATTCATATATTAGCAGGGTATGCTAGGCACATGCTAGGAATTTTTTAGAAACCCACAAATACTGTGGTTTTAAAAATCGATAGTGTCATTTGTGAGTTTGGATCTGTCACGCCAAGAAATAAGGTGGAGCCACACAAAAGCTATGATTCAAAACGGCACTGGGCATACATGATGGTTTTTGTTTTAATGTTGTCTTGTAAGTTGCTTTGAGTTCTCCTTTCTGGAAAAAAAGTGACTAAATATTAATAAAGAATAATAATAAGCTACAATTTTTTAACTGTAGTGTTGAGATGCATTCAAGGTTTCTGTGAGGTAAAAAAACCACAAAAACAACAACACCCGAAGAGCTGAGAGCTGAAGGAACTCTGAAGTTAGACTCAAAGACGCCCCAGGACCACTTCCTAATTTAAAAGAAGAGAGAAGGGAGAAAGACTAAAATGATCTCTGTTTTATAACAGGTCATTGTCAAAGAGGCAAAGAGAGTGAGGGAAAGAGCCGGCTCCATCGTAATCATTGTCAGAGTCTGAATGAGCTTATCTCTTTGTCCAAGACAGATGTTGAGTAGAGGCCTGTATTTCTGTCCCCTACATTTTGTGGGAAAGCTGAGAGCTGAGTCATCTCAAGACTACTGGGAGCCTTTCAAGGGGGATTTTTTTTATATAAAAAAAGAAAGAAAATTCAATAACAACAAAATGATACGAAGTGGAGGCAGGTAGCAGACGTTCGCTACCATTGACCATCTCTCTGCCCCATCACTCTCTCTCTCTCTGACGTTGTGTGTCAGATCTTTGGAGCAAAAACCATGGGAATTTGCTTCCTGTATCTGAGAGTTATGGGTATTGTAAGAGGTTTCTTTTCTTTTCTTTTTATTAAAACAAAAATAAAAAAGGATTGTTTTGATGGATATCCCACCCTGTCACAAGGATCTGGGACAGATTATGGCAAAACAAAACAAAACAAGCCATCCAGTCCAAGGAATCTCAGCCAGATGGGTGGGGTATAAATAATAAATTATTATGATTATGACCCTCCAAGTTTTGCTATCTGCCCCTTGGGTCTCTCCCCAGGCTGCTTCTCTTCCTTAGTCACATCCCCCAGGCCAAAACCCTTATCAGCCATGCATCAACCCTCTCCTTAAGTGTTTTTGCCTGGCTGGAATATGCCATTGAATAATGCTTTTTCTTGATTGCCCGGACGGAGGTTGTAGAAACTATTGCACCATAACAAAGGTAAAACTTACATCCATTGCTCAGCCTAGTACTTTTGCCTCTGGCCCTGGCCACCCCTGGGAAGTGGCCCCCGGAATGTGGCCCAGAAGGGAACACACACACACAAAACCATTTTGACTTATTTTTAAAAACAATCAAGCTGCATAGAAATGTTATAAAATAAATAAACAAACCTATGCCTCCTTTTCTTTCCGCCTGGGTTTGCAGGGGCCTGATCCGTGGTGGTGTGGACTAGCAGTTACTCCCGTCTCCTCCCCTATACCTATAATTCTTCTGGAAGGATGTTATTTCATGAAGGGAGGGAATGTAAGGGAGAAGCACTGGATGGGTGAGGTTCACCCCTCCCCAAACTCCATATTTGACAACCCTACCCAGAAATTTACAGAGTGGCTTCTGAATGGGTGGGAGATGGGAGTTTGCAGCAGCTTTATCTAATTTTAATCTGAGCATTGTGTGTGTCATCTATCCATCTGCCTGCCCGCCTGAATTCTTACAATAATATAATCATACAATCATATAACGCAATCATGCAAAGATAATGCTACACACACCCACACATTTATAAAGTGGTACCTTGGTTCTCAAACTTAATCCGTTCCAGGTCTGTTCCAAAACCAAAGTGTTCTAAAACCAAGGCATGCTTTCCCATAGAAAGTAGTGCAAAATGGATTAATCTGTTCCAGACTTTTAAAAGCAACCCCTAAAACAGCAATTTAACATGAATTTCGCTATCTAATGAGACCATTGATCCATAAAATGAAAGCAATAAACAATGCACTGCATTCACACAATCAATCAATCAGTATCTGAACTGGGTTCCACACACACACACACACACACACACACACACACACACACACAAAGAGCAGCAAAAATAGACAGACCTCAGCGTAACACTCAAAACGGAAGTGTGGCACTCAAATTGGAAGCGTAACACTCAAAACGGAGCACGTTCGGCTTCCGAAAAACGTTCACAAACTGGAACACTTACTCCTGGGTTTGCAGTGTTTGGTTTCCAAGTTGTTTGAGTACCAAGGCGTTTGAGAACCAAGGTACCACTGTAACCTGTTCTTCATCCAAAGGGGCTGCACACCCAATGACTGTCTCATTTTGTGCTCACAACAACCCTGTGAAGTAGGCAGGTTAGGCCTAAAAAGCTGGCGACTTGCCTGAGCTTCCTTATGGAGCCTGATGGCTGAGAAGGAATTTGAACTCGGGTCTTTTCCCGGGCCTGGTCTACCAGGCCACATTGGCTGCCGCTGCCAAACCGTGCTGAGCAGGCTCCGACCCTTTTCTGAGAGGGAAGACGAAGATTGACAGCTAGCTCATTCACAAAGCTGGTTAAAGCGGCAGCGGCGGTGTCAAAGAGTGTTTCCCTCCCACCTTGGAAGTGACAGCCCCTGACCCTCATTGCCGGATTGTAACTACTAACCAGATGGTCTTTTGGGAGTTGGGTGTCCCCCCCCTCCTCCTCTAATGCATTCAGGCCCAAGCACCATCACTAATGTCACCCGTAGTGGCGAGGCACACGTCTATTGTCTGAGCGAGGAGGGGGAAAGTGTGGGAAACTCAGCGGAACTCAAACCCACACAGCCTGGTGCTAATAACTCCTTTGTGGGGCATGAATGTGCCTTGAACTCACGTGGTTCTTTCAGCCAGGGCTGGGGGTGGGGTGGGGGGCGAGGTGGTGGAAGGCAAGGGACTTGGATAAGTTTTTCTCAAGGGTTCTCATTTGTCAAGGAGGGATCCGGGGAGTTAAAGGAGGCGAGGCACGCGATGGCAAGCATTTGCAAAACTGAAGCGCATTAAGTTGAACTGCGGAACTCGCTTCCACAGGAGCCGGCGACGGCCGACATTGGATGGCCTGAAAAGAGGGTTTGACAAATCCATGGAGGAGATGGAGACTAGCCACGATGGCTGTGCTCTGCCACCACAGTTGGATGCAGCTATGCTTCTGAATAGGGATGCGGGTGGCGCTGTGGGTTAAACCACAGAGCCTAGGACTTGCCGATCAGAAGGTCGGCGGTTCGAATCCTCGCGACGGGGTGAGTTCCTGTTGCTCGGTCCCTGCTCCTGCCAACCTAGCAGTTCAAAAGTACGTCAAAGTGCAAGTAGATAAATAGGTACTGCTCCGGCGGGAAGGTAAACAGCGTTTCCATGTGCTGCTCTGGTTCCTCAGAAGTGGCTTAGTCATGCAGGCCACATGACCCGGAAGCTGTATGCCAGCTCCCTCGACCAATAAAGCAAGATGAGCGCCGGAACCCCAGAGTCGGTTACAACTGGACCTAATGGTCAGGTGTCCCTTTACCTTTATGCTTCTGAATACCAGTTGCTGGAGGGTCAGTGTGGTGTAGTGGTTAAGAGTGGTAGACGCGTAATCTGGTGAACCGGGTTCGCTTTCCCGCTCCTCCACATGCAGCTGCTGGGTGACCTTGGGCTAGTCACACTTCTTTGAAGTCTCTCAGCCCCACTCACCTCACAGAGTGTTTGTAGTGGGGGAGGAAGGGAAAGGAGAATGTTAGCCGCTTTGAGACTCCTTTGGGTAGTGATAAAGCGGGATATCAAATCCAAACTCCTCCTCCTCCCCCTGGTGGAAGCTGGTGGAGGCAGTGGGGTGGGTGGGATCCCCACAGGGGTGCTAACTCTTGGTTTTCCTCTGCCTGAGATGGCTGCCTTAGCCGACCTCACGGTGATGGTTGCGGGGGGGGGGTTGAGGGCTGGTGCAGGGCATCTGGTTGGCCACTGTGAGAACAGGAAGCTAGTCTAGATGCGTCTTCTCCAGAAGACTCTTCTTATATCTTGACCCATCAAGCTCTTTGTGTCTCAGGAATATCTCCTAAAATGTATCTCCCGGGGTAAACTTGCCAGGACCCTTAGATGTTTTCCTTGGAGGCCCTTCTCCAGGTTCAGCCTCTGAGTGACGTTTGGAGGGTGGCGACAAGGGACAGCAAGGCCTTGTCAGGGGTGGTGGTTCCTCATTTCCTCCATGAGGTCTTGAAGGGCTTTCCCTTGGAAGATGCAGCAGCAAGAATTGTATTCTGCCGCTCCAGGGGGTAGGACCCGAACCAGTGGATTTCTATTACAAGAAAGGTGATTCTGACCAAAAATTTGGAAGAGTTTTCGGAGGGTAAGGCTGTTCGACAGTGGACTCCTTCAGAAGGTGGTGGGCTCCCCTTCAGTGGAGGAAGGTTGGATGGTCACCTATCAGGGATTTTTAGCTGTGGTTCCTTCATTGCAGGGACTAGGTGACTCCTGGAATTCCTTCCAACTCTACACTTCTATGAGCGTATGACATTTTCATGAAGACTTTTTGAAAAATGCAATCTTAATGTAGAAATGTGAAGAATTGAATAAGGGTAGAAAAACGAGAAACCGAGAAGAATCAAAAGTGACAAATTTGATTTCTTTCCTTGAGCTTGAACTGGCTGCCTTGCAAGGCCCCCTCAGTGATCCAAAAAACCTATGTGTTACAGCTGAAATGAATCCTACTCCAGAGTAGAGCTATTGTTGCTAATGGGCATGGCTAAATTAGGTTTGTTAATTTCAATGGATCTGCTCTGAGTAGAATTTAATTGGCTACAACCATATCAAATCCCATCATATCTCTCTCTCTCTTAATCTATCTATCATCTATCTATCTATCTATCTATCTATCTATTTATCTATCTATAAAATGGACCACATCCCTAATTAATGCTCCATTCACCAGTTCAGGACTTACTGTGTGACACACTGGATTCTACCGTATGCAAATAAAATCCATATAAATCAGTGGAGCTAAGTTACCCATGTCTATTTCATAGAATCATAGAATTGAAAGGGAACCCCAAGGGTCATCTAGTCCAACCCCCTGCAATGCAGGAATCTCAGCTCAAGCTTCCATGACAGAAGGCCATCCAACCTCTGCTTAAAAGAACCTCCAAGGAAGGAGATTCAATGGAGATTCTGCTCAGCGTAGGGTCAAGCGTTGGGTGCAACCCACAGCCCTTGCCGGAGGGCCGATGAGGCTTTGAAGGTGTGTGTCTCCCACACTTCTGGCTTAGCAGCAAAGCCCTGAACAAGGAAAAAGAGGGTGGGAAGCTTCTGTTTAAATGCACCTCTCGGGGCCATTCATTCTCCCCCTACCCACCCTGCGTGCGTCTCTGCCCACCCCCCCTTTCCTCTAACTCGCAGAAATTCCCACAAGCCCTGTCTATTGGGTGTACAAGAGGGATTTATTATTTCCTGGTTTATTGACTCTGAAAGGCCCCAGGGATTACGGCTGCTTTGCACATGAATCGCCGGAGTGTGTTGTACAAAAGGCCGGGGCTGTGGGATAATGTATTTGGATGTGGGAAAGAGCTGACCCTCCGAGATAGCAGGCTGGTGCCTGATGGTAGGAATCAATTATGTTTCAAAGGAACACATTGCTCTGGGGGTATAAGCAGGGGGGGAGCCAACATTAGGGGGAGCCCTCCCCATCCATGCAAGCCCCTTCCACCCCCTCCCCTCCCAGTAACGACCAAAAAAGAAAGCATTTACATGCACATATAAATTATGTTTCCGGATCTCTCTCTGCTGCCTTTGAAATTTCTTTTGAAGCTAAATCTCTCTCTCTCTCTCTCTCTCTCTCTCTCTCTCTCTCTCTGATATATAAGGTGCACAGCTCTCTATATCATGAAGGGCAGATAAAATGCCCCCTGTTGCAAAATTGTGGTCCCAGCCCCCTACAACTATTAAACTCCCTTAGGAGGCAGTGAGGGCCACCAACCTAGATGGCTTTAAAAGAGAATTGAACAAATTCATGGAGGAGAGGGATACCAGGAGCTACTAGCCATGATGGCTATGCCCTGCCTCAACACTTGGAGGCAGCGATGCTTCTGAATACCCGCTGCTGGAGCCACAGGACCAGAGAGGGCTCTCATGCTTGGATCCTGCTTACAGTGTTCCCACAGGCATCTGGTTGGCCACTGTGAGAACAGGATGCTGGACTTAGATGGGCCATTGGCTTGATCCAGCAGCCTCCTCTCACGTTCACATGTTCTTCATGCTTGCACAACCAGAGCTCTGAGCTATACCTCATGTTACGTTTGCTTCATGATATGTTTTTTCAGCTTGTGTCCTGCGGTGACCCGGAAGTACCAGAAAGGGTTACTTCCAGGTTTCGCCGCTCTTCGCCACTCGCGCATGCACAGACGTGCAAAATGACATCACGCGCATGCGCAGAAGCGGCGAATCACAACCCGCGTGTGCGCAGACACACCGCTATGGCTTGCATTCTGCTCATGTTGTGAACGGGCCTCCGGAACGGATCCCGTTTGCAACCAGAGGTACCGCTGTACACAATTCAGATCTAGCAAAGTTGGTACTAATTCCCAAACAAGGCAAAGTCACATGGGATGTTTCCGCAACCGCAACACTTCTGAAGCACAAGGTCAGTTTGCATTTGTAGATAGGAGAATACTTTTCCCCAGCTTCTTCTTCCAGTGGGCTAGAGTGTGGTGCTGATGATGCCAAGGGTGCAGGTTCGATCCCTGTAGGGGACAGAAGCATATTCCTGCATTGCAGGAGGTCGGACCAGATGATCCTCAGGGTCTCTTCCAATGCTACGATTCTATGATTCTAAGATCATCAATATGGATATACAGTGGTACCTCAGGTTAAGAACTTAATTTGTTCTGGAGGTCCGTTCTTAACCTGAAACTGTTCTTAACCTGAGGTGCCACTTTAGCTAATGGGGCCTCCCGCTGCCGCCACGTGATTTCTGTTCTCATCCTGAGGTAAAGTTCTTAACCTGAGGTACTATTTCTGGGTTAGAGGAGTCTGTAACCTGAAGCGTCTGTGACCTGAAGTGTCTGTAACCCGAGGTACCACTGTATTTGTGTTAGCTGACCAATGGGAACTGCCTGCAACTTTCCCACCTTCCTTATTCCTTTAGTTCCTGCCAGAAATCTATGGGATAGGGCAGGGGATGAATTAAGATGATAAGAATAGCTTGCTGGATCAAGCCAATGGCCCGTCTAGTCCAGCATCCTGTTCTCACACTGGCCAGCCAGGTGCCTCTGGGAAACCTGCAAGCAGGATCTGAGCACAAGAGCCCTCTCATCCTGTGGTTTCCAGCAACTACGTAAGGGGGATGTGGGTGGCGCTGTGGTCTAAACCACTGGGCCTCTTGGGCTTGCCGATCAGGTCAGCGGTTCGAATCCCTGCGATGGGGTGAGCTCCTGTTGCTCTGCCTCAGATCCTGCCAGCCTAGCAGTTCGAAAGCATGCCAGTGCAAGTAGATAAATAGGTACCACGAAGTGGTTTAGTCATGCTGGCCACATGACCTGGAAAGCTGTCTGTGGACAAACGACGGCTCCCTTGGCCTGAAAGCGAGATGAGTGCTGCAACCCCATAGTCGCTTTTGACTGGACTTAACTGTCCAGGGGTCCTTTACCCTTTTTTAAAAAAAACCTTTCCAGCAACTGATGTTCAGAAACATTGCTTAACCCCATCTGGCTGCAAATCCTAGTGTCACTCACCTCCTAATTTTGCCATTGGAAAGAATGATAGCTGTGTATGTGTGTGTTAATATTCTAAATCTGATTTGTCTAGACTTAAGAACCAGAAAAGGAAGTTGAGGGAAGTCCCAGGGGGTTGGGGGTTGGAGAATGATATTGTATTTCATTTTTGAAATAATGCCAATTCTGACTAATAAAACTGCAAAATTTAATAATAAGTATTTAAATAAATAAATAAGTCTGATTTGTCTGATTTTCCCCATCACGCTACTCTCTGGCATCCTTGGACTTGCTGGCCTCCCTCCCTCTCTCTCTCTCTCTCTCTCTCTCTCTCTCTCTGTGTGTGTGTGTGTGTGAGTGAGAGAGAGAGAGAGAGAGAGAGACGTCCTTTTTACCTCCACTTTCTCAGGCTGTGTGCCTGTCAGTCAATGCAGCAGCCAGAACAAAGGACGTGTGTCTTGGGAAACTATCATGGGGGGAAGTGATGGTTTCGGCGTAGCTGGACAGGTGGGTCTTGGAGGGACGTCAAAGAATTCGTGGACGTGCTCAGCGAGCAGTAAGGCAGGGAGATTCCCACGAAAGGCAGATGGCGGCTTCCAGTAAGGAGAGAAGAAGAGAGGGAAGCCAGAAAACCCGGTTTTTAAGTGGGCTATATGCACAAGACCTGTGTGTGTGTTTATATTTGAAAGCAGGAGGTTTATGACCCAGCATGTATGGCGGTGAAGGAGGAGGGGCAGGTGTTGAAAGTTTTTTCGCATCATGGGGTTCAAGAGAACCCCACTTTTTTGGACAGCGGCACATGGCCAAGAGTTTACAAATGAGGACGTGCATTCGAACACATCTGCACATCCCCTGTATTCCCTTGCACAGGAACCAACAGCGCCCAGGCCTGGAGTTTATGTTTCTTGTAACCGAAATAGAGCTGCTAAACCAGCAGATCATAGAATTGTAGAGTTGGAAGGGACATAAAGGGTCATCTAATCCAACCCCCTGCCCTGCAGGAATCTCAGCTAAACCATCAAACCTCTGTTTTAAAAGCTCCAAGGAAGGAGAGTCCACAACCTCACCTTCTTCCAAGACTTCAAGCATGAGATCGGTTTCCTTGATCACACCAGAAGTCTGAGAGCCAGTGAGAGCCAGTGTGGTGCAGTTCTTAGCATGTGGCACTAGGGCTAGACAAGGGTTCAAAACCTTGAGCAGCCTTGTTGGGAAACCTAGGCTCGTCTCTGCCTCTCAATGTTGTGGAGATCAAATGAGGGGGCAGAGAACCACACACATCACTTCGAGCTCTTTGGGAGAAGGCTGTGATATATGTAATTGCAATGAAATGAAATATGTAAAATGAAAATATAAAAGGATCTGTAAAACAAGGGGCAGGGGGAAGACCTCAGACATGGAGGGCCAAATGTAGCCATCTCTACCTGCAGACCCTCCATATGTCCCTATTTTCCAGGGACAGTCCCGGAATTACAGAAACTGCCCCAGGGACTCAGCTAATACAACTGTAAATAAAACGTTTTAAGTGTGTTGTAAAGTGCATTATACAAATGTGACACTAGATGGCGATGGTGAGCTATGGCAAATTCAATATATTTTTCAAAACTTTTTTTTTAAAAAGCATTTTCACAGCACTTTTTATATGTGTCTAGATTCCCCCCCCCGCCCCAGTTTCTGATCTGATCCCAAAATGTCCCACTTTTCTTAAGAATGTCCCTATTTTCATTGGAGAAATGTTGGAGGGTATTGAGTTATGCCACCCCTGAGCCAAGGAGATATATAAGACACCTGAAGGCAGCCTTGTATAGGGAAGGCTTTTTAAAAATGTTTATTGTTTCATTATGTTTTTATATATATTGGAAGCAACCCAGTCAGATGTGCGGGGTATAAATACAGTGGTACCTCGGGTTAAGAACTTAATTCGTTCTGGAGGTCTGTTCTTAACCTGAAACTGTTTTTAATCTGAAGCACCACTTTAGCTAATGGGGCTTGCTGCTGCCACCGCGCCGCCGCTGCACGATTTCTGTTCACATCCTGAAGCAAAGTTCTTAACCCGAGGTAATATTTCTGGGTTAGCAGAGTCTGTAACCTGAAGCGTATGTAACCTGAAGCGTATACGGCCCAAGGTACCACTGTAATAACATTATTATTATTATTATTATTATTATTATTAAATAGGATGTCCCTATTTTCATCAGAGAAATGTTGGAGGGTATGTACCTGGTCCTTGTCTCTCTCCGCAGGCCACACCCCTTTTCTCAAGCCACGCCTCTTGCTGGCCCTGCTCTGCATCCTGCCTGGCTGGAATGTGGCTGTCAACTCTGATCATTCCTCTTGCATGTCTAGATGGGCGGACAGAGATGGGTGTCCATGCGTGTGCGGGGACGAGCCTACTGCACAAAGGCAAAATTTGCATCCATTGCTCTGCCCGTCTCCACCCCTGTTCCCCCCACTCCAATCGCTGGTGTGTGTGGCCCTCGAGAAGCTCCCTAGATGGCAATGTGGCCCTTGGGCTGTAGAAGGTCTTGTGTTAAAACGTCAGGTGCTCTCCTTCTCTTCCTCCTCCTCCTCCTCCTCTGCCGCTGTTCCCATCCCCTGCCAGATGTTAAGCCCTCCAGAGATAAAGGCAGGGCTTTCCCAAAATGTCTCAGCCCGGCTTGACAGCTCTTGATCAATGGCCCCAGCCCCACACAGTAAATGCTATGCAGATGGCCTACCCAAAGCAAGGCTCCCTTCGCCCCGGCACAAAGGAAAGTCAAACAGCATTTCTAATTCAGCTTGTAGCTTGGCACACTTCCTTTTTACGGAGGCCTTCAATGCCTTGAATAGGGACGCAGTGTGGGAAACTCAAATCCATTCCACACTCACAGTCCAGGGCCTCAGTTACACATCTGCCTGCGGCCGTCAGGCATGAGGAGGGTGGGGAGAGTGGGGAATCAGATTAAACTGGCCGAGGAGGGGAAGAGGAGGGGGTTGGAAGGGTAATAACAGTGAGGCGAAACCGCAGGAGGAATTTCACAAGGACAATTATTGCTAATCTTTATTATTAAATGCCAGTTTTGTTTGCTTGGTCTACAGGCCACAAATAACAGATACAGTGGCTTGTCTCTGAACCTGGTCCTACTCAGAGTAGGCCCATTGAAACCAATGGGCATGGTTCATTGAGTCCCGTTACTGTCCTGTGGGTCTACTCTGAGTAGGACTTGGTTGGGCATAAGTTATAAACATCAAATACAGCATGGGGGCTGTTTCCAGCGAAATCCTACCATCCAGGGCAGGCCTAATGGGGCTATCCTCACCCAGCCCATTGATTCCAGTGGTTCTCCTTGGATAAGAATTAGAACTGGATAGAATCAATGGTTTTCATGGCAGCTGCTGCAGAGAGAAAAACAACCACCACAATGTACATGGTCGGAGGAGGTACCTCTTGAAATAGAATGTCAGCGATCAGAAATAGTTTCAAAATACTGGCAATTATGACTCAGAGCTCATCTTCCCTTTAAGAATTGTGAGCCTGGGATGGGGAAGAAGTGCAATTCAGTCCACATTTCGATGTCAAATACAGTGGTACGTCGGGTTACATACGCTTCAGGTTACATACGCTTCAGGTTACAGACTCCGCTAACCCAGAAATGGTACCTTGGGTTAAGAACTTTGCTTCAGGATGAGAACAGAAATCGTGCTCTGGTGGCACGGCAGCAACAGGAGGCCCCATTAGCTAAAGTGGTGCTTCAGGTTAAGAACAGTTTCAGGTTAAGAACGGACCTCCGGAACGAATTAAGTTCTTAACCCAAGGTACCACTGTATATCAAACGTGCACTTTCTGAAACAGCACAAGGCAACCAGCACCCATCAACAGGACCTCCGCTGACAAGTGTAAGGCCCAAGATGATTGACACTGGGGTCACAAGTGGTTTTAGACAGGGCTATTTCTCTAGAAAAAGAGATCCGGGAATTTACTATGAACGCCTCCCTTGTTCTCTTATAATGGCAATGGTGCCCACCTGAGAGGTGCCGGAACTGAGTTCCAGCTCAAAAAAGAGAGA